TAACGCTTTAACTACTTTATAACTATTTATTAATAAAGGCTTTATTACTAACTATTAGTAAGTCTAGTGTATCTAGGCCTTGTAATAGTAACCTTTCTTATACTTCTTCTTTATTAAGTCCTTATATAAACCTTTCTAATAATAGTAGTTAGTCTTTACCCTTAATTAAGTATATTAGGTACTTAGCTATAGATAGCTATAGCTTATTTATACTAGTAGTATATTAATAATAGGTTAATAAGTGATTAGTATATCTATTATTATTCTAATCTATTTTACCTATACTAGTTACTTATAAGAGATAAAAGCTTAAGAATTATAAGATAATAGCTATAGGCACTTAACTAAGTAAGGCTTAATAGTAGGTGTTAGTGTATTATAAGACTTAAGCTTATAAAGCCTAGATAATAGGGGCTCTACTGCTAGAAAACTAGATAGTAAGGTAGGGCGCTAAAGGCTTAGTAATCTATTGCTAAGACCTATAGCTAGTGCTATAAATCCTATTATAAATAGCTAGTAAAAAGGCTATACTAAATATACTTTTTTATAATTACTTTATTAATTTATACTTTTATTTTAAGGTCTTTATAGATTAAGTTTAAGAATTATAAGACTTATTTATTTAAATATATATTATTATTATTAGGCATTATTATAGGTATAAGTAGTTTTCTTATATTTTACTATTCTGTTTTCCCTTTATTAGGTAGTAAATACTTTACTTTTTTCTACTAATAGCTCTTACTATTTTACTTACTTAAAGTAAGATTATAAGTTATATAGTTTAGAGATTTAAAAGTGTATTTTATATAGAATTTATACTTTTTTTAAAATACAAGGCTTTCTAAACTAAGTTATAAATATTAAATTATATAATTAATATATAGTAAAGATCTTAAGATTATTATAACGGTTATCTAATACAGTTTCTATTTTTAGTAATTATATACTAAGATATATTAGTAAATATAACTTATATTTATATTATATTTTTTGCCTAGCACTATATAATATATGTTAGTGCTTATACTAAAAATAGATTTCTAAAAACAAGTATAGAAAAGTAAGGCTATTTCCTAAAAAGAAAATAAAAATATAAATAAATTAAGAAAGAATAGCTTAATCTTAACCTTATTTTAATATATTTTTATATAGCTTATATAAGTCTTTATAATTACTAACTCTTTTTTACTACACTATAAAGATCTTAATACTTATATAAAATCCTTGTATTTCTTTTTAGAACTCTAGTTATACTAATATATTATATACTAGAATATTATTAGTAATACTATAGAGTATTGTATTAGTTTTAATTACTATAACTAGAGAAAAGGTAATATAGATAAAGTTTTTAATTATAAGATTAAAGAAGTAAAAGAATATTATTCTACTAGTATTATTCTAAATACTTTTAATAATAATAAAGATAAAAGTCTTAATATTAGTAACTAAGTAACTAAAGATAAATAATAATATAATTACTTAATATATATATATAGTAACTAGCTTATTATAGTAAGTAGCCTACTTCCTTCTACCTTTTTATCTTTTTTATAAGTTAATTAAGCTATAATATATAAAATTAATTAAAACTACTTATTACTATCTTCTTTATTACTATTCTAAACTACTTTATAGGTTTATATATTATATTTAGTCTTTCTATAATTACTATATTATTATATATATAGTTTACTACCCTCTATATAACTCTCCTTTTAGGACGTTTTTTTACTTTTAGCTTTAATATCTTCTTTTTCTCCTTGTAGTACCTCTGCTTTAGTTATATTAAGTAACCCTCTAAGATATAGTTAGGTCTTTTTAGCCCTCTAGCGTTTACTAAGTACCTTTATCCTTATATAAAGTTTATAGTTCTCTGCCTTAATAATAGTAAGTTAATATACTAACTTACTAATACCTAGAGTTCTAAAAAAAAAATACAAGGATTCTATATAAGTGTTAAGACCTTTATAGTATAGTAAAAAAGTATTAGTAATTATAAAGGCTTATATAAGCTATATAAAAATAAAGTAAAATAAGGTTTAGATAAAACTTTTTTTTCTTAATTTATAAATATTTTTATTTTCTTTTTAGGAAGTAGCCCCGCTTTTCTATACTAGTTTTTAGAAATCTATTTTTAGTATAGGCACTAATATATATTATATAGTGCTAGGTAAAAAATATAATATAAATACAAGTTATATTTCCTAGTATATCTTAGTATATAATTATAAAAAATAGAAACTCATTAAATAACCTTTGTAATAATTTTAAGATCTATAATATATATTAATTATATAATTTAATACTTATAACTTAGTCTAAAAAGCCTTATATTTTAAAAAAAATATAAATTCTATATAAAATACACTTTTAAATCTCTACTAATACCTTTTAACTATAAGTTAATTACCTTGTATATTAGTGTTAGTAAACTTCCTTAATACTTCTTAATTTTTTTTTAATAAAGTAAAGCTTTATATACCTTTAATTAATATTATTAGTGTCTTTAGGTCTTATAAGCCTAAGCTAGTTAAATATAAGTTTACTAGTGTTAGTGTCTTTAGCTTAAAATGTAAGTAAAAAATAATAACTTCAGGATTAAAAGGTATAAGACTAGCTTACTAAAAACCTACTTATATATTAATTTTACTTATTAAAGTAAAGAATACTACTTTAAAAGTAAAAAAAAGTTTATCTTTAGTAATATATATAATTTATATTTATATTATTTTCTTAATCTTTTTACTATATAAGTGCTTTAAAAGGCTAAAATAGCTAATATTAAGAGGCTAAAGCTTATATAATAAATAAAAAGGTATATATAAAGTAATAATCTTTTTTTATAGTAGTTATTAAATTTAGTTAATTTATAACTATTATAGTTATCTAGGATTAAAAGGTAATAAGTACCTTTTATATAAGACTTTATATACTAGTTAAAATAATTTAACTAATATAGGCTAATCTTATTTATTATTTATTTATTTTTACTTAAGTAAATATACTAATTAGCTAGAAATTAGCTATTTTAGTACTAAGAGAAAAGGTAATATTTACTCTTTATAATAATATATAAAGGTATTACCTAGCTATCTATATATATACTCTAAATAATAAAAACCTATTTATAATTACTAGGCTACTTTATATAAGGCCTTTTATATTAGTTAGAAGTTATAATAACCTTTATATATAATAGTATTCTTATTAAAAACCTAGTCTTATTAAAATTATAAATATTATAATCCTATATCTTATACTTTATAATTATATTTTATATAAGTATAAACTAGCCTTAAATAATTATAAGATCTTTAGCTAAGGCCTTCTAATAGTTAAGTTAATATTAAAATTATATTTTTAATTATAGTTATTATTATATAAAGTACTTTACTTATTAAGGTCTAATATATATTATATTATATTTATCTAGGAGTTAGTTAGCTATATCTTATATATCTTCTTGTTATAAAGGAAACCTTTAATTAATTAGGTTAATAACCTTATTAAGAATTACTTTCTTCTTTACTTCTATTATCTTTATTAATTTTAGATATATCTTGTTTTATATAATATATCTATTATGTTAGTAATAAAGTAAACTTTAAGGGACCTTAAAGATAATAGCTACCTTTTATATAAATATTTTTAGGTCTTTTTTAATAGCTTAGATAGTAAAGATAATATAGCTTTTAATTAAAGAGGATTATATGTTTATATATAGAGGAATATTAGTGTAAAGGTTAAAGAGGTAGAAAGTAAGAGGAAGTAGGCTACTTACTATAATAGGCTACTTACTATATATATATATTATATATATATATATATTTAGTAGTAATAGTACTTATATTAATAAAATAGTTATAATAATATTTAAATATATAAATATAAATACTAATATACTTTTACTTATGATATATATATATAGTAAGCAAGCTAATATAGTATATAAGCTACTTCCTTATTATACCTTAAAGGGTACTTTTTTATCTTTTTCTTAAAAATCTAAATCTTGTCTAAAATAGATAGAACTTTATATATAGGTGCTAATAAGAGTTAGAAAGTAGAAAAAAATATTTAAGAAATTATTGTCCTATCCTAGCCTTATATCTTGACCCTAACCCTTATTAGTAAATATAATAAGAAAAAAACAGGGTTAAGGTAGGACAATAATTTCTATAGTATTATTTCTTAGAATCTAACTCTTATTGTTAGATAATAAAGAAAACTAGATCTTTTTTAGTTATATATTCGCTTTTTAATAAATAGTTAAAAAAGGGGTATTTTCTATATAATAAAGAAGTAGCTTACTTACTATATTAGCTTGCTTACTATATATATACGTTATATTATTAGACTACTATATTACTATATATAGAAAGTAGTAATATTATATTTTCTCTTTATATTTTATATAAAATATATAATATAATATATCTACTTATATTTATATTATATTATATATTAGAAATAATATTAATATTAATAGATATATTTTTATTAGAGAAAATTATATATATATATATATATATTTATATTATATTATATTTATACTCTTTAATACTATATATATATATTAATTATAATAGTTTATAAAAGATAATACTATTGGAATAGATAAAATATATAATTTTTAGTATTTATAAAAGTAAGGTTTTTATATAAGTAAAGCAGTTATTTTATATTTCCTAGAGCTACTTAATATTAATTAACTAGTGTAATAAATAATTATAATTTAGTTAATAGGAATTACTATAGTTAACTCCTTGCCTATACATTATAGATTAGAAGTAATTAATTTCACGCATCATGATTCATCTAGCTCATGAGGGGATTAGTCTATTAAGTACATCGTTACGGTACTCTTCTCTGGTATCTTGGTTGATGTATATTCCTCCGCAGCGAAATCAAAGTCACCCTTCACCTTTGTACACTGATCTTTCCAGTCATCTTTATTCATGCGGTGACGGTCTCCTTAGGTCCGGCCCCTTCGGCAGCCTCGGAAACGGGCTTCTCGCCGTTGACAGCGGCAGGCTTGGCAAGCTCCTCGCGAAGCTTCTGCAGCTCAGCCTCGAGCTTGGCCTGGGTCTCTTTCGCGCGTTCTTCGGCAGCCGCCAAATTTTTCTTAGCCGCGTCAAGCTCCTTGGCGAGGGAGTCACTAGCAGAGCTGGACTCCTTGGCCTTTTCCTCCCAGCTGGCAGCGTCCTTCTTGGCTCTCTCCAGCTCCGCAGACGCGTCCTTCTGAGCGGTCTCACTGGCCTTCTCGAGGTCAGCAAACTTAGCTTGCAGAACCTTTAGCTCTTTACTCAAGCGGGACGACTCTTCGACAGATTGTGTCTTATTCTCTTCGTGGGTCTTCTGCAAGGCACTGTGCTGCTCCTCAAGGTCGGACAAGATCTTCTTGGTGGCTGAGTGTTCCGTCTCAGAATTGGCCTGGGCCTTCTGGTGAGACTCCTCCAATGACTTTGCCTTCGCCTCGGAATCAGCCAGGCTCTGCTTGACCGAGGCAACCTCAGCTGCAGCGTCCGATTGGGCCTTGTCGTGCGTCTTCTGCAGAGCCTTGAATTTGTCCTCCCACTCCGCAACGTTCTTCTTTGCAGCTTCCAACTCGGCGTTAGAATCAGACTGGGTCTTTTCTTGGGACTCCAGCAACGTCTTGTACTTCTCCTCCGTCTCGGCCAGCTTCTTCTTTGCCGATTGGAGCTCGGCAGCTGAGCTTGACTGAGACTCTTGAAGCTTGTTGTATTTGGCTTCCCAATCGGCGACACTCGCCTTGGCGGTCTCGAGCTCAGCATCGTGAGCCTGTTGCAAGTTGGCGTACCTTTCCTCCGACTCGGCCAAGCTCTTCTTTGCCGACTCGAGCTCGGCGCTGGCGCTGGACTGGGCCTCGTGCTGCGCCTTGAGCGTCTGCTCCAAGGTGCTGTACTTTTCTTCCCACTCAGCAAGATTCTTCTTGGCGCATTCAAGCTCGGCCTCATGAATAGCCTGCAGCTTTGCGTGTTTCTCTTCGGTCTCGGCGAGGGTCTTCTTGGCGGAAGCAAGCTCCTGCTCGGACTCGGCCTTGGCCTCGTCATTGCTCTGTTGCAGCGCGGCAAGCTTCTCTTGTGCCTCGGCAAGCTCCTTCTGGGTGGTCGAAAGCTCGGAGGCGGAGTCGGACTTGAGGGCATCGATGGTCTGCTGCAAGGTCGCAACTTTCTCTTGTGCCTCGGTAAGTTCCTTCTTTGTTGTCGAAACTTGCTCCTCAGAGCCGGCCTTGAGCTCGTTGTGTTTCTTCTCGAGCTCGGCGAACTTGGCTTGTACGTCGGCCAACTCCTTTTTGGCAGCCTCAAGTTCCGCATCGGCTTCTGACTTGCGCTGATCGAACGTCTGCTGAAGAGCAACGAGCTTCTCGTTGGCGTCGGCCAGGTCCTTCTGGGCCGCAGATACGGCGACATCAGAACCGTTCTTGAGGTCGTCGTGGGTCTGCTGGAGAGCAGCAAACTTATCCTGAGCATCGCTCAGCTCCTTCTTAGCGGCGGCGAGCTCCGAGTCGGAGTCAGCTCGGAGCTTGTCGAGGGCCTGCTGGAGAGCATTGTGCTTATCTCCTGCGGCGGCAAGCTCGGCCTCGGTGGCGGTCTTGAGCTTGGTGTGCTCGCCCTCTAGGGTCGAGAGCTTACCCTCGAGAGCGGTCAGCGCCGCGGTCTTCTCGTCGAGCGACTTGGTCGTCGAGTCAGCGTCGGCCTTGATCTTGTCGAGAGTCTCCTGGAGGGTGAAGCGGGCCTGATCAGCGTCGGTCAGGCGGGCCTGCAGCGACTTGATCTCGTCGCGCAGCGAGAGCTCGAGGGTCTCACGGTCCTTCTTGGCCTGGGCCAACTCCTCCTTCACGGCAGCGAGATCATCTTCGAGGGCCTTCTTCTCCTGCTGGACCTTGTCGAGCTGCTTCTTTGCGGCGTCAAGCTCCTGAGAGCGCTGGGATTCGGCGGCACCGTTGGCTTGGAGGTGCTGGGCGATTTTGTCGTTGCTGGCGGCAAGCTCGGACTCGAGGGTGGCAATGCGGGCCTTGGTCTCGTCCTTGGACGAGGTCAATTGAGTGTCGAGCTCTTGAACCTTTTTGCGCAAGTCCTCAGCCTCGGAAGAGAGGGAGGTGTACTGCTTCTCTTTCTTGGAGAGGTCTTCCTCTAGGACAGTGATGGTCTCCTCTCTGTCGGCCAGCTTCTGCTCAAGCTCCTCCCTGGAACCCTCGATACGGTGACCGTTGCCCGGGGAGAAGACTGAAACAACGTTGCCCATGATTGGAGGGAGTTGTCGGTTAAGGCAGGCGACGCGGCAGAGTTCAGTCAGTCAGTCGGTGGAAGGGATTGCCAGAGCAATGCAAGAAGATGAAGACGGTGGTGAAGAAACAATCGGATTAAGCGGCTATGCAAGCAACACCCATGGAAGTCGGTGAGTCGGATTGTCTGGAAGGGGAAGAGGGGAGACGTCTAGACAGGTGAAAGAACGGTGACGGACAGGAGCCTGAGGAGGAAAATGTCGGTAAAAGGTAAACAAACCAACCAGAAAGGCGGTCAGGCTTTTCTGCAGACAAGGGTGGAGGACTGTTTTTTCATTTTCTTTTATTTTCTTTTATTTTGAACCCTTCTTGTCTCCCCATCTCTGCTGTTCGTGGGTCTGCTGTGTTCACTTGGGTGATGGAAATTAGTGGCCGACCTTTCTAGTGGCTGAGCCCTTGCTCCTGCCCCGCCAAAATATTGGCAGCCCGGCCGTTGGACCCACTTATACTGTCCTAAAGGGGTATGGTGTCAGCGGCATACATCATGTATCTTTTTGGCGGGCCACAGTTCGCAGAAATACCTGCACATGTACCTTAGTAGGCGTCTTAGGTGCCTATCTATCGTCCAATGTAGTATTTAGCGCACTTTTTAGCCTTTCAGGGACCTGCCATTGTGTGATTATGCACCCGTCAAGCAAGCAATTTTTCTCCCCTCCCCCCTCTTCCATTTTCCTATGTACCTTTTGTGTGATCTGAAAACGTGGGACCCTCTCAGTGGCTGCTTGGTTGTTGTTTCTTGGTCCAAGTTGCCGCTTGCTTGCTCGCAATCCTCTTCACTGACTCACATCCATACTCACTGGTGTGGTGGCAGTCAGACCAATCCAGCCTGAAAGGTGACCTCGAGGCACATTACCAAGATGGGGCGACCAGCGAAGACGGCAGATTTGAATGGCAAAGAGGGGCAATCCCAGTCGGTTCTGCCTGAGATACCCACCTTACCTAAAGGTACGTGAAGCCACATGATGGCAATCTCAATCTCTCTCTCTCTTTCTCTCTCTCCCTGTCTCAAAACACACATATTCCGTACACACATATACCAAGAGGAATGGACGGCTCAGAACAGATATTCGTACATCATCCTGGCTGATGCATACGTACACAGAATCGAGAAAGCAGCGGACAAGCCACTATTATCCAATGCAAGGCCCGAGCACATATTGTACAATCAATCTTCACGGATACTCCCCCGCCTCCCCCTGTGTGGTATTTTATATCGCTCCACTTGTCACGATTCCACTCGAATCGTACGTGAACTACTACGGAGACGCACCCACGATATCCTGAGATAGCGACCCCAACATCCACTTCTTGACCCAATCATGACGCGACACTCGTTCTGAACCATCACTGCATCCCACTCCGCCACATCGCCGACAGTCCACTCGCTACTTTGTACTCACCGAAGCCACTGTCTGTGCGCCTCACCAAATCCTCGCCCAGCCATCCAACCGACATACCTCAGCTTCTCAGATGAGCAATTGCAATTACCTTCTACACATCTGCAGCCTGTGGCTATCCCAAGTCAATCTTCCCATGATAGCCTACTTCAGCCACATCAAGGCAATCAATCTCCCCCGGTTTCAGGGGCGCCTTTTCACACTTGATTCCCTCCCCACCGCGCTGTTTTTCCTAGCCGCACACAATGTTCCCAACCTTGCTGGCACGGCAAGTAATACTCCTTCATGTCCGGTCATTGCTTATTAATCATACTGGCAGGGCCTACCTGCGAGGCTCTTTCATTCCCGCCGTAGGACGCGACTGGGCACGAGTTAAATATATAACACAATGTCCGTTGTCAATCGCCTCGTTGTATGAGACTTAGTCTACATTATTAACAGTCAAACATCATCGCCTGATTAGAAAACATTGTAGTCCTGATGCAGTACCAGTTCACAATTCTTATGGGCAACTTTCGCGTGCATCTTGTTTTGGATTCCACAGCACTGTTTGAAAAAGCTGCTACTGAAGACGTAGATCGCGAAGACACTGCGGAACACGGTAGACAGGCCAGTTTAACATGACTTCGTATAATCTGCCTCATCTTTGACGAGCACAATAAGCAGCATCCCAAAGTTTTCCTGAGTCTCAGGAATGCTTTTCTTCTCTTCTATTTTTTAATCCTTACTTGGTCGCAGATTCCACCATTGTGTGTCATCAAAGTATTCAGCATCTATCCGTTGAGCGTGCGACACAGCATGATCTGTATATAACAGTACAGGTAAAAAGACTATCCTAGGACAATCGCAGTTCACTCTAATACAATACTCCGCATAGTTAGAAGACATTATTCATATATGTTTGCAATTGTGCTATTGTTAGTCGCATATACTAACATATGCGGCATTCCTCTTATCAGTCCTGCAACGCTTGCCATATTGACTAGGAAGGTCTTGCGTTTGCTCTCGATTTTAATCATGACAATCATCGCTTATTCGACCATGACAAACATTTTGGACTCGCCAAAGCTTTCAGTGCCAGCTGAACTGCGTTTCTGCAGTCAACAAACGAGTCCAAGTCCCTTTACACTGCAACTATTCTGCCTCAGCCAGACCTAATCTTAAACAAACCAGAACTTTTTATTGCTCAAGACAAATGTCCGTCTACATAAAGTCCCATCCATGACCACCTAAAAGAAGTGAAAGGTGTGTTCATTTCCAATGCCATCTTCAAGACCATAAGTACTGTTAGGAATGGATACCTTAATCTACCGAAACGGTGGGTTTGGGCGAAATACGCGATATTAAGTTAGTTAACTATCTTACTTCAACCAAGCATAAAGTCGGAATACCCTTTGGCTTTTGCCTCGTCGCATCTCTTTCTATAACCAGGCGCAGGCCCATTGTATCTTGTCATGGACCGCTTCTGTTTATGAGCCAAATTTCTGTTGATACCAGTCATCCAAGAGTCAACCTCGTTGGGCAACAAGCCCTCACCACATTGCCAAACATGTTCTGTTCACATACGCATGCCTTCGTCGGTAGCTTCAACAAAGGTGAGCTTGCGATCGCGGGCGTACCAAAGAAAATCTGCCACCCACCCGACGGCATATTCGATACTCCGAGGTATATTTCCAAACATCTGATGGGGTCACATTATCATGAACATGTTTGAAAAGCCCTTGACGGTCAGCCCAATGAAAGTCCGGATGCCTTCGCTCCAAACATCTGAGAGTCGCGTCCTTCCTACCCCTTGGAAATCAACTGCCTAGAACAATCCTGTGACGGCATCAAACCCAGTTGCGTATAAAATAATATCAATCTCAAACTCATCTTCCCACGTGTTTATCCCTTTATCCGCGATCCGCTTCAATAAGACTTTCGATCAGGTCAACTAGACGAACTTTCGGTCGATTAAAAGCCTCATGGTACCCGCTTTCCAGAGAAACGCGACGAGTACCAAACCCGTGGTTTTTAGAATAAGCTTCTCGGCGATGTCTGGGTCGTTGATACGCTGGCGAATTTTGTTGGCATGAAAATCGCTGTAAAGTTTGTTTTCTTCTCGATTTGTATATAAATGTCACCTGAAATACTCAGAACTTTCGCGAATCCAGGAAGTGCATAGAGCGTCTTCCAATGCTCCAAGCGTTCCAACTCTTCCGTATCGAAGACACTCCTTTTGTCACCAAAGTGAATGAAACCTTTGGGGGAGTCGAGGCATCGTTGAAACGTTTCGGGATGTCGCTGCCGAATTTGCGCCATTTCCTCCGGGCCAATCCTTGTGTTTCGCAGTGGTGCCGTCCAATTCGGAGTCCGTTGAAACACTGTCAGAGATCCTGCCGTCTTGGCAATCTCCTGAATGATCTGGATACCGGTCGCGCCCGTCCCGATAACAGCCACACGCTTCCCTTCGAGATTCGCACCTTCGCTCGGCCACCGAGCTGTGTGCCATGACTTTCCTTTGTAATCCTGGACACCAGAGATGTTGGACAGAGTGGGCTCGTTAAGAATGTCCATAGCCGTGACTAGATAGCGAGAAGTGCAAGTAACACCAGTTGAGTCGGCTAGCAACCACGACGTAGAATCTTCCCGGAATTGTGCCCATAGAATGCGTGTGTCAAATTGCATGTCTTTCTTCAAGTCAAACTTCTTCGTGAGATACTGAATGTACCGTAACGTCTCTGTTTGAGGGGAGAAATGCTCGGTCCAGTTCCACTCGTCCAGTACTTCTTGGGAAAACGAGAAAATGTACTACTAACTTTCTGAGTCAAATCGAGCTCCAGAGTAACGATTCCTTGATGTTGTCAGCTAGGACATTCTACATGGACCTCTGAAATTACCAGAACCAAGTGTCTCCTTCTGAAGAGCCAGCCTCAAGTACTTTGACTCGTAAATCAAGTTCACGAATACGATACAGCGAAAATATGCCGCTAAGTCCGCCGCCGATAATCAAGACATCGTAGTCTAGGCATCCATTGGCCGTCTTGAACTTCTCATTGACAGTGTCGTCAGGCTCTTGCCCATTCTGTTGCGGCATGCCCGCAACATCATAGAGCTCGTCGCGTAATATGAGATTCTGCGGCTGGCTTCAGATAGGTAGTCGAGCCTTTAAACCGATGATTCGATATGTAAGGTAAAGCAGAAATCTATACAACTAGAGATAAGCTATAACAAGCAGGAGCGTATTAGGAAGGGTTAGCGTATTGCACTTCAGATATCCCGATGACTGGTGGTGTTAAGTAGTCAGGAGGGCAGATTCCTATGAAGACCAACGGAGGGGGGCATGTGGGGTTATCAACTGTAAACATACTTTCGGCTCGGGACACAATGAGCGGTCTCGGTTCACCCGCTATGATCACTTGTAAAACATGGATGATATCGCACCGAGCACATGGCTCTGTTATTGTGTTGAAGGGCATAGCTTAGCTAAACTAGTATATATAGCCGCACTCTGCTGCAAAGATTGCTAAACGACTGTTGTTCCGAAGAATGATACAGCATGGCCCACTGCCAACGCAGACCATAGAACATGTGACTTCCCCTGCTCAGGAAAAAAAAACCAATAAAATAAACTCTTTCAATTTCCAGTATGACCCGGGATCCTAAAGAAACAAGCATTTGATTATTGTACGCCGGTCTCTTGACATTAAGACATTCATGCAGACCATGTGGCACATTGTTATCTACCGTCAAGTCGTGGGCTATTTAAACAACCACGTTCTCGTCGCAATCCATTTCTTGGAGGGAGTTTGGTGGCCACAACCAATGGCTGGGCGTTTGCGGTTTGAACTATTCTCGGCCTCTAGAGCCTACTTCTTGATTATATACGAAATTGCATTTACTAACGCGACCTCACTCGAATAAATTATCTGATATGCCGCTGTTCAGAAGATTTCATGAGTTCTAACAGAGGCTTCGGATTAGTTAGCGTCCAGAACTTGTGGATCACTGATATCCGGCCTTGGCCATCGCGATGAAGAGACGCCTATTATATTGAATAAAGAAGGGGGGAAACACGGCGGTGCCGGATTGCCGGTGCACCTTGGCGCTGCAAAAAGATCCTGTTCGGACCGGTCCCAATGAGGCACAAGCCACGCGTCTTGCCAGCCAAGGTCCCTGATGAAGTCACTGTGGAGATACTGCACGTTGTGTGTGGTTCCAGACAGCGCCAAAGCGGTTCGTTGCCTTGGGAAATGACTTGTTTGCTGCGAGACTGAACACTAATCTTAACGTCGTCTGAGTGCGCCACACTGTCCACCTACTCGCTGACGTGTTTTGTTATCATAGCTTCCCTCAGCCATGATCATGACGTGCTGTTTTGCCTTGGTAGAACCAGGAAACCAACACAGTTGAACGATGTCCTTTCCCCAGTAAATATGTCATGGGAAACAATATAAGGACATTGGGTTTCTCCTACAAGTTACCCAAAAACACTTTCTCTACAAACCCAAAACCCACTTCTGTTGTATCTTCCATTCTGCGTATCACGCAGGCAACGGATCCCCGATCTACTCGACTAGACGCTGAACAGCTTTCGCTGAGGCCTCGCCTAGCAAGTCACCCTACTTGCACGATTCCTAAGAATGGTAAGATACGCAACGTACAGAATTTTTTTTGGACAAACAAAGCACGCGCTAACACTGAAACATTAGACAGGTCGTGGAAGGCGCCTCGCAACTGGCGCCATTGTCGGTGTTGCCATAGCTGGTTTCCTCTTCGTTGCCTTCTGGGTTCTCTGCTGCTACTGCTGCTGCTTCAGAAATAAACGAAAGCAACAGCGTGGTCGTCAAGCACACCCTGTCGGCAGCGGAGGTGGGGGCATGTTCTCCCGGTTTATGCCCGGACGTCAGCGACAAGGCCCGGGGATGATGGAATCCGGGTACGGACATGGACATCACAGTATCGCCCGACCAATCCCTTCGCACGGATACAGATGATGAAACGATCCTATGAACAAATATTGAGCGCAAAAGTCGTCTATCAGTTCCTATCTAGAGGCAAAGGAAGGGCATCACGTGTCCATGAGCCACAAGGCTTTGAATAAGTTGGCATTGCATCACGAATGGAAGGTATTGAGCGCTGGGAGCAAGCATTGAGCGTCTAGAACATCGAAATTCTCGAGCATACTGATTGGGCAGCGTTTATACACCTTTGGAAAAGCGTTCGACCAGTAGCGAGACTGGTGCCTTTCTATGCTAATATATCTGGTACTATTATGAATGTGCGAGTATTGCATGCGTTCTTTTTATTGGGATGAAGCCAATCAGATGTGCTCGGTTTCATGTTCCCGCTTCTGCTCGACGGCCTCGACTCTTCGCTCGAGATCGTGGGTCTCCACCGTCTTCATGTCCAACGTCGGGATGAAAAGCGGAGCCTCGGTAAAGAGGTATCTCATCTCTTCGAGAGGACGCCTGGCGGTCTCGGGAAGGAAGGCCCAAAAGAAGATGGCGTTGGTGAAGTTGCAGACCTGTGGGGGGGCCAAGTTAGCTTGATCGAATGACGGTCAAACCAGATAAGGACTTACAATGAAGAGAATGTACCAGCGCCAGCCGATTCCGCTCTTGTCATCAAGGGCAACGGAGGTCGTCTGTCCAATGAGGGTGTTGAAGGCGTACGAAGTCATAGTTGCGATGGAAACACCCTTGGAACGAGTCTTCATGTCAAAGATCTCGGCGGGAATAATCCATGAGAGAGGGCCGCAGGTGGCGCTGAAGCTGAAGTTGTAGAGCCAGGTCATGGCAATAAAACCCCAAGCGGCGCTTCCACTGGCATTTTCAGAGCCGGGGGGGAACTTTGCCAGTAGAATGGTTGCGATGATGAAAGTAACACAATTGCCAAGATTACCCAATATCAGGGGCCACCGGCGGCCAGTCTTGTCGATGAGCATCATGCAAAGGAACTGGGCGACCAGGGCAATGACGGAAGAGATGGCCTGATAGCGAAGAGTTTCGTCGCCAGCAATGCCGATTTTCTCGTAGATGGCGACGGAGTAGTACTGTATGGCACTAACACCTGTCATCTGGATCGAACCCTGCAGAGCGCAAGCAAGAAAGAGGCGACGGAAGCAGGACTTGTTGGTGAAAAGCTCCTTGTAGGACTTGGCAGATCCTTCATGCTCCAAGGCGATGGATTCTTGAATCTGGTCAAACTCGGCGCGGACCCAGGCATCATTGACGTCGCCGTGTGCATGCAGCTTGGCTAGAGTATGGAGACCGTCATCGAGGCGGCCGTGGTCGATGAGCCAGCGAGGAGATTCGGGAAACAAGAGAATGAGCAGAGCCAGGATGCCACCGGGAATACATTGGATTCCCAGGCTGACACGCCATTGGTTGTTATCGTCCTCGGCAAATCCGACGTACGTGCCGTAGGAGATCCATGCAGCACAGAGAGCACCAACACCGAGCATAAACTGTTGCAGAGCGGTGACTCGTCCGCGGATACTTGGGTGGCAGAGCTCGGCTTGGTACATGGGGATGATCATAGTCAGGAAACCAACACTGCAAAGCGGAACATGTCAGTAATACATCTAGACAGTAACCAAGGGCTGGGATTTTCAAATACCCGATACCAGCGAGAGCGCGGCCGGCATAGAGGAAGGCCAAGGACCGCGCTCCGGCCTGGAGAGCACCGCCGAGAACGAATATGGTAGCGCCGATTAGGATGGTTAGCTTACGGCCGAGTCTGTCACCCGTAGGGCCAGCAAGGCCAGCACCAATGAAACCACCTCCAGTGAAGACGGAGACGACGGCACCACTGAGACGAAGAGTCAGCTGGGGGTAATGGGGGTATTCGACATGTCAGGGGCCACGGCTGCGCCGGCGAGAGGCAAAATGGACAAAGGATCGGCAACATACATCTTGTTGGGATCCTCGCCAAACTTGGTCTTGAAAGATGCCGAAGCAATGGCGGAGGCAATGACACCCAGGTCATAACCGTAGTTGAAAGAACCAAGCGAGGCGAAGACGCTCACAAGGAACTGGTACCACTTGGGAGGGAGGGCCATGGTGGATGGAGAGTATGAGGCAAGACTGCCGATCGATTATGGGAGGTAGGGACTTTTCAGTAATGGGGAACGGTTCCCAGTGCCCAAAGGATCAAAGGAAGAAGATGTTGCAGAGGGTCCAGGTTAAACCGACGCGTCGGGCTGCAATGGAAGGCGTTCCGCATACTGTATCGCATGCGCGCGAAGGGATCGTCGCGTCTTTATAGAATGTTTGGCCGACCCCACGTTTTCTCCGCATCCACTTCCCGAAGGTCACATCGACCGGCAAACTGCTTGACACGGGGCATGCTCTGCTTTCAATACCCCAAGGGGCAGCGTGGCATGGGTGCGAAGCTAGCGTTGCGCATGGTAGAGTTGCTAGGAGAAGCAAGCGAGTGAAGGAAGAGGCCATGAAACCCCCCTGGCTTACCACGTTTGGTAGGCCGGCAGCCCATCAAAGAAAGGCATCGGTGGCGGTTACCCCGGCTTCCGACTCCAGGCCCCAGGTTGAACCAGGGTATGCCAGGTTGATCCGCGAGTTGTTCGCGCATGGGTGTTCGAGTTTGGGGTGCATGAGGCAGCCCGCCAACATAGACACACGTTGAGTCCCGAGAAAGGCGCACAGCCGTGCAAAGGGCGTTGGAGAAGCTAGCGCCCTCTGGATGAGGTCTGGATATCGGGTTCTATGGGCTTCCCCAAATCCCCAGATTTATGTGGACGCCGACACGCGGGGAAAAGCTGCTGGGGTAGCTGAATTAGGTAAACTAGTCCACGTAGATGCGGCCGGGTTGCGGGGACCGACCCCCTTACGTGGTCGCTGGTGCGGATAAGGAAAGGGAAGCTGGCTCGGCTCATCAACACCGACGATACCAACAAGGCGAGTCAAAATTGATAGACGTTGACGACCGAAGACTGAGGGTGGAGCATATGCGTCAAGCTCAACTCTGATGGCACTTGTCACACGGCATAGCAAGCCTTGTCGGTGTTTGTTTGCCTGTACCCGTACATCATTTTATGACAGCGTCGACACCTGATATTGATGACCGAGAAAGAGTGTCCTATATCCATATACTTATTGCTGCGTAGATTCTGCACCTAAGACTCGGTTCGGAATAGTTATCGGAGGATGCTCCCTGCTGTGTGGATCCCTCAGTATCAGTGTTTTCTTTTTCCTTGCCCCGTTTACAGAGTGCATGAGGACCCGACCCGTGGTATGGATAGTCGTGATCAGAATGGCCCACTTCATCGACATACACGTAGTGTTCTTCCGTCTGGTACCTAGGTGACTACGAGTCGACGTAAACGTGCCTCGATGCTCGATGAGATGATGGGTTATGGATACTCTTCGTACTTTCCCTCACATGCATCCAGACTCTGGAGAACAACATGCAAGGCAATATACAGAGTAGATTCTGGTTGGATGGGTGAGCCATACGAACCCGCCTTTGTCATCCAATGTCGTCACATTGGACGATGGTACGGATATTAGAAGGCACATTCAAGCTTTGGGTGCTTGGTGTACGTACTCCATGCCTACCTAGGTACCTAGCAGCCTAGGTAGGAAGGTAGGTACTATATGTATCCGCACATCGTGCGAACGAATACATATGCGCGCCAATCGGAGATGACGTAGGTCCCCGGCCGGGCCCCGCACTCGGAGGAAGGACGAGGCAACCACACGCCGATACCTAGGTACTTCGCCCTTGCCCTCGGGACTTGGCGAGAAACAAGCGGGCTGATTACTCCGCACTCCCTCGGCACGTTTTACACTATCCGTACTTGCTCACCAACACCACCACACCCACCACTTAAACGTCGTCAAAACACACATGGCGCTCTATGGAACCGTGCCTGTTGGGCAACCAGCATCTTCCTGCCTTCGATACTCGGTTTTTGGCACCCATGTCTGCCCCTTGTCTGACACACTTGGCAGGTCTTGACACGCGCTTGTGCCCAGCGCTGTGGTTCCACTGCGTCCGCCGAGTTGCTTGCTTGCTGCTATTTACTACTTACTATACGGATACACTTGGCCTGATCGATCGAACGGAGCGCCTGGTATTGGCGAGTATTGCAGCCCATGCGACTCTCTCCGTCTTCATACCTACTACGTTGGTTATAGACGCTTGGAAGTTGGAACCACCCACCACGCTCTTCGGCGAAAGAGACAACAGAATCCGTCGTGTCCCTCTGCCAACGTCCGTATGCGCACATGCTGCCTCCTAGGTAGGGTGGTACCCGAGAGCTTGCAACTTGCATTGTGCTTCGGCCTGCATCCTCCTACCTACCTAGTCTATTCCCCCATCCTTGCATCTCCAATTATCCCCCCATTGTTGCCCTCTCCAAGTCTTCCTCGACCCCATCCCAACCCCATTCCAATTTCGAACCTTCACTCACCAGACCACTATTCGCCCATATATGTACGGAGTACAAGGTACACAGTATTGATAAGGCATGCCAATCCTGTCGCTCTCGGAACCGACTAGCCCACCCCCGAGACCCCTAGCATTTGCTTTATCGTCGACTTCCTCCGCATGGTAGCCCCCATGATTCGTGCGCCTGTTGCACCACCTCGGAAGTGGCAGAGTCGAGACCTGAGAGCCGCCCATCTTCTCCGCTTCGAACCTGTTTGCCGTTTACCAACCGTTCAACGTGTCCGCTGTATCGAGAACCGCCCACCTCCCCCTCGCTACGTACCCCAGTTTGATCTTGCTTGCCCAGGTATCCCAACTCGACCAACCCACCTGTATCGACTGTCGCGGGAGGCTATGCCAAGAAAAGAGTGATGATTACCTATGCCCGAACTATTGACCCCTCACTGCTGTCTGCCACCTCGTGCCACTCCGCAGTTCGTTTCTGTTGTTTGACCGCTTGCCCCCGCCCCCTGGTGAGTTCAAATTCCGGCCTAGATCCGGCGTCAGTTGGGCAGTGAACAGGTCGCATCCGTTTTCCGCCACTCATCATCAACTAGCTGCTTGTTTATTCTCTGAACTTCCAGCCACAGCTTCAATCGGACCACCACCGCCGCCCACCACCCACTTCGTACTGTTCCGTGGTCCATTCGCAAACTAAGCCAGAATCAGTCAGCTATGGCAACCTTCACCAAGATCGCAGAGGATGTGCGCCCTAGCATCACCTTGAACCCCTCCCACATCATCTCCAAGATCGATGACAACGTCTATGGTGGCTTCACCGAGTACGTCGTCGCTACGCTGTCGCTTCTTGCTCGCCTGAACCCTCCGATTTCATGCAAGCACGCTGTCATAACTCGCTAATACCTGCGCCACAGGCACATGGGAAGATGTATTTACGGCGGCATTTACGATCCCGGCAACCCGCTCTCCGACGAGAACGGTTTCCGTAAAGATGTTATTGAAGCCTTCAAAGAGCTGAACTGCCCTGTTGTACGGTATCCCGGTGGAAATTTCGTCGCGACCTACCACTGGATTGACGGCGTTGGTCCCAAAGAGAAGCGCCCCAAGAGGTACGAAAGAAGAAGCCCGTATCCTGGAGTTGCAGTCTGTGCCTTGGGGATCTCTAACCCCCTGGCAACGCTGAATCCTGCGAGGGCCTGAACCCTGTGCGGGTAGCCTGTCTTGGTGTTTGCAGCAAGAAGCTAACGCCGTGTTCCTACATTAGACACGAGCTGGCTTGGGTCTGCGTTGAAAGCAATGAGTTCGGAACGGACGAGTTCATGAAGTGGTGTGAGGTCGTGGGAGCAGAGCCTTACTTGGCCCTCAACTTCGGTACCGGAACGCTTGATGAGGGTAAGCTGCTCCCCGTCACAAACATCACGTTTCCGCCAACAGATGGTACCTGTGAATTGATTCCAACTGATTGAATGTTGCTCAAAGCTCTGGCGTGGGTCGAGTACTGCAACTCTGACAAGGACACTTATTACGCCAACCTCCGTCGACAGAATGGCCGCGAGAAACCTTACAACGTAAGTCTCCAAGCTTCGTACCATTTACGGGTGCATCCCGCTCACTCGATAACGCCCAGGTCAAATACTGGGCCCTTGGCAACGAGATGTGGGGTCCCTGGCAAGTCGGCCAAATGACCAAGGAAGACTACGCCAAGCAGGCGTACCAGTGGGCCAAGGCGCTCAAGCTTCTTGATCCCTCCATAGAGCTGATCCTCTGCGGTGAGACTGGCTTCAGTAGCTGGGATACCTATGTGATCAAGGAGTGCATCACGTGGAGTATGCATGGCCTCGGTGGCAGCACCACGGCGTCCCTGATCGACATGCACAGCATTCACCTTTATACCGCGTCGGAAGACCACCTTAAGAACGCCACGGGTTTGTTATTCCGTCTTCCACAACACTTATTGTGACAGGATGAGCATGAAACTGACCCCCTGAACAGCACCTAGGGCGGCCGAACGTGCCATTGAGATTACGGGTGGTCTCATAGACCTTGCCCGTATCGAGAACAAGGTCCCCCCCACGTGTAAGAGACAAAAGATCTGCTTCGACGAGTGGAATGTTTGGGATCCTGCCAGAGCACCCGGTGAGGAGGGTGGCGAGGAAGCGTAAGTTCAGCCTCTGTCGATGAACTCCCACCTCCCCCGTCAAACAGCGCTGATCAAGCCAACAGCTACACACTATCAGACGCCCTCGCCGTTGGCGTCTGGCTGAACGTTTTTGTTCGCCAGGCCAAGTACATTGGCATGACCAACATCGCCCAGTCTGTCAATGTCATCTCCCCTTTAATGACCACGAAAGAGAGCATCACCAAGCAGACCACTTGGTGGCCTTTGCTACTCTTCAGCAAGTATATGCGAGGCTCTACCATCGCCACCCACGTCCGCTCCCCCGAGTACGAGGGTGCCACCGAGCCCAACTGGATCCGAGGGGCCATCGAGACACCTTATCTCGACGTCAGTGCTACTGTTGACGACAACGGCTTTGTCAACTTGGCCGTCGTCAACATCCACGAGACCAAGAGCTTCGCCGTCGACCTCGAGGGTGTTAAGGAAGGCGCCGATATCCATGTTTACACCGTCACCGGAGAGAACGTCCGGGTTGTCAACAAGGGTGACGAGAACCCCGTTGGTATTGCCGAGAGCACGTGGGACGGCAAAGGCGCATACGAGTTCCAGAAGGCCTCGGTCACGCTACTGAGATGGAAGCACTAAGAGAAGAAGATATGGTTGGGGATAAGGAGGACAGCGATCTGCAGGAACCGAAACTTGCATATATGATGTGAAATGAATTTATTTGATGCTGAGTTGGGACCTGGGCTGAAGGTGGACTGGCGGGACCAATATCACCTAGACTTCATCGGCCTGCATATAGCCAAATAGAAGATTATGACATGATGCACATGTGGTGTTTGACTTCGTGTGCCCAAATTTGAATGCGATGTAGCTCTGAGGCAGCGCACGCTTTGTTTCAAGTCCTCGAACTCTACCTGATGGGGGTACCAAGCCGTATCTCAAACCATCGAAGGCGTACCCCCAACACGACTGAGCTGGCCAGATCAATGTAGGAAAGTGGCCTTTCAACAGTAGGTTCCTTATGCAGTAAATATTAGGAGGTGATGTGGTGGCCAATCCTCGGTTGAGGTCGTGCATGCTTCAGTCTCATTCTTCCGTAGAGTGGGGAACACCCCTCGAGTTTCGCCTTTCAAGGGAATTGCCGTCTAAGTGGGTGTGCTTCCGTATTCAGTACATACTCGTCCAGGCTGATGAGACTGGGAGGTGAGAAGATCAAGTAAAAGTATTTCAGTGTCTCGGCCAGCCAGAAGCTCTACAAGAAACGGTTAGTTGCCACATTTCCGTACTGAACCTTTTCTTTGCAACGTACCTCCATTGAATCCAGCTTCCTTGTCTCTCCTTCAACCGTTACGTCTTCAATGGCTGAGTTCGCATGCTGTGTTTCGGTGGCCTTGACGACCGATTGGAACATGGTCCAGGCCATCTCCTGGTATTCGGGGTTGCCGGTCATCCTGTACATCAGGAAGATACTCTCAATGGCCTCTGGTCGGAGAATGTATCGCGGGTCACGAGCATTTGAGAAGCCCTTTCTCAGATTGGAGGCGCCTTCGCGCTTCCAACGATCCTCGTCCCACTCGCAACTATCCAGCGTCTCACAAGCGACCATGCCAAAGATCTCGGGCATGACACCCGTGGGAAAGGAGCTATAGGCCCAGCCGCAGCCGCGCGCCAGCCTCTCGGCTATGCTCATGTGCTCTTTGATTCCGAACAGCTTACCGCCGAGCCCGAACATGCCACCCGTAAAGCATGCCAAGTGCTGGCTCTCTGGGTTATGTCTTACGTTACCTTCGACAACTGCCGACCCAGAAAAGAGGATATCCTCGCCATCGGGGAGCATGGGGCGGAAAAGGAGATGCTCCTCGACGACTCGCATGGCGTGGCGATACATTCTCTCGTACGCCGGATCGGTCCCTCCAAGCAAGGCGAACATTTTTGGCAAATACTCGTACAGGGAGTCGGCCAGGGCACCCAGCGTGAACTCGTTGTATTGTGTGACGGACTGGTCCCTGAAGTTGATGAGAGCTGGCCACATGCCCGGCAGCTTGCTCTCGCGCTGCGTCCTCTCCAGAAACCGCTTGATCCTCTCGATGGCGTCGAAATACTTAGGGTCTCCGGTAAGTTGCGATAGCCTCGTGAACTCGAGCGACAGGGAGCAGGGCGATGCTGAAGGGTCGGCAGTGCCCGCCACGAGGGTTCCCGCCTTCGCGGCATCAAAGTCGAGCCAAAAAGGCGGCATCCGGTTTGGCGTGTCGAAAGAAGCATAGAGCATGTCGCCCAGTTCGATGGCCTTGGAGAGCAGGACAGGCTCCCCGCTGAGGTCGTAGGCACTCAGAAGGCCACCGAGATGTCGGATAGTCGTCTCGAAGACATTGACTGCCGTTTCTTTGGTGTTGTCCCAGTCCATAGACCCGATAACGGGCAAGGCGGCGTCAAAGTCGTCGCGCAACCCCATTATCCAAAGCGTGTCGAGGGCATCGACAAGCGTAGCCGCATAGCCGCCAAATGTATTTTTGCCCTTGGCAGTGATGGGCGCCAGCTCGTCGAACCCCCACGCGTACTCCTTGTAGCTGTTCCAGCTCTTGACGAAGACGTCTCGGACCGCCTGCCGTCGCGATTCGGATGTTGCATCGTTCTGGCGCATGCGCTTGTCGCCGAAGTCGAACTGGACTTGTGGGAGGGCTTTCGGACGCTCGGTCGGCAGGCGGTGCATGGAGGACGGAGCTACCGGGTACTTGTGCTGATGGTTGGCCCAGTCGAAGCTGCTCTTGACGAGCCGGATGTCTACATGTTGACGAGGCGGCGGTGAGACGCTGGAGCGGAGAACATGGAGGACAAGAATGCCCAAAAGAAAGACGGCGATGATTATGACACGCCGTTGTCGTCGATTGGCCATTTTGTCATGTTGGGATCGTGATGCGACGGTAGACTATCCAGTTTGGTGTGTTGGTGCTGAGCTTTTGCTATGGGTGGGCTTGGGGGTCGATGCCATCCGTAGTCGCAGGAGGACACCTTGACAGCTTCTGAATCGTGCCGTGTCTCATGAGCCGCGCAGTGCCGCGCTGATCTGGGCTGGTTGCTTCGAAAAAAGTAACCATGTTTGACACCCAGGTCTAATTATTAAAGGTCGCAGTTGTTATTTTCCAGTACGTAACGGGCGCAATGGAGCCGGAGAGTTCGGTTCGGCCAGAGATAAAGCGGATCGGTAATCTAGGGGAGACGCTAGTGAAATATGCATGCCCAGGCTGCCCCAGATTCCAAACTGTGCTGGCTGACCTTTTTGCCAAGGAGTGATCAGACAAGCTGATATTGTCCCCCGAGAGTACCGTGCACAATAACAGCAATAAAGCTCAGCAGACAGTGGATTTAGTGATAACACAACTATCTCTAGAGGCAAAAGGGATGGTCTTGGCCCATCCCGACCCAGAGCGCAGCGTAGGAAGCAGGGTGGGTTAGACCATTCCAACCCTCCCCAGCGGAGCCGTTTTGGAATTAAAAAAAAATCTAAGAAAACTGTATTTGAATTGGATTTGAACCTGCAGCCTTTAGGATATGAGGTTTATTGCTGTTATCGCTGTTATCGTGCACAGTACTCTCGGGTTGACAGGGGGGGGGCACTATCAGCTTGTCTGTAGACTCTTTGCCAAGGGGGCATTTACACCTATCTAAGATAGGTGAGTTGACTGCCTTCTATAATAGGACTGCCCTGTGCGGTGGCAGAGAGCGCGACCCAGAAAGATGCGACCAATGGCTATCGTATTCCTTTTCTGACCAATCAGAGAGCAAGGGACTGGGGGGGACCAAGGGCAACAGAATCTATCTCAGGCGGAATAGAATAACCTTTCCTAACGGAAGGCAGATGACTTCCTTATGCGTAATTAAAACAGGTAGGCACTAGCTGGTACTGAAGCGTCTTCCTTTATTCTGTGATGACAACAGTGGGCCTATAGTTCCCACTACACATAAGTTTCACTACGACATATTCCTACTGTCGTTAATAAGCCTATGCGTCTCCCTACAACCTCGAGTGCTTAAATCCCGAGTTCTCCTTCCGACCTTCTTGACTTTCTTACCTGTCCTTGCTTTAAATGTTCTGTACATATATTCCCCCACCTCGTTAACTCTTTTCCTTTCTTTAAGCGTAAATAAAGACAGGAATGTGATGCGCCCCAGTATTTCACAACCCCTCCTCCTCTGTTTATGGAGTTTACTTCTTGCCGGGACGGCAGCACACCTTCTGCAAGACCGCGGCTATAAAGACAAATTCGACAACTTTTACTACGTCACACAGGGCGAATGGGCATGCAGCAAGCTCAAGTTAGAATATATTCGATTTGGGATTAGGGAGGCACATGGGCTTGCCGAAAATTCTCTTAATGTACTAAAAAGTAGAGGCTCTGAAACATCACCTGCATTTAGCCTGTGGTTTGGAAAGAGTAAGTTGTTCTTTTTTATTATGCATCATACCTAGTTATTGTCCAAGCTAATAGATATTAGGTAATGCTACCCCTCAAATGGTAGACATCCTTATCAAGCAACATTACAGAACCGCCTTGTCACATCTGTCTTCTCCTACAAAGAAGACACAGTTTTATTTTGACAAAGTCCCCAAATTCAGGGCGATCAAAGACAACAAGAAACCAACGTTCAACTCTATTGTCTACGCATGTCCTCCTGATAACGATTCAGCCAAGATGTGTGGTCCAGAGAACTTAGCTACCGCTATCTATGAGCCACGTGGCAAATCTTCAACAAGAGGCCCAACTATACTCGGCTTCTGCCCCACCTACTTTAAGCATGAGGTCTTTGCTAAAAATATTGACATGGTGGACAATTATCGGAGAGATCGCAAGACTGATAAGCCATCAAGAGGCTTCCTGTTACTGCACGAGCTTCAGCATATCTCAAAGGCAACGTTTCCCGACCCTCCTGCCGAGGACGTAGATGAGCCGCCCCCCGCCAGATCTAGTAACAGTAAATGCTATTCCCCGGCATGGTGAGTTCTCCCTTCCCTGCCCATTTTTTGTCCTATTTTTAGGTAGCATGTAAGCTAACTCTTATCTTTCTCAAGCTGTGCAAAACTCTCTGATTCTAACAAGATCCGCAATGCCGAGAATTATGCACTGTTTGCCCTTCATGTTGCCGCATTCCCAATAACTGGGAAACCAATCACGTGAGGTGATAATCACCTTTTTGCCCTTGTCAAGGAAACAGCAAAGCTCTACGGCTCAGCTTCTCTCTTGTACAGCGAGACATCATGTCCACAACTTCTCTGTACGTCCTTGAGCAGCACCGCCGTGATCATGCATAAATGAGCTTGATTGTCCCCTGGTCCCGCCGCGGGCTTGTTCTAGGTGATGAAATGTGGTGTTCTAGTTGGATAGACAAGTAGTGGCAGTGTTGGTAGTGGCGGTGTCTGCTAAATATCCGTATGCTTAGAGACCATGAACCAACTAAAAGGGGGCCGTCATTCTACCAGCTGCCCCGCAAGTACCGGCTTTTTCTCAAAGACCATGGAAGCAATCGCTACGAAGTGGCATTGTCAACTGAAGGGTTCCTAGCCAGCAAGTGATTAAGCTTGCGGTTTTAAGTTTCGATGGATGTCACGTACCTCTCGTTCGTCGGGCTGCTCAACCATAAAGCGGCCCAGTGAAATTGTACGGTTACTTATCCAACGAACGCATACGGGTCTGCCGGCTCTGGCCAATTGGCTGTTGAAACTAATCTTATCCACTACTGGGTCGAGAAGGGCCTGTCACAGCACTAGCGTGAGTAGAATAATACACTTTAACGCCAAGTGGAAGCGTCCTAGGGTGCAACGGGCATTCCGAATCATCAAAGGGGATGGGCATTAAACTTTTCCGCCCCTTTTTGCGGCTTGGTTGAAAGCGGATATGCGACGAAATAACGAATCAGAGGGTAAAGTTGGAAAAATTCCTCGACCTCGAGTGACATCAAGAGTCTAAGGAGCTTGGAGTGGCGCCAAGCCCACGATTCATGAATCAGTACCACATGCCCTAGTTCCCGCGGGGGTGGTAAGCCCACAGGCCTCGAAAGTATCGGCAAAGAAATCTTTCGGGGCGGAAATAAGAGTATAGGTAGGTACATTAGTCTGCGAATTCGCCAACCAATCTTCGCTCGCTAGGGGTTATGGCTGCTGGCATAGGACAAATCCCGACTACTCTGTATTGGGCGAGCTAAGGATCTTCAGAAGCCGGCTATCCCCTCAAGAGCGATAAGGCCCCATCTCCACTTATTTCTCCGCACTACGCGCACATGACAAGAATACATGACGTAACACTATTTATCTCAATGTTATTTTGTATAGTAACACTACTAAAATCAACATAATTAACTATTTAATAATGTCTTCTGATTCTAATACCTCTGTGACCTCTAGTATATCTGCTAGAGCTGCTAGAGCTACTAGAGAAATACAGGACTATATTAAGGTCTACTAGGCAACCTTGCTGTTGCCTATACCTAGAATTGCCTATAATAAAGACAAGTAGCCCTAGGTAAGATATCTAGGAATAGCGTCACTTGGTAAAGAAAGTCTTAAAGAAAGTCTTGTTGTAGTTGCTTAACTTATAACGTGGCTCTTTATAAGGAGGGAAATTACTAGTACCTCTGGCATAGGCAAAAATAGGCGTAAATAGAGGTACTATATATATTCTGACCTTTGCGGGGTGATTACTGGTGCCCGCAGTGGAGATGGGGCCTTATCGCTCTTGAGGGGATATCATTATTGCCTCTTCCTTCTCGAGACGCGTACCTTTCGTCTCCTTGTTGCGGTTGTTCTGCAGCGGTCGTATTGTGGAGACTTGCAGTTCCATTGCGCTCTTCAGACTTCGCTGTTTGAATGACTGATTTGTCGCAACATCAAACCTCATCGCGTGCGTCTCTTCGTTCATTATCAACTTGCCACTCTTGCGCGCACCAAGTAGACAGACCGGTTTCAAGATCCCACAACACTGTGTTGCTAACTTTGAAAACGCTCAACACAGCATTTGTGTCATAAAAAAACTTGATATTCGTTTCACTTTCTTTTCAGGATTCAAGGGGAGAGGCTTCTGTGAGCCATGGCGGATATCGAAGCATCACGCCCAACATCAACGGAAGGGCAATCTCATGACGAAGAGAAGGGATATGACACAACGAGAATTGAGAATGATCGCGGAACCATCAAAAGCCTATTTCACAAGGCGTTGCAGTTGGTTCAAGTCGAAGAGGAAGGTATCAAGCCAATCCCGCTGGCGGAGCGGACATCTACTCGGTACCTCAACGCCTTCACTGTCTGGTGTTCCATGAATGCCAATATCCTTCCGTGAGTCACTGGCACAAGAAACACCCAATCAGCCTGCCCCTAATCTCTTCAAGGATAACGTTTGGAATGCTGGGACCGTCACTCTTTGGCCTGAATCTTCGAGACTCGTCCTTTGTTATTCTCTTTTTCACCTTGCTCTCGACGCTGGCTCCGGCTTTTCTTGCCACCCTGGGTCCCAAGACGGGCATGCGATCAATGATTCAAGCGCGATATAGTTTCGGGTACGTTTTTTCTCAGTAGTTCCTCTCACATCTTTGCTGACACGCCTTTTAGACGGTATCTTGTCTCCGTGCCTGTGGTGCTTAACCTAGCCACACTGACGGGCTTCTGTGTCATTATCTGCGTCGTCGGCGGCCAATGCCTTTCTGCCGTTACCAACAGTGCTCTCAGCCCGGATTTAGGTATCGTGCTTATTGCTCTCCTGTCCCTTTCGATCTCCTTCTGTGGGTTCAAGGTCTTGCATTTCTACGAGACCTATGCTTTCATCCCGGCAGTCATTGCGATAGTGATCGCCACTGGATGCGGAGGCTCGAGACTCCGGGAACAAACCGACATGACTCCTGCAACAGCTTCATCGATTTTGAACTTCGGTATGATTGTGTCATCTTACATGATTCCATGGGCGTGTATTGCTTCAGATCTTACCACCTACTTTGACCCCAGGGTCCGGGGTGCTTCGTCAGTATCTTGACCTTTCAAAGCACATATCCACTGTCCCCGTAACTGACTGTTCCTAGGTACCGTGTGTTCGCTTACAGCTACATCGGTTTGGTTCTGCCCACCATTCTTTTGATGACGCTCGGCAGCGCCATCGGTGGTGCCATAGCCAATGTGCCTGAATGGCAAAAGGGCTACGATTCGACACTTGTGGGCGGCGTATTGGCTGCCATGCTTGCGCCAGCAGGTGGGTTTGGCAAATTCGTCGTCGTTGTTCTGGCATTTACCCTTCTCGGCAATATCTCCGGCACAATGTATGCCATCACACTCAACTTCCAGACATTGGTTCCTTCGCTGGTGCGGGTTCCTCGCTATGTCTTCTCGATCGTGGTCACAGCCGTCATGATCCCAGTTGCCATCAAGGCCGCTGATGACTTTTTCTTGAATTTGGAGAACTTTGTGGCATTGATCGGGTACTGGTCTGCGTCCTTCGTCGGCATCGTCGTGGTCGAGCATTTTGTTTTCCGCAAAGGAGATGTCGAACTGTATGATTACCATAGTTGGAACGTTACTTCCAGTTTACCCAGTGGTGTTGCGGCTCTTGCTGCGGGCATCCTGAGTTTTGGCCTCGTTGTTCCCTGCATGGCCCAGGCTTGGTGGACCGGACCAATTGCTAAGGTCACTGGTGACATTGGATTTGAGGTGGCATTCATTTTAAGCGCACTGTTCTATATGCCTTTGAGAACACTTGAAAAGCGAGTTCTCCGCCGATAGATATCGATGAGCCCTCAACGAAGACAGGTACAGAAACCATCAGCTATCATTAAAATTAATCTATAGTACTAATAAGATAGAGCCAAAGAGCTAAGTGTCTTCAACATGACATCGTCTTATACAGATCGGCGGATGCTTCGTTCCGATTCCTCACTCTCGATCCAGACATCTCGTGCGTCGATGTTGTCGCTCCGCAGACCGAAAGGCACGGCAACAGCATGGACCCAGGAATTTTGTCCTTATTTTAGCATACATGGGTGTGCCGACCAACGTTGGATCATGTAAATTGATGACAGAACCGACGTTTCTTGAATGCAAGTATAAAACACCCACGTGCTATCCCCTACGCAGCGAGCGTTCGTCCCAACAATGTTCGTCTCCATGGACCCGCATGAATCTATGCGCCAACAATTTTTAGCTTGCCATTGTCGGGATCGTCAGTCGCTCGGAGCTACCTTGGCTCCTCCACCAACCGGCTCTGGTGCAGCACTTAGCCTTTCAACACCAAGTCCAGCAGAAGTCCGGGTGGCAATGTTGTCTCGGTGCTTATTGATTGATATTTCTGTCGTGTATCATCCAAGCCCCGAGCATGATACAGTCGATATATTCGAGCAAATACCAGCGCTTCAATCGTCATAGTAGTGTATGTATAAACGTACACAAGCCTAAGGCACATCATGTCCATACAAAAGCAGTGGGGGAACATGTCAGGCTAAGGATTCCTGTAGTATAGTTAGCAGTCAGCTTACAAATGACTACAGCCCTAGGGAATTACTAATTGCATAGAACGGACGCAAATTCAATGGTTCTCTCACTCCTAACTCTGACCATACCAACTTCACTCTGCCTAATGACCTCGTCAACCATGGCTCAGCAGCAACCCAAAATCAGGGCTGTGTTCTTCGACTTCATGGGCACATGCCTCAACTGGCATGCTAGCGTGATGAAGTGTCTACCTTCGCCAATTCCCAAAGACGAAGCTTCGGAATTCGCCCTCGAATGGCGCAGGCAATACTTTATTGAGATCTCCAAGCGATATCGTAGAGACCTCCAACCTGAGGACGTTGACATCACATTTGCGCGCGTCCTCAACAATCTCCTCGAGCAATCTCCGAAGCATGCCGCTCATTTCAACTCTAGTGTCAAAGCACGTTTGATCGAAGCCTGGCACTCCCAGCCCGCCTGGGCTGAAGTCCCAGAAGCCATTCAGAACCTCCGCGACGATCTCGGCCTTGAAGTCTTTGTACACGCTAACGGTACAACACGACTGCAACTGGACCTTGTCCGGTTTTCGGGACTCAGCTTTAACATGTTGTTCTCCAGTCAACTCTTGGGAGTCTACAAACCCAGTCCGGATGCATATAACAAGGCTCTAGAGCTGGTACAACTCAAGCCAGAGGAGGTAGTGTTGGTCGCTGCTCACGCGTATGACCTGCGCGGGGCTAAGAAGGTTGGCATGAAAACCGTCTATGTGCATCGGTGGACTGACGACGTGGACGAGGATATGGAGAAGGTCAAGTCAGAATTCAATGCTTTTCTGGAGGACATGACGGATCTTCCCAACGTTATAGCGAGTCTTTGAAACAAAGAGTTACTGACAAAGAACGATTGTTCGTCTAGGTACTTCTTTGTTTAGACGTTCCTCTCAATGTTGTTCGGTCGAAAATCTACATCTCAAGCATATCACGATTGCCGCTGGCAGTATTTATCATTTCCATTCTGATCTCGTGTCCAGTTCCTGTATTTATTCGGCCTTTATTGGTGGCTATCATCTCGCTGCGCACTAGACCGCCGGGTTGGCTACAACTTCTGCGATAACAGCGTCCAAGTCCTCATCTTCGAGTCCTAGAGTCTTCATAGCGAAGCCGTCCCGCTCGGTCCAATTTGCGTCCAGTTGGCCGACAGCAAAAACAAGATCCTCAATCGCCTCGGCATCACCAGCGTCGGCCTTTTTCTTGTGTTCCTCAATAAAACTTTCCGACTCGACCTTCTTCACAGTCCACCTTGATCCCGTCGCTTTCTCGAGACTCTGAAGCAGCTCGTTCTGTGTGATGCAGAAGCTCTGGATAAACAACGTTTTGTTCTTCGTAACTTCGGTGACACCCAGGTCAAGAATGCGCACGACAGCTTCGCCAACTCTCGGAAGCGTCGCAACGGAGGCTTTGATGTTGCCGCCGTCGATGACATCGATTGCTTTCCTGTCCAGATATGCATGCAAGAACCCTTCCTTGACTCCCCAGTCGAAAAAGTGGCCACATACAATGCCTGTCCAGGCAAAGTTGGGGTTTTTGTCTGCCAATTCCTGAGCCCTTTGACGGACGGCGAGCTTGTAGCGGTACAGCGGGATAAGTTCCCGCGCGCGGGGGTTGTCGGCGTCAATACTGCCGAAGTCGGCGGGCATGAAATGCTGCACCCCCGCAGCCGAAGCGGCCTCGGCGATGCGCAAGTGCTGCTCCAAGTTACGCAGTCGAAAGCTTACGATGACGACATCCTGGCCTTTGAAGGCCTTCTCAAGACCCTCGAAAGAAAGATCATCGTCAACCTCGATGATTTCTACCTGCTCTGTGGGATACGGGAGCTTGCTCCGGGAACTAGCTCTCTTTAGAGCACTGAGCTTGAATGACTTGGCAGCGACGAGAGCGTCGAGGATTTTGGCGCCTAATGTGCCGTTGGCGCCAACGATAAGAACTGATTTGACTGTCATGGTGGGTGAACTTAGAAAAAACGGGATGGTCCGCAATATCCCGCCTCTGTTTCGGTGAAAGGCGAATTAGGGGTGTTGAGCTACGATGTTGTCAAAAAGTACGAGCAAGCATTCTCGAGGGAATTGTGTCGAGGGCACGGGTCTAAGCGGTCTAAGCGATCAAACTGTCATGGGCAGCCCCGTACACTAACGTACTAGTAGAAGGTTATCGCGGCACCCAAGAGTCACCGCCGCGACCGGAGTTAGGGAAGCCAGCCCCGGGCCCGCCCGGCCCCGAAAACCGAATACTGATGGCCCCCGCCCCCACTCGTTACCTGCCAGAGGATACTAGCATCCTTCTTATCAGCAGAGAGCCTTCTCGACCATAGGACCTCGCGTCTTCGTGCTCGCTACTGTGCTTTTAAGTGCACGGGTATCGATGCAATTACCCTTCCGTTCTTTGGCCAATACCCGAAACTTAAGTTTTCATCGCCATGTTGGACACTAGGATGGCAACAGACTGACAGATTGGTTGGATGTCAGGACCTGATGAGAGTAGTAATCTGGTCCTCGCCAAACTTTTAGACTAATACAAGACAAATCTTTGTATTAGGGCAGTTAAAAAAGCCACCGCACCAAGCTGGTTTTCTAACCGCTGGCCTGTTTTGCAGCCACCTGCGCTTAAGTCCGGGCGTAAACTCCATGGTTATGGGCTCATATTAAGATGCAAGACGCTGCTACTCCACAACCTTTGAGTACAAAGTTTATCAACACTTTGAGGGTTCTCGTCGCCTGGAACTTGACGCTTCTCGGAAATAGTTCAATGGTCCAGGCTTATCATCATGTCTTCTAAACGCATTGTGCTCATCACCGGTGCCAACACCGGCATCGGGTTCGAGACCATCAGGGCCCTCCTGCAATCTAAAGGACCTTATCACATCATCATGGGGTCGAGGTCTCTTGACAAGGGCGCAGTTGCCATTTCAGAACTTGAAAAAGAGTTTCCATCTACGACCAGCTCTCTGGAAGTCCTACAAGTCGATATTGTGGACGATGATTCCATAACAAAGGCTTTTCAGAGCATTAAGGACAAGCACGGGGTCCTCGATGTTTTGGTAAACAACGCTGGTATGTTTGGCCAAATATTCCAACACCGCTATGAAGAGTATGTTCCTCGTCTAATCAATTGATAGGCGCCAGTTACGACTTCAACCCTCAGAACTACAACCCAGAGGATATTAAGGCCCTCCGTCAAAACTTCAATAAATCATATGATGTCAATACGACAGGCACGCATGTCATCACCCACGTATTCGTTCCTCTTCTTCTCAAATCCTCCGACCCCCGCATTTTGTTCGTAACTAGCGGCCTCTCCAACCTCCACGGCATTGAAACCCTTGGCTTATTGCCCTTTCAGCCCCAGAGTGTCCCGCCGGCGGGTTGGCCGAAGCCCTTCACGGCGCAGGCAGGATACCGCTCGAGTAAAACCGCGCTCAACATGGTTATGCTCCATTGGCACTGGTTACTTAAGGCCGACGGTGTCAAGGTGTGGTGCATCTCTCCAGGGTTCCTGGCCACTGGCTTGGGTGGAAACCCCGAACTGTTAAAGAAGATGGGCGCGGGCGAACCAAGCCAGGGCGGCTTTCTGATCAAACAGGTTGTGGAGGGTGAGCGGGATGCTGATGTTGGAAAGGTTGTGAACAAAGATGGAATTCAACCTTGGTGAGACTTGAACAGCATAAGCTGATGTACGGCTGAGCTCCATATGTCACCGTATCACTTGGCCAATAATGTGTCAGCATTGATGATCCAAATCTTGATTCGCGGCGGGTATGTACGTGGCGCCGAGAATCTGGTTCTTTAGCCCCCTCATTATGCAGCCAACTACATGTATAACCGTACTCGATCACGGACTTCCGGATCGTCGAGCAAGCAGGACTGATGGAACCATGGGGTATTCCTATCCATCCGATCGTAAACTTGTGGCACCGATGAGACGCTTTGCGCAACGTGGACAAAGCGAACGTCGAGTGGCACGAGTACGAATATGGCGGCCACTGGATAACCGAACCTGAAGGCGTCGACGATTTCGTTCGCTTTATCAAACGCAGGATGAAGTAAGCTACTTCAAAAACGATGCTGATGCTAGACCCATTGCCTGTGCGAGCGAGCTCCGAGGAGACGAGGATAAGCATAGGCGGACTAAGGCGAAGAGGCTTTGCGCAGGCATCCCACAAAAGCGGATGAATCGTGGCATCTCTTTCATGTATGAAAATTGTCCAATACTATATTAACTGGTAAAGTGGAATAGCTCGGAAAGTGAGATATCAGGGGAAGAGGGAGTTTCTATCAGACAGGAAGGGAGGACCGTAAGAGGTGGTCAGTAAGTGATGGTTGCAACTTTGCGGACGAACTCATCGTTGCCACCCTTCTGGAGAACATTTTCAAATATCCACCGGCCGACGTCCTCGCGCGAAATGGAGTACCCAATAGCAAGCTGCTCCACGCCCTTGACGGGGTCCTCAATCCCAACTCGGACAGCACCCGACGGTCGCTCCTTGCTGTTGGTGAGGAGACTGGCACGGACAACAGTCCAAGCCTCGTTGCTGGCAAACAGCAGTTCCTCCATGGCGCGCTTGTCCTCATGGGGGACGTGCAGCAGTCCCTTGTAGAGTGGCGCAACGATAAAAGGCATGTCCCTGGCAAACTTTGAGATGCCGGTGCTGCTAAGCCCAAGGATGCGCGGGTTCCCAGAGACACCTTTCTCTGCGCGCAGTTTTCTGACGGCATCGAGCAGGACGGCCATGCCCTTTTCGCACACGTGGACGTCTTCGAGGTTCATCTTGCGCATATCGAACCATGCGCCAATGGAGGAGACGACGGCGTCAACGAATCGGGTTGCGTCTAGAGGCGAAACGAGGTGGCGGGCAACGACGTCGGCATCGTGGGCGTTGCCCTGCGCAACCCGCAGGTTGGGATATTGTTCAGGCAGCAGGATGGAGGCCAGCTTGGAGGGGGTGCGGCACAGGGCGATGCACGTGAAGCCGGCGTCAAGGGAGCGGCGCAGAGCTGACAGGCCGCAGCCGCCGGTGGCTCCGAGGAACAGAATAGTCTTGGGATTTGCGGATGACATGCCGCAAGGTGGTCTGTGCCGGGACGGAACCGATTACGGATGCGAATGGGGGGGCGCTGACGGGGCAGTGAGTCTGGAGCTGGTGGGGCGAGGAGGGGCAGATCGGCTGGAACGGTAATCCACAGATAAGCTTTTCTTCTTCTTCTTTTTTTTTTTTAATCGACGAGTGACAGAGAAGGTTACGTGATGTGGCCAGTGAGATACGATAAAGCACGATAATATTGACTCGGCTCAGATGCAGGATACGATGGTTGGTTCAAAGAGCGATTTGAGCCTGATGAAGATGAAAGAGAGAGAGAGAGAACCTTTCCGTTTCTTTTTTGCAGAACGAGAAATCTCAAGCGCTTTTATCCTACATGGAAGCGGTCCAGAAGATCCCCTGAGAGACGACGATGCGAGGCCTTGCGCAAGCCACAATGGGTCGCGGGAGAGCATAGTTGTGCCGAGTCGGCGTTGAACACCAAAGTTGGAGAGAAACGGCCAAAGGGAGTCAGCAAGGCTGGATTGCGGTTAGAATGTTCCTCCGGTGGCGTCCAATCGGAGACGCCCAAGACCAAGCCACATTCACACACACACTTGTACTCCGTAGCTTACAAGTAAGTACGTACCTAGAGTGGAGACTTTCTCACGTGGTAGTGGGTCTCCACCGTACAAGCCTAGGTAGACCGGACAAGGTTATTGTAAACCAGAAGCACATCACATGACTCACGTGAGTGACTTGGCATTAAACCGAATACGGCATACGCTCACCATGCCCAACCAACGGGGTACGTATCTTATCTCCCCTTCCCTCGTGACGCATAGACGCATAAAGTCAGTCCGTCTCCTACCCGTTGCGTCTCCATCCAACAACCGAAACTCCCTGCGACTCCTCAGGTAAAGCCAGACGAGGTATGTTCACTCCTGAGATCAGATGTGACCAGGTTTCTTGATCCTAGGCCACGATGTTCGAACTTGAGGGGAAGCCTTCAATAACGCGTCATCTATTGCTGCTTTGGCTACCTTTTCGATCTCGCCTGTCCATATACGAATCCGTGCATTAGAACGGCACGAAACTGTTACTCGTTTCCGCCGTTCCATGTGAATATAGATGGCACATGTCGAGTTGGCCTGTCACAGCCGAGCACCCTCCTCCTCAGGGTCGACTGATTCTTCCAAGGAGGCCAGAGACCGCTCTCTCCCAGTAGTTCCTCACGCGAATGCATCATCTGCATTGGGCAACCGGCTTTGAACCCATCCTAAACCCCAGGGGCCTCACTGGCCCTCACGGTACAGGCAACTCCCTGCATGATACTCGCATTCCCCTTGGTCGATCCCACCGGGCTCTCTCCAGCACAGACTGTGTCGTTTCGTTCTGGCCTCGGGTGCCGATGCTAGCTCTATTACTGGGACCAGAACGCAAGCAGGTCTCCTCAAGAATTGGCCAACTGGCTGCGCCGGGAAAAGCATCGTTTGAGTTTCGTCCCAACGTTAGCCCCCGCAACCTTCGTACCCGTTTCCTTCGCAGCCAGGGCAAGTGTCCGGACGCGCAGGAAACGCGGCGGAAAGTTCTAGCTGCGAACTTGAGGAGCACCACGCAAACCCCCGAAATCACAAGCGTGGAGAAGCGGAAAGTCCTCGGGACGGCCATTCTCTACATGCCGGATCCATGCCGTTTCGTTGATCTCTGACGCAAGGCTCATCGAACGGTCGCCCTGCGTTGCCCGCCAATATTAAGATCGCGGCACGCCCGCCGCTGCACTCCTCCGTCTTACAAGGTGTTTTTTTTCCCGACAGGACGTTGTCCATGCCAAGATACGCCTGGTGGTTCGCGCGCTTTTTTTACACCAGCAAACTACTTAGTCGCTAGCGCTTGTCGTTGACTTAGCTCCCCCTCAGCAAGATGCTCGTGGGAAAGTCGGTCCCCGAACTCATCCTCGTGAGGGCCATGGTGGTATTCTTCCAATACCTGGGCCTCCTCTGTTTCCTCTACTTTTGGCTCATCCTCGCCCTCGCCGGCGTGCCCGGCATCGCCCACCCCGTATCCATCGTCATTGAGGTCATCGGCGCCATCGAAATCATCTTCTACTTTGCTTGGTTCGTCCCCTACCGTCGCCGACTGCAAGGGCCCGGGCTCCAACCTACGGAGCTAACGCGAGAGGAGCGGCGCCGCTTCTTCTCCCAAGGTTTGGACCATGCGCCGGATATTGAGCAGTACATCCGCAAGTGGCACTGCAACGCCCATTTGAGCGACATCCGTAGGGAAAATGTCAAAGACTGGTTGATGTGGGCGCTGTTCGAAAAGCAGGGCAACCCGGGGGAACACGACGAGGAGCTGGAGGAGTACATTGCGAATGCCGAGGAGCGGGCCGGCGTCACCATCAAGGAAGGCTACGGCGATTCCACCCCGCTGCGCCTCAGCTTCGATCCCATCGACATCACCCATCGAAGTCTGGTCTTCTACCTTGTAAGTCTTTGCCCCTTCGAGTGGAACCGCGAGGTCCCTCCCCCGACTGACATGTCTCTGCAGATAATAGGCTCGCTCGACTTCTTCGCGACCCTCGTTCTGTTCGTCAGAGGATTCAAGTTCTACCGCCAACCTCGCGGTACCTTCTTCTCCGTTTTCCCCTGGCGGCCCATGACGCTGCTCTCGCCCAATGAGTCGGCCGACCCCAAGCTCAGCTACTTCGTCCGCCCGCACACGTCCACCACCCAGCGGCCCATCCTGTTCATGCACGGCATCGGTGTCGGCATGCTCCCCTACCTCCTCTGGCTGTGGAGCGTTCCCAAAGACGTCGGCATCCTCGCCATCGAGATCCTCCCGGTCTGCTCGCACATCTGCCCGCCCATGCAGACCACCAAGGAGCTCGTCGACGGCATGGATGCCATCATCAAGCAGCAGAACTACAACGACTTTGTCTTCGTCGGCAACTCCTTCGGTACCCTCTTCGTGTCGCCCCTGCTGCAGAGGCCCGAGATCGCGGCCAAGATTGACTCCGTCGTGCTCATCGACCCGGTCTCGCTACTACTCCATCTCCCCGCCGTGGCCTACAACTTCACCCGGCGGAAGCCGAGATGGGGCAACGAGTGGGAGATTTGGTTCATCGCCACGGACCCCATGGTCGCGCAAACGCTCGGCCGCCGCTTCCGCTGGCAGGACTTCATCCTCTGGACGCCACAGCTGCAGGGCAAGCGCACGACGGTGGTATTAGGCGGTGAGGACTGCGTCACGGACCCGGACGCCGTGGCGAGCTACGTCTACTTCGGCGACCTCAAATACACCCGTTACGACAAGATCGAGTGGGCCACGACGCCCGCTCGATGGACGGGCCGTGGCGAGCTGGAGCTGATGTACCTCGCGGGCAAGGACCACGGGCAGGCGTTTCTGAGCATCAAGGACATGCCGCAGATTGCCAAAGTGGTGATCGCGTACACGCACCTCAGCGGGGTCATGGACTCGAGGCAAGCCGACGTGGCGAAGGAGGAGGAGGAACTGAGTCAGACTTGATACCTTTGGCTATGGTTTTTGAATTGAATGTGCCATCTTCTGTTGCGCCTTAAGACCATCCTCTACAGCATCGTACCTATGTCTAAGTGATGCACTTCCTGTCCGAGGGGCACACCATCGTTCTATGTTTGAACTACGCTTAATTCTGCGGGGATGTAGATTCCCGACAGATTTCAACTACACCAGAAACACTCAGTATAACCCGGCATTCCCCAATACCTAAATGATCGTCCAAGCAACACGGCTTGGATCGAGGCCGTTTCATCATTGATGTCGCCCAGTCGTCGAGCGCTTACCCGATGTTGGATTTCCACGACCAGAAGATCCAACTCTCTCATCGCCCGACAGCGAAGGCACCCTCTTCCCTTGGTTTCTAGAGCCATGCGGTTGTGGCGGTGCGCAGCAGTCGACGCTCCAACTCTTCCTCCCCAACCTGTCGAACTTGACAGTCTCGCAACATCGCCTTCGACGGTGCTGTCTTCCCCATGCCCGGGTCCGAGGGCCAGCTGAGGTCAGAGAGGAAAGCATAGCAGACACTCGCCTGCTCGTATCAGCCGAGCATGGAATTGATGGCCTCGGACAGCTCCGCGCTGCTCGTCTTGTCGATGCAGCAAGTGTAAACTCAGATGTAATCGTACCCACGGCTCTGGGCGAATTTGCAGTTGCCCCGGGCCTTGCTGCACCCAGCCATCGATATTATGTCCTTCTGCGGATCGCAGGCATCCTGCAGGGTGACTTCGTCTTTCCCTCAGGTGTGGGAGAGTATAGCAAACTCTGGCGCGTTATCTCCTTCAAAGTTGACAAAGCATCTGAGAGGCTGCCTCTCCTGCTTGGTTACCAAGAGTGTCTCATCTCGACAGTTTCTCAGGAAGGATGCTCCTACTAGTGGGAATGAGGGGCAAAGATATTGACGATTGGCGGCGGGGTTGCAGGTTGAGTTCTTATGCCTGGTAACCCATGATGCCCGAAGACCTCTGACACGCCATGCCACCTGCAAGACGATATGAAAGCTAACAATATCAAACCAAAGCTGCTTACGGGGATCACATATACCAAACAATCATGTTCGCAGTGTTGTTGTATGTTGCTGGTCATAATAGAGACAGTTGAATCTTACAAAGGATACATGGAATGTTGAGCCCAGTCAGCGCATTGCTCGAAATCTGTTGTTCAAGTGACGCAGCAAACTCATTGTGAAATCGAAGCTATAGCAACAGACAGAGCCGATGCCTTCTCCATCTATCATGCTGGTCTGCATTCCGGGTTCATCATCGGTGCAGTATATCGTACATGGTCGTTGCAAATTATAAATCGTAACCATCGTAGGCTGTATGGGTTTACGGCTTAGGCGCATCAGTCAGAGGCACGTATCGAACCCCAAACAGCCTCTCCTTGACAACGGAGCCATCTTCTTTCTTGTCAACAGCCCAAATATACTGGCCCTGGCCGTTGTCGTCCTCGACGGGGATGAACATCCTGTTGCTTCAGTGAGAATCGGCTCATAGACGGAACGGGGAAATGGGCAGCGCACCTCCCGGGAGTACGGAGCTGGTCCACCAGCTCCTGATGGAGCTCCACCGCGGCGGCGCCGACATGGATGGCGTCCCAGCCGGTTCCCGCATCCTCTTCACCCTCCTTAGACGCCTCGACCCACCCCTTCCTCCCGTCGCCGACGCGGAACCTCACCCGGCCGGTCTTCAACAAGGACCTCCCGTCGGCGCTCTTGGTCATGTTCTTCTCGCCGAGGTCCCGCAGTGCCTGGATGTGTTCCAGCCCCACGACGAACCCCTTTTCCCCCGCGAGCTCGGCGAGGAGGTGGGCCAGGTACCCGGAGCCAGATCCGATGTCGAGCACGCGCGGCGCAGGCTTCTTCTCTGAAGGGACGATGTACGGGAGGAGGGATTCGGCGGCGGTGGCGTGCATGTGGGGGGCTGAGATGGTGGCCTTGTGGCCTATGGACTGGGGGGAGTCCTGATAGGGTGCGCTGGGGGCGTAGTGTGCGCGGTCGACCTGAGTTCATGGCGGCTTCAACAGCAGTTCAGGCGGAGGAGTCGAAGGGCTCGCTCGAGGTAGAAAGGGGAGTCACCTTGAGGAATGCATCCTTAACCCTTTGATCCTTGATGAGCCCACGATTCCACATGTTATCGATCAGCTCCTGGTTTGTCGCGCCTGAGCTCCGCCACGCCATGGTGAAGTCAAGGGCGGGCGTCTGGTGCAAGAAGCGGGCAGTAAGGTTGGTAGATGTCGAGCTCCAGAGGAGCTGAAGAGCTCTCTCGGTCGATGGGCGTCGAGGAATCGTGGTGGCGGACGAGTGTGAAGGCTCTGCGGGTTCTTCGCTTCGCTTTTATTCGTTATGTCCAAAAGTCACGGAAAAGATGGAATAGTGACATTCCACAGGTCGGAGTAGTTGTGGTTATGTTGAGTTGGTAAGGCAGCGGAGAGGAGGTTAGGGAGTTCAATGGGCTTGCGTGTAATGTGCATCGTTCCCAATGTTTCCCGAGCTTCCAGCAGTGACAGTATGGTGACAGTGACAGTGAGGGGTATAAAGTACCTACCCTAGTTACCTACCTAAGTACCTAGAGTAGCACTAGGCAACTAAGTATGTACCTAGACCATTGGTAGGTGGCCCGCGCCCGGTCTCCAGTACCACCGATGCAACGAGGTGGCCCCAATGGCGCTGTCACACCCCAAACCTTTCTTCCCCTCCTGGAAACCTTGTTGATAGGTGCTGAACTCTCGACCCCACCATGCCATACATCATCCTGCCGCAAACACCTCACACACATATATACCTACTACCTGACCCTGGGCATCCCAGGCTCAAACGGAAACGACCGGGACCCTGGATCAATAAGAAGTCGAGTTATATCATACCATTTGGGAAAAGTACCGCCAAAAGCGACATCAACAGCTTCATAGAACATGGCAAAATCAAGTAGGCATAACAACGTACTGAAGAAAAACTTTGAGAAAAAAAATCAGCATTGATGATGCCAAGGACGACACCTAAAGTGTGCTCCTTGTCCCGTATGTGGATTACCCTGCGCCCAGTTCCTATCCCTTCAAAAAAAACACCCCGGTAAAGTGTGCAACACTCAAGGAAACAGCCCGATGCCCATGTCGTAGACGCGTGGATCCAATATCTACACGACACATGTTAAATAAAAAAAAGCGCACATGCTATACCACCCTCTCCGAAGACTCGCCCTCAGCGATGATGGGCACTGGCAGCCCGCGGTCGGGGCTCTGCAAAACCAGTTGCTCGTGGCGCCGCGCCTTCAGATAGTCGCTGAGAGACCTGATGAGGATGAACCACCCGACTACCATCAAGATATACGCGATCCACTCCTGTCCCGTAATGTCCGTCACACCGCCGCCGCCCTCGCCCGTCACCGCGTTGGGGTCGAAATTGTGTGAGTTGGGGTCCGGTGGTGCAGCGTATCCGTCTTGGCCGTTCATCTTGGGCGGCCGGTCGCCTTCCGTCGTGCCCTTCATATAGAAACCATACTGAATTAGAGTGACACCAAGACCAGCACGCGATCCATTCTTGGCGGCGTGGGTTGAGTGGAGAAGGTAGGTGAGAATAAAGCCGACGACCTGGAACGACATGGAGATCATGCCGTTCCAAAGGAAGCTGAAGAGAGACCCGACCGGCATGCCGTCGATGTATACTTCATCAGGCCCGCCGAGGCCGGGGGCCAGAATGGTCGTCTCCCAATAAGGCGGCGCCGCATCAGCAGCGGCCTGCTCATACGTCTAGAGGGGGAATGTTAGTATGCGAAGGACAGCACATCTTCGGGTTGGGTAAATGGGCCGGACGTACTGGAGGTTGCTCCTCCTTCGTCTGGCCGCCACGTTCCGGCTTGGCCGTCAAGTTGGAAAAGACGCCCTCATTCTGGATGCCACTACCGTAGATGCGGAATGGAGTCGCAGGGGCATCGGCAGCCGATGCTGTCGTCGAGGGGGGAAATTGGGTGATCTGCCTGTCGGTGTGGGGTCGCCCATCGGAGGAAGGGTTGCGCTGCGCGTCGGCCGAGACGAGGGTCGAGTCAGCGCGGACTAATCTTTGTCGGTCGTCGGCGTCGTCATCGCTATCGTCGCCGTCGGTATCAAATGCGTCGGCGAGCGTCGTGTCGACTCGGCGGGTATCGCGGTCGCGCGAAGACGCTCTCGAGTGGAAGGAAGGAGGAGGCGAGTTTGGTATGGACTGCGGGTGTCTTGGCGGAGCGGAATTAAGGCTGTTGAAGTCGTCTTCGTCTTGGGCATTCACCTAAGAACGGGTGAGTCAGTTGTTAATAATCAGCAAAGAGCAAAAGGCGAAAGCCAGTTGGCATTACGTACCCTCTCATATCGTCCAGCCATTTTGAGGAGTGTTGTATGGTTTTTTGTTGTCTTGGAACCGAAGGACTCGAGCAAACCCCTTTCGCCACCAAGGACGAGACAAGTAACGTTGCGGTGTTGGAGGAGAGATGGAAGACGAGGATTGTCGGTAAACGTAGGGGAATCGGAGTTTGCAAAGGAAATCCCGGAGGAATCGCAGGGGAAAATGGATAAGTCGAGGCAAGACGAAATAAGTAAATAAAGGAGCGACGGGGATGTTGTTTTACTGAAGAAACAGAGGAAATAAGGGTGATGGTCGCAGCGACTGGAAAAACTACGCCATCAGGTTAGGTCGGCTTGGTTCCGGTTGTGTTGGTTGAAGGTGATGAGAATGAGAGACAAATGCAGAGACAGGGACGGAGAGGAGAGTCAGTGTGTATTCAGCACCTGTCGCACGACCCCGGGCGCTCTCGCTGCTCGCTTCGCCTCACTGCTAATCTGCATGTCCGGTCAGTCAGGGAGACAGCGGGTTACATAATACAAGGCATTTGCCGCTAAGGGGTCCCCCTTGTGACAGTGGAGGTGGAGTGTGCGACGAGCGTCACTGTGTCACCAGCTCGAGGGGGTGATCCAAGGATGGGGGGCAAGGGGACACGATTACGTACTCAACAATCACTACCTAGGTACGGATACGGAGTACAGAGTGTAGGTGGTTAGGTATTGCGTGAGAGAAGGTGCTGGAATGAATCGAGGGGAGGGACAAGAAGGAAGGCACTTGGGAATGGTTCTTCCCACCCAGCCAACGGCTGCCTCGTTCCGGGCTCGCCTGGAAACGGACACGGGATGACTGTTATGCCTCAGGCCAAAGTCATGCGCATAACCTCGATTGCGTTGGAACTGAAGTACGTACCTATCCATCGAAGGCGGTCCCTCTCCAAGATCTTTGTGGCCAATTATAGATGTCTTAATACCCCCACCTCAGTGCCATTTAACTCCCATTTCCTATTATGGCCTAATGCGGCTTAGTCCCGGCGCAGTGCATCCCCTTGGCTCCGACAAATGAATTCTTCCATATCTGCCATCCGATGCAAAATCCTTGACGTCGTTGATGGGATTCTGAGCTAGGTACGGAGTATTGCCCTCTGTCGCATCCACCCCTCCGGCGCCTGCCACCTTCCCCGCGGCGAGACCATGACAGACGGGACTCGATAGACCCATTCACATATCTCCATATCGCACGCAGCCCACCATGGCACGCACAACGAGCGTATGTTCCTCCCCTTCACTCTCTGCTCGCCCCTCGCCCTTCGCCCACACCTCTCGTCATGTCACTAACACGTCCTTCTCCCTTTCGCAGCAAGCGTATAGGCACTTTCGCACCGCCCTTGCCCTGTGGCCCAAGGACAACCTCCGCCCTGAGACCCAGTTCAAAGAGATCATCCAGAGAGGCGTCGAGAGGAGGTACACAGCGCCCAACGTCGACGAGGCAAACGAGCTCAAGCAGGCGAATGCGCTATTCGCCCTGGCTAATGACCGCTTCAAGAAGAGGGTAAGCGACAAACGCCTCGCTCTACTCGTACCCCCCAATCCATCTGACCAATCTCAGTTCCCCCTCAATGGCCAACTTCTCAAGCCCGCGAGCCAGCCGACCTACTTCCAAGACCTATTAAGAGAGCTCGAGGAGGCCCCTACCAGAGGATGGTTGAAGAACATGTCCAAGAAATTGTCGGGCATGTTCCGGTTCGAATAACCGATCAGGGGCACGAAACACACACACACACACACACACACACACACACATATATGTATATATATATCACGCCCAGATTAAACACCGAGGCGTCGAACTGTGTTGGCGGACGGACGGCAGAACATGGGCCGCCTGAATGAAATGGGTGGGCGCAGCCGCCTGGCCTGTGTATGATATCATGTACAACATCTGTACCCTGTATAGCGTCTATACCAAAACTTAGAACCTCGACGCCAATGTATTTCGAAACAACCAATTTTTTTTAGATGTATCTTCCCTCGGGATCCATCTTGTTCATGAGGTCCATGCTCTTCTCGTACATGGTAAACACCAGACCGCCGCTCACCACCAGACGCGCCAAACGCGGTACCGCGCCGCTCCACAGCGTCAGCACGCCCTCCTGCCTGAGGATCATGGCCGCACACCGGAACGAGTTGCCGTACTGGGCCCGCGCCGTGATGCTCTGCATGCGCGTCTTGATCGTATCAAGGGGCTGGGTGGCGTAGACCGTAATCACGCCGGCGATGCCTCCCATGGCGAACGTCCCGACGGCGCCCAGCTTCTCCCCCGGCGCCGTGTATGACTCGGCCATCTGCTTGAGCATGTTGTACGCGCTGAACCGTACCGCGCTGTTCGCCGCCTGTCGGGCCGTCGTCGGTACGAAGCCTTGGAAGAAGCCACGAAGTCCACGCTCGCGTGCGATAATGGGAACGGCACTGAGGAAGCCGCGCATACGGGGTTTGCCGGACTTCTTGTCATCGATCCTGAGACGGCAGGTCAGCAGCGGAGCAGGACAATTCACGTAGATTCAGTTGATTACGCACAACGTCGTCTTGATGCTCTCGAACGGTGTCACAGCAAGAGCTGATTCCGTCACACCAGCGCCGAAGCCGGCAATAACAGTCTTGGGACCGGAAATATTACCGTCGGCGTCGGAAAGCAGCTTCTTGTACTGGTCAAAGGCCACGAATCCTGTTATTTGAATGTCAGCCGCCTCCAGATCGCATCACAACCGTCGCTAGGCCACGTACGGATACCGGCCTTGAGCGAGTTTCCGATGATCAACGTCGTGCACCCGGCATACCACTGCGCTCCGAAGGGCGGCCACGGCAGCCTTTGTCCAGCAGTCACGTTCCGATTCAGCTGTGACCGGGTCTTGGCAACTTTCGGGGATTGTTAAGGTCAATCGCGGCTGTTTATGGATCGCGGAGGGTCTTACATTCGGCAGGGTAGGTTATGGCTGTCGAGGCGGTTAGCATTGCTCGTTGTGCGTCCCCCCGTCTTTCGCCGTCGCGACTCACCAATCTCAACAGCGCCGGCCGAAGATCCAGCCAGAATGGATCGCAGGACCGTGGGCCCGCCCTTCTTGACGGGCTGAGACTCATCCTTTGTCGCCGCGGTGGCACTGGTCGCGGTCGACATCGTGGGCGGAGGAGGATCTGGGAAGCGTGCCCGAGGTTATCTGAGTGGCCGGGGAACTTTTTTTTTGGAGGCAATTGGAGAGGATGTTTGACGTGCAGATGCGTCGCTGCGTCCGACATCGCGGGGTGTGGAGACTTGGAAATTCGGCAGGTACGTACAGTTTGTTGCGTTGACACCGTCCAAAACCTTTTACATGGTCCATGCACAGAAACCCCCTATTTTCTAAAAACTAAAAAACCTACTTTCTAGTATATCTACTTATATAAAAAGAATATAATTTTCTAAAAATATATAAAACTAGGTATACTAGTCTACTACTTATATAAATTTACTTATACTTATAGCTATTTACCTAGATTTAATATCTAAGATTCTAGAAATATAGGCCTAGACGCTGTAAACGCAACAGGGAAGTTTTTAGTGGTTACGTTAGTAGCATCTAAATTAGGAATTTTGATTTAGATGCTACTAACGTAACCACTAAAAACTTCCCTGTTGCGTTTACAGCGTCTAGGCCTATATTTCTAGAATCTTAGATATAACAGTAAGCTTTAATTATTAAATTTTATAAAAAATAAATTATATAGAAAAGGCTATAAAGTATATTATAAGATTATTCTAGATTTATAGCTAATACTTTGAGGCTAGAAGCCCTACTTTTGGCTTTTTTGGTTTTTAGAAAATGGGGGGTTTCTGTGCACGGACCATGCAAAAGGTTTTGGACGGTGCCAACGCAACAAACTGTACCTCTCTGTCCGGAGGGGTCTTGACGTAGGTAGTAGCTCATCGAGACAGCTCAGTCTATCACTCAATTACTCAACACAACCACACCACCTAACAGACACAAATACTCCAGCAAGTTACAACTTTAAACAACACACGTGCTGTTCACTCAGTGTTATTTTGACGGTCTTTAGAAACAAATTCACTGCCGTCGCAGCCGATCGTATGAACGGCCTCGCCACGCTTCAAAACATCTCCTCGTCCGGCACCACAATAACATTATACTCAGAATCAGAGAATATCTAGAGCAGAGCAATTATTTTGCGTAGGTTACACTCATTTGCCGGATAAAGACACAGCGCTGAGATACTCAAGACACCCTGTCCATATAGTTGTTGCACCGTCAAAGGGAGCCACAAGAGGAAGTCCTGCTGCAGTAAGGTCCAATTTATACCCGTGTGGAACTGGGTATATTTGAGAAGCTTCTCCGTATAACCTTAGTCATACTGTACCGAGTATACGAGGTAAGAATAGGTAGGGTTTGAAAGGTTTTCTAGTGGTTTTTGCTCATTTTGTATAGAATAGAATTTGACATATATACTAGTTAATAGATAATTAAACAGGTAAATGTAAAGAGATCAATAGTACTACATAGGGTCGGAGAGTTTTCTCTTTGAGCATCCAGGCTACACATAGCCTGCCTTGTCTCCCAGGGTCGGTAAGACTCCGTCAACTGTACATAGGAGTATGGCTGGTTTCCGAGCAGGCCAATTGACAGCCGGTGCCATGTTGTGTAAGCGACTTTATTATCTCAGTAGCCTGTCAAAAACTTCGGAGTATGTGCTGGAAATCAACCAGTACCAGCCGTGATCTAACATTTGGTAGCTTGGGGACTTGTAATAATAACATTCCACGCCGTATTGCCATCGTTATTGGAACTGGAGACGCCGGTGTAATTGGAATCCTGGCTAACACCAACATTCTTACCGTATCTGGCTTCGGTCTCCGATGCCGTGACCGTAATGCACGAGTAGGTCTGATCAGAAATGCTACCCCTACAGCCATTGTTACATTAGGTGCCGGTCGATAGGTTGAGAGAGACGGCGGCCAGCCCAAAAGTGACTCTGCAAGACGTCATCTGATGACTCTCCGACACGGAATAGCCCGGGAAGTCATGGCGGCGGTCAAAAAGGGGGTTTGGTGCAGAAAAAAAGGTAAACTGCGTGGATGCGATCATTTGACGCGAGAGATTGGACCTGGACCGAAAGGAAGGATAGGAAAAGATCAAGTTGTCAAAGAAGCGAATGCATGTATAAAACGAGAGTTGAGTTGCGAGAATCATTGGTCGAGATTGAATATATTTTTACGTGTATTTTAGTGAATGAAAGCGGCAAAGACCCCTCGGTAATATAGCGTTGAAGCTGCGAAAGAAGGCTATCGCAAGGCAGCAATGTGCAAGTGGAAAGGGGCGGTCTGATTCCCTGGCATACAGTATTCGGAGTGTCTTCTATCTGTGTAGCCCGTTTCACAAAATGATTCACAAAATAATAGCTCGTAGTGTTGTCGTTGAGACCAGGACCGTGGCGAGCTATCTCGCAACCGGGCGTGTAAGGAAAATAGCAGGCTGGTTCGGATCAAGAAATTATAGGGCTGAAACTTCCGGAGGAGTATTGCTGGATTCAATGGAGCCAATTGTTTTTGGATCGTCCGTCATCATGAAAAAGGGGATTAACAGCGTCGTAATCAATTTGTTAAGCACCAAATGGAGTCGAACACTGTTCCGTTTTGGGCGTACGCGGTATCGGAGCACACTCGAGAATGATGTATATCCTAGATTTTGGATCATTCCAATCTTGCTCCAAGGCCACCATCTCGAGCGGGAGTTGAAGCCGTGCGACAACCTCAGCGATCCGTTGCTTGGGGGAAACCATGGTTGTGCTGCAGTAGGAGAAAGGTCGAACATACATAAAGACACAAGGAGAGTCCCATTCTATCGTGTTCAATGCGTAAGCTAATGATGGTCATGCCTAGGTAGTCCAGAGGCCGAGGACATGCCAGACTTTTAGGGCCGACTTTGGCGCCGTATGGCCTGCCGCCTGCAAGGGCTCAGACTGGGCAGCCGAGTTCGCGCCCCAGGATGGACCGGCCTCTCTTGACACAGCTGGTTAGGCCTAGTATTGTGCCGCCTGTTTGGGTCTGTTTCTCTAAGGTCGGAATCCGAGGACCATTGTATCTTGGCGGCCGATGAGCGATATACGACATTGACTATCTGCATGCCTCCTGTTCGAGTACTCAGTCAAGCAGATAGACCTCTAGCACAAGACACTTTTTGTGCTGATAGTCAAAAGGGGGCCCCCTTGCCTCGAGCCCCTGCATTCCGTCATGCAAATTGTGCTTGATGAACACGCCGTGGAGCTGTTCGTTGTGTGATATCATACGTAGATCAACGCCACTAGTTACGAGTGCATTCAACACAGGTTCACAGCACAGAGAGGGGGAGTCCGCTGTTGCCCATTGATGTTCAGTAGGTTAACGTATGTGACATCACCGCCAACCCAGCATACGAGCATATCACCCTTCACGCCGCCTTCATCGTAGGTGATGCCTGCAAGCGCGCGAAGTGCGGCTGGCGCGGAGAAGGAAAACACGAATTAAAATTGGGGAGATTGTCTTGGAGTCTGGGACGAGACTTGGTAGGCGAGTAGCCAGATTCACGAGACAACAGGGAGACCCAGGCCTTGGGCAAAGAGGTTCCCACTTGCCAGCTGGCTCGCAAGAACAGGCCTAGCTGTCTTTGCGTCCGAGACGGCTATCCTGTATTCTTTTAGGGGGGCAGAGGGCTACCAGACAATGGGGTTAATCGAGACTCCCAGGTTAGCGGCCGTTGAGGCGGTAACCGTACATACATGCGGGATACGATAGGGAGGGTTTATGCGAGGCGCAAGTGTGGCTAAGCGTTACTTTGTCAGAGGCTCATTTCATAGCACAGTTGACTGTCAGGCACAGGACAGGCACCAAACACCGAACAATGATGCACGGTACTAAGTGTGTGCGACTTCGGGGTCCTTGGAACTCCCGCCTCCAGGGTGTCGCGGCTCCCGTGGGCGTCTCTAGACAATCAGTTGTACGTATTCGTACATACACTCAGTGGACAAGCGGAAAGTCGGGCTGGCGCCACAGCGGACCTGGTCCCCCGAAAGTTGACGTAGACAAGGGCGTGCTTCCCGGAAGAGCCCCGGCACGTGGTCGTTACCCCCAAGTCTCCGTCTCTGACTGTCGTGGCATCACGTCTTTTACGCTTGCCATTCTTTTTGTTTCCAGCCATGATGTGTAAGACTGCAATTCCGTTCTCTGACGCCCACATCCGACTCAGCGATTGAACCCTACTATGCAATGCACATGTACGTAGCATAGCGCTCATGAAGCTCATCTACCGGGTTTAGAACGCCAAATACCAGGGCATTTCCACCGATTCTGGGAATCGAGACTGCCTTGACCGAGCAAACGCTAACGACCAGTGGACGGCCTTTGAGGTGCCATTGATTCTGATACGGGTATGCTTATTGTCAGAGTCTACAGGGCCCAAGGTTGGTAGGTTATCCTGGTATTCCTCCCCAACTGGAACCCAATCGTTCTCGGAATCTTGGTTCTACCCGCGCGGAAGTGTACCATGCAACGTAACCCATCTGGGAGGTGGCCCGTTTGACCGTTTCGCGGCCATGCTATACCCCCTCAATATTGCCAACACGTATGGGCCGGTTGCGGCATTTCATGCGGCTGCAGTGTCATGAAGCCCGTGTGGAGGCCTCGATTCGTTTCACTACCGAGTGATACCTGGCGTTCAGGGGATCTTGCAAAGTGAAAACAAGACCTTTCGTCGTCATCCCGTGCTTGAACGAGACAGTTTCGTGGCCAGTCAAGCAGAGCTCCCAGCTTCAGATCCAACCGCCGCGGCTAATCGGCAGGGCTGCCTGCAGCGGCTGACGCCAAGGAACTCCCTCACGCGGCAGACTTTGGGGGAAATAACGGATCCCATGAAGATCTTCCTATCCGTACAGTTGTTGCTACGGGACAGCACCCTTCTGTGGCAGTTAAGATGTTTAAGAAAGTGACAACAATACCCTTTGGAATGGATTTCTCTCATGATTGCTTACGTTCAACTATTCCCTGCGAAGCCCAGCAGCACAAGCTATCATGTGCCCCTCTTCAACTGACTGGGGGGCCATCTAATTTAGCTAGCTCTTTGAAATCCAGGCACAGTGGTATCGTCAAATCCCATGACGACGAGAAAGGATTTGATTTCAGGGACCTGACGAACTCCTTTGCCGTTCTGCGAACACCTGAGACGGGCTTCTCAATACTTCCTTCGTTCGCAGCACCGCCTTGGCAGCCAGCCACACGCAAAGCTGTACTGGCATCAAGCACAGCCTCGGCCAGCTGACGACTCGTTTTTGCCATTGGGCCAGTCTCGGCCCGCATCAGCCGCGAGAGTCCTGCGTTTGTATCCGTACGGACACTTCTGATCCAAGCAGCGCCGACGACCAGGCAACATCCCAGCAGCCGCTATACTAGGTACCATACGCTGCTGCTACGTACCGTAGATCCGGGGACTTGTTCGCACGCGTGTACTACAGGGTAGTATGTGTGTACGTACATTGTATGTTTCTCCCCCTGAGTCTTGCAGTACGGTGGTGTTGGTTTTCTTCGTTTTTTTTGCATTTGCTTCTTCCTTGAGTCTCGAAACCCAATCCAAAGTCTTGTGATTAGTGGCCCACGCTCTTTACCGCTGGCCTCCTCAAGAATGCAGCTCATCGTCGGCAAAACGAACCATCCAACCAGCCACCCACTTTGTCCAGCTTCCAACTCGACCGTCTCTCACTTTTCCATCGATACGTGGGTACAAACGGCTGGCGATCAACAATAGGATACCCACCAGGCACATAGCCTATTCGTCACTCTTGCGCTCATAGCTCCAGTCCGCCCTATATCGGGTTTTGATCCAAAACCCCCCTAACCACCCGTCGTCCTGCAGCTGCATGTCGATCACTCACTCTACTTTCTCACTGAGATCCCTTTCAACCACGCGACACACTTCTCCCGTCTACGGTGTCCTTCCGCCAAGAGATACCCCGACTACAGTGGGTATTGCCATCTTGCAAACAAAAAAAAGTCAAGTCACTCATCACCCACATCACAAGCCAAACAAATCAAAGTAAAAAACAAACACTACATCACATCCAAAAGGGGGACACCCCCTTCATGAGTGTACTTTCCCCTCACTAAGCTTTAGTGTTCCGGAAACCTTTCCCCCTCTTCGCTAACCCCTCCATAAGAAGGGAGAGAGACCAAGCAAGATGAAATAAAAAAAATAAAGGGGGAAAAAGTTCTCTGACCCACACCAGCTCCGGCTGTGATATTGACAGCGCCAGCTCCCTGGTCGCCCGCGTTCCACCCCCCCGATCCGCTCGGCACTTCAGAGTCTGGGAGTACCTTGCCTACACCTTATTTACTCCCGTGAGGTATCCTGCGGGTATCTGGTGCACCCTTATAGTGGGAGTGGGCTGTGAACCTCCCGCCCCATTCACATCACTGCTTTGCTCAGCCACCGTTTTCACTTCTCACCTCACACTCGCAACATACGCATTCCTTTCGCTTACCCTGCATCGGCCAGGCGTACACAAATAACAACCTCACGCCTTCGCCTCGGTGCTCTCTTGCAAAGACATCTTGTTCTGCAAAATGTCCACCCAGATCGAGGCTAGGTCTCTGGCCTCACTCAACTACCTCGCCGCCAACCCCCCGCAATATCCTCACAAGCCGGCCGACCAGCGTCAAGACCCCCTCACACTCTACATCTCCCGCGTACCAGGCACAAGAGGTAAGCCTTCCTCTGTCCTCCATCTCCCAGTCTCGCTCACACTTACTTGCTCCTCATGGCTGACTCACCGCAGACGTAATCCTGACAACGTCGAAACCGCACCCGAAAAACGTCACCAGCGAAGACGTTGCAAACTCCTTCTACTACATCCATCTGGAACTCCCCAACGACGGCGCCCGCCCGTACAATCCTAACCAGGCGCATCATGCGGCCTCTCAAGCCCATCACTTGCGTAACCCGGACACGCCCAGGTCGAGTCAGGATAGCGCCCGCAGCGCGAACCAGATCCGTCGGAAACCCTTGCCCACTGGCGCCAAAGTCCCCTCGCCGCCTGCCGACCCGGCACCCTCTCAGTTGCCGCCGAACCTCCCTCCGGCCCCTACCTCACCTCACCCGGCTGCCGCAGGAAATGGCGGCTACGGCTACGGCTCCGGCTACGCGCCCGGTGCTGACCCGCGCCAACCCCGCTCGACCGAGGACCACCCGGACCTTCCCCCGCGGCCTACCTCCAACTCTCCGCCAATGCCGGTCCGCAAACCAGTAGGCGCGCGAGCAACCCAGGCCCCAGCCCCGGATTACGCCACGCCCTCCTCCGTCCAGCCCCCTGACCCTCACCGCGCCTCACCATCCCACGAGACCTCTCACGTTCCCGACGAGCCGACATCCCCCGCGCGTTCGCGGCGCTGGTCTCGCACCCCGGCAGGGTCCTCCATCTTCCGCCAGCAGTCTCGCTCCCCCTCGCCGAGCCGCTTCCACAACACTACGGCGGTTCCATACACCCTCTCGCTGATCCGCCGCGATCCGAGCTCGGGGAACCAGTGGAACATCGGCCGCGTCTCGTCGCACCAGCTCGAGGACGCGGGCGACGACGGTTACGAGTACTTCTCCTTCGACTCGGCCGGCCTGTCCGCTCACGACCGCCGGCGGGCGAACGCGCCCCAGCCGCCCATCAATATCCGCCTCGAGTCTTCCGGGTATGCAAAGTTCCTCCACATGCCGCTGCGGCAGAGCGTCGACATGGCCCGAAACTCGTCGTCCTCCCTCCCCTTTGCCAGCTCCGAAGACGCCCTCCACCAGCTGCAGCAACAGCAGCAGCAATCCTCTGAGGGGGGCTTCTCGCGCCAGGTCGTCATGGCCTACGCGAAATCGTGGTCCTCCAACATCCGCGAAAAGCTCAGCTCGCGGTCCCGCTCCGGCAGCGTCGACGACGGCGGCGGCGGCCACGCGGCACCCGGCTCATCCCCGGAACGTTCCAAGCGCCACATCCGCCAGCTGAGTGCGAACTCGACGGGCTCGGTGTCCTCCAACGGCAGCGACTCGGGCCCCATCATCACGCAGCCGGGCCACGGCCTGCGACCCAAGGGCTACGTCTTCATCTCGCCCTGGGACGGCCGCTGCGAGTTCCGCACGGGCAACGCCGGGCGCAGCGTCAAGTGCAGGCACCTCCTCCCCATGGCGGGCGGGCTGAGCAACCCGCTCGCGCCGACCGGCTCGTCAACCTACTCCGCTGTTGTGAGCGAGCTGCGGTTCAACCTGCCCAGCACGGAGCTGTTCCGTCAGGAGGGCAAGAGGGAGCAGCTCAGCGGACACTTCAGCCGGTTGCTGAAGGTCGGCAACCGCGACGGCGAGTACAGCGACGACGACGACCCGCCGAGCCCCTTCGACCTCAAGCTCGGCAAGGAGCGGGCCGGTGGCGGGAATCGAGGAAAGAGGGCCAAGCTGGGCAAGCTCATCATCTACCCCGAGGGTCTCAAGATGTTGGATTTGGTAGTGGCTGCCAACATGGGCGTTTGGTGGGGAGCTTGGGAGAAGACGTTCTAGCGACACGACGAGAATGCCCAGCCCGGTGGAGGTGCAGTCCAAGACAAGAGTAAAGCGAGTTGCAGAGAATCCCCCAAAACGATGGCGCTGTCTGTGCGTGCGTTGGACATGATTTTCAAGCATGGCGTTGGTTGGTCGGCTTGTTGGATATGCCCCTTGATGGCTAGTCAGATCCGCGGGGACACGCGGGAAGAGCCGAGGAAGTCTTGTTACAAATTAGCCTAATAATAATGACCCAACAACCTGAATGTGCGAGCCTCGGTTTCTAATGGGCTGAAGGTGAAATGACCGCCGCAAGCCTGACGAGGCCCAAATTCATCGCCAGCCAACGCCTTCTACGGCCTCGACCGTGAGTGATGTGCCAGTCAAGATAGGAACGACGGGCAACAGACAAAGAAAAATGTTGCTTTTCGCGAGCTATTTACACAAGTCTAATCGATCCCGACCTGCTTGTACACATACACAACATGCCAGAACCATTGCTGCTGCTGATGCCGGCTGCTACTGCAGTTGCGGCAGTGGCGGCGGCGACGGCGGCGACGGCGGCGACGGCAGCCTCATTTGCTCTGCGACCATCTCTGCCATGCCCATTTAGATGTATCCATCTTCCAAGCATTAAACCGCAAAAATAATACTTCGGCCCTCGATAGTCTCCACTCTCCCGGATAGCCAGCCCCTTACATCCGGATGACCTTCAGGCCCCGCGCCTTACCTGTAGGGAGCATCGGCGCGGATGACGGCAGCCAGCTCAGGCTCCCACTTGTCGCCGTTGGACAGCAGCTTCTCCTTGTTGTACAGGAGCTCCTCACGGGTCTCGGTGGCGTACTCGGCGTTAGGGGACTCGACAATGGCGTCGACGGGGCACGACTCCTGGCAGAAGCCGCAGTAAATGCACTTGGTCATGTCGATGTCGTAGCGGGTGGTGCGGCGGGATCCGTCGGCACGTTCCTCGGCCTCGATGGTGATGGCCTGGGCCGGGCAGATGGCTTCGCAGAGCTTGCAGGCGATGCAGCGCTCCTCGCCGGATGGGTAGCGGCGGAGGGCGTGCTCACCGCGGAAACGGGGGGAAATGGGACCCTGTACCAATTCGTGTTAGCCGTCTTCCTTTTGCGTCCCTGTTCGACATGCACGCGATTGCGGTGTCGTCCGTCGTTTCGTCATGTTGATGGTTCCCTCAGGTGCTGCGTATCGAAGATTGCAAAATTTCGGCGTTGTTCCGGCTCGTCCTCGCCCTCCCTGTACGGACATCCCATGGCCTCTCAAAACCACCAGTCTCCTCCCATTTACTCCAGAATCCCGTCCCAAAACACCAAGAAAACGTTTTCCTCACCTTCTCGAAGGGGTAATAGATGGTGAAGGGCGGGCGGAAGAACTGCTCCAACAGGACGTACATGCCCCTCGCCATCTCGGAGAGCAGGAAGTAGCGGCCCATCTTGTTCAGAGTCGACTCCTGGTCCTCGTCCCAGGTCTGGTGTCTCTTGATGCGGAAGTTGGGAGGCGGGGGCCCGGCGGGCGTGGCGTAAGTGCGCATGGCATTGGCAGCCATCAGCCTGCCGACGTGCTGCTGCATCGAATTTCTCGCGACCGGCCTTGTTGACGCCAGAGCCAACATCGTAACGGGGAGCTGCGCCGCGGAAGGCATTGTGTCTAGATCGGATGGGATGCGACGGTGCCAATTGACCGGGCAAGTTGGGGATCGGGTGGGCTCTTCCGGGATTCGGATCGAGGTGTGCGGGCGGCGAGGCGGCGAGGCGGGCGAGAGTGAGGGAGTCGACGGTGTGTCCCGGGTGCACGTTGAGAGAGAGCTTGACGTTATGCACAACCGGGGGATCGAAGAGGCGAGCTTTGGTGCGGGATTACAAAGGGCGGCAATTGATTGGTTGCGGGCCGGTCACGTGGTGGCACCGGGACTTTAGAAAGTCAGGAGCAAAACGCCTTGGACTCGATGATCTTGACGGCGACAAGCACGCAGTGCCGGCCAATTGATGATAATAAAAGGCAACAAATTTGGAATTTAGGGTTTCCAATCGTTTGAGTGACGCTTCATTTCACTTTTGCTCTTTTGTCGGCCCAGGCGTCGAGAAAAGAGTATTGAGCACGTCACATGACTGTGCACGTGCAGCTATTCGGAGCTAAGACAGGGACACCTCGGGGGGGTGACGAGAAATTTATCATCACAATCGACCACGGCACACCTCCTCCACACCACCCGAAAGCTCCCATCTATCTCAGCTCGGCTGCCAACCCAAACCAACGAAATCCCCCATCTCGTCCATCCCGAACGCAATCCACCGTCCGAGCTTCCGAAAAGCCCATCGTTCCCGTATATACACAAAGCCAGCCGAAAATGTTCCGCACCGCAGTCCTCCGTTCCGCGGCCGCCGCTACGCGCGCCATCCGTCCCGCCGTCCAGCAGTCCGCCCCCCTCGCCCGGAGGTCCCTCGTCGCGCCCCGTTCTGCCTTCCGCGCCGCCCCCAAGGCCATTTCCGTCCGTATGTACTCTGCCGCCGCCGGCCTGGACAAGCAGGAGGTTGAGGGCCGTATCATGGCTCTGCTTCAGGGTTTCGACAAGGTCAATGACCCGGCCAACGTACGTCACTGCCACGTTCCCGTCCTTACCAACGACGTTGTCAATTGGGCCACGAATTAGAAAACAAAAGCAAAGGCACTTGAATAATAGACAGCTGACGCCGAGGCGCAAAATTTAGATTAAGCCCAACGCGCACTTCGCCAACGACCTTGGCCTGGACAGCTTGGACACCGTCGAGGTCGTCATGGCTATTGAGGAGGAGTTCAGCATCGAGATCCCCGACAAGGATGCCGACACCATCCACTCAAGTACGCGCTTCCCTTCTCTCTCTCCCTTTCTGTTTCAACTTCTAGGCTTTCATATTGACACATGCCTCACAGTCGACAAGGCGGTCGAGTACATCGTTAACCAACCCGATGCCCACTAAATGACACCAAATGACACCTCCCTCCGCCAAACCCGTCTCCCCCCCCGGCGGTCTGTACAATAACCTTCCCCCGCCCCTGCATCGAATACACCACTCGCAGCCTTTGATAGACACGGGGAAGGGGGCTTCGCGTGCGAGGATACTGCGTCTGTGTGCTCCTGAGGGATCTCTTTCATGGGATTTGCGGGGGTAATGAGAGGAAAGTAGAGGCGAGATGGGTTTATCGTTGAGAGTGGGCGGTTTCGTATGGTTGCCCACAGCGCGGCCCCCGCGCATAAACGGCAATGCGACACGATCTGGAGTCGGACATCTCCGGTATCTGTTTAATTTGCCATTGTATTAGTGTATAGATTTTTTGTCGCCCACGACCGGGGATCCCTTTACGTGAAATGGGTTGGTTCCCTCATCAGCGTTGTCCCACGCTGCGTAACAGCCGAAAAGTCGACGCTCTGCTTCATCTCCTTGAGCTGTGCTATCGAGCCTCACAAACGCCGAGTCGCCAGAGAGCTCCTTGGTTACCTCGACAAAGTTGGCTTTTGTATTGTATACAGGACGATAACTAGACGGTGGTATCTGCTTTTCCCTTTCCAAACGTCTCTAAACGCGGTGCCGAGTCGCAGCCTCCCAATTCGTGACGATTGTGCCAACCAAACGTCAAAATGTTCCTCCCAGCTCATTTGTCGCCTTCTATCCCCCACCCCCCCTGTCCAAGTTTGTCAAAAGATGAAACAGCCCAGCCCTGGGTGATCCCGAAGTCATGGCCTAGGTAGTAGATAGACACCTAGGTGCCATGCTTCCATTCACTAGAGAGGCAGGACAAGAAGGAAAAATGAAGAGCAAAAAGTGTCAATCCTCCAGATTTTGATAGCGATTGAAAGCAGTAGTAGTGTCCTTGTTACAGAGTGTAAGAAATCCTCTGCCAAGTAAGCCAATAGGCAGTATTAAACCTCCGCCAATGTTCGTTTCCGAGAGCCAGTAAGACAGCGTACGTCGACGGTAATCCAACAAAAAAACTCCCTACCCAGTTGTATAAACAGCCACCCCCTTGTAGACCTGATCCCTTGTTATATCCGTGTGATTTTGAAAGACCGATTCTTGATTTTTTTTTCTCTTTTGATCTCCCGTTGGCTTTTGGTTTGGCCTATGCATGCTATGATAATCGTGGCCGAAATGTGTCGTATAGTATCGTCAGGATGTGAAAGTGGTGAGAGTAAATAGAATGCCACCGAAATCATGGCATTGCACCGTCGCTATGCTTTTCAGTCGCCGGGGTTTTGCCAAACGTAGCCGCCCAAAAACCAAACCATCAGCGCCCGCCCACAGTCTCGACGCTGACCGATGGTTCCCGTTGCTCCTTGGCCAGACCAGACGCAGAAGCGGCGCCTTTGTTGGAGAGGGCGTTGGCGTAGCTCCATCCGCCACCAATGCCAAAGCCGGCAGACCCGTTCTTGCGCAGCCGGGTTGGAGACTGGTCTTCCTCATCTTCCATGTTAAACACGAAGGCGGGGTCCTCCTCGTCGATAGGGGTGGTATATCGCCCCGTGACGGAGGAGCTGATGGACCCGCTCGAGACGTGCCGCTCCATGATGCGGTCCCGCTCCTTTCCAATGGGACCAGCGCCACCGATGCTCGAGGCGCGACCGGTAGCGGCCAAGGGGTGTAAGTGCGGGCTGCCGCTCCCGTCATCACCCAGACGGGTTCGCTGGAGTTGATGGGTGAGGGTGGACATGGGCTCGCTGCCAGCACGAGAGCCGATAGGGCGGGCCATGGCACCGCCGTGGCCCATTTCGTTGGAGAGCAGCGAATTTCGGAGAGGGCTGCCGACGTGTCCAAAGGCCGAGGGCCCATGCTTGTGTGTGCCGAGCTCATCCTCTTTTTGGCGCTGGAACAAGGGACCCCATCTGCTCGGGCTTGCGCCGCCGATAGGGCTACCGAACTTGGTCGCATTCTCACTGCCCGGCTCACCATCGACAGTGCGCAGGGAGCCCCGGCGAGCTTTCTCGGTTGGCGTAAGGAGATCCTGCAAGTTGTGGGGCACGCAGTCCTCCTCCAAGAAGCCAAAGTCGGCCTCCCAGTCGTGATCCACAGCGGTCGTCTTGGGCATGCTCGAGCTCATCATCTTGGGCTTCGCGTATCGGCTCGAGTGCATGGTGCGCTTGCCGAAATACTCCTCGGGCTGGCTGGGAGGGCTGCTGGAAGCGGTCACATTGGCGGCTGCAAGGTATTCACTGCCACCGAAAGCAGACGTGTGGAGCATCTTCAAAGTCTCGGAAGTGCGCGAGTCCTTGGCATTGCTCAAGGAGGGGGTGGGAGATTCGATGCCGAACTTGGAGGGCACGGATGAGGGCCACGGAGCGGCGGGGAAGCGGGCGGCGTTAGACATGCCCTGGGAATCGAAAGATGCGGGAAGTGGCGCATCGAGGACGGAAAGGCCATTGGCGTTGATGGGAGACAGGCCGAGGCCGAACCGGGACGCGTCTTCGTCGCGAGGCGAGCCGTAGTTGGAGCCGGGGTGGGAGTAGGTGGTATCGATCGTCGGCAGGCCGTTCTCGAGATTCGGCGGGCCGCCCAACTGGTTCTGTCTCTCGTCGCCGTACGGGTATGCGGAGGTATAGGGAGGGACGCCCTCGCGGTAGAGGCCGGAAGTCAGGGCACTTGTCGGGTGGTAGTTGGTTGCGGAGGTCGGGTTGATGCGACCGCCCAGGGCTATCGGAGAGGTACCAATGGTGACACCATTCTTGCCGTAGTTGATGCGTCGACCGTCGGGGAGGACATGGATGTTGGCACATTTCGGGCCGAATTTGCAGTTGCCCTGCAACGGAGAGGACCATGTTAGCGCTCGGGATCGAAGCCATCGTTTTCAGCAATCGGTGTGTAGCCAAGGCAGGGGCACGGGCAAAGAGGCGCGGATGGTCTGTGTACCCGAGGGGCAGAGCACGCAAGACGAGGGAGGGGTTAAATAGGACAGGGGGTAGGGAGGGGCGAAGAAGGTTTCGCGATGTTCGCAGACTGGAGGATCGGAGCGACGCACCTTGGCAAAGTACTTGCAAATGTTCTCGGCAGCGGCACCGAGATCGTGACTGAAAGGACAAGCATTGCCGGCTTGACAGGCGCCTTGTCGGAAGAATTTACAGGGAACGTGGGATGTGTCTGTTATACGGAGGTGGGAGGTCAGCGATGAACTGGAAGCGCGACAGAGCAGAACAGAGCAGAGCAGAGCAGAGCAGAGGGGAGAGGAGATTCGGGCAGAGGGAAGCAGAGCCGAGCCGAGCAAGAGGTTGCTCAAGAGCGGGTGCGGTGCGGTGCGGTGCGACGTATTGCAGACGATCCGAGACGACCGTCGGCGACAATGCCGAAGGAGTCCGACAGCTGCAGCTTCGCCGTCGGTGGCAGAGCAGAGCGGCGTGGACATCAACAGGACCGCGACGGGAGGGGATGCGACGACAGGACGAGGAATGAAGCAGAAGCAGAAGCAGAAGCAGGAAATGTAGAAGCAGAAGTAAGGTGACGTACTTGGTGGACTCCGCGGGCCGTCGAACCTGGCGGCGGAGGCAGAGGCGGAGGCAGTGGATGCGGTGGAGGGCATTGGACTCATAATGGGACTGGGGTGACCATTCTGTTGCTGGATATTGAGGCTTCCACTGCGCATATGGCGATATTCTGAGCCGTTTGTTGAAGGCATTTTGGGCCGGAGGAGGGGGGGGGGGAGAAGACGGAGGGGACGGGAAGGGGAGGCGGGGGGAGGGAAGGAAGAAGAGGGAAAAAAGAGAAGCGAAGTGGAAGAGGCGGGAGGCGGGAGACGGAGGCCGTGAGAGGAGGGTGGTGTGTGGAGTTTTGGGGGTGGGAGTGATGGTGGGCGATGGTAGTGGAGGGCGGTAGATAGTGGGCGATGGGCGCTGTGGAGGGGGAGGGGTTCGGGTGCTTTTGAGGGCGCCTATGTACTCTGCCTAGTCAATTGCTTGGGAAAGTACCTAGGTGTGTTGGATAACACAGGTAGGTAGGTAGGTTACCATAGGTACCCAAGGGACTAAGGTAGGTGGGTATGTACCTGTAAAAGGGAAGGTAGGTAGGTAGGTAGGTAGGTAGGGAAATAGGGAGGTATTCGATATGCCGCGGAGTACGGCGTGGGGAAGGGGGGGCCTGAACTGAACCCGACACACACCAAAGCAGCACTTGTGCAGTGCGTCACTCAACAGACGCTGTCGTAAAAGCCAGGACGGCAGTTGGTCTTCTCTCCTTGTAATCGTAGGTAGGTACCCTCAGTGCTGGACGGGTTCGGTCGGTAAGCTGCTGCCGGTGGTGTGGGTGAGACAGCAGGCGATAGAGTCAGTGGGTATGGAGGCGGCGCGAGTGTCTAAGTAGTGAGACAGGCCGTCGAAAGCCAGCGAGAGTAGAGTCGATATTATGCAGTATTGCGCACCACGCCGTCGGTACCTGGTGTGGGCGGAAAGCAAGCCGATGCGGCGGCGTTAGGGGATAATGGCGGCGTGTACTCTGTACTGTATTTGAAAGCGGGAGAGAGTGGGATGGATGAGAGAGAGTGCGACAAGGATGCCTGTCTATCGTGCGGGCGGCAAAGGCGGCGGCGGCGGCGGTGGTGGTGGTGGTGGTGGTGTTGCGTTGCGCCTCGGTCAGACGCGGGTCTAAGAAGCAAGCGTGCGGGCCTGGTTGAACCGATGTTCGAAATGCGCTTGCTTGCTTGCTTTTGTTGTGCTCGAGAAAGTGTCTTTGCACTTAGTCGAGCCGAGTCAAGGTGGTTTCGAGTCAGGTTAAGAAAAGGCAACGACCACTTCTAATGAGGGAGGGCCCTTGCTGGATGGAAGCTTGGAGCCCTAGTGAGCGAAATGAGACGGGGCGGCGATGATGCCGGGCCGGACTTGCGATGGAAAAGAGGCGAGGAGGCCACGCGATGCGAGAGGGCACGAGAGGCGCGGGGAGGGGCAGCGCCGTCTCTCGGTAGCGCAGTACAAGAAAGGGGGGGGTGTGTGTACGTCTTTGAAGTGTTGATGAATGGCGCGGCGATGGCTTCGCTCCCAAACCTGATGTGACGTGGTGCTGATGTTTGTGCTGATGTTCGTGCCGGTGCTGATGATGATGCTAATGCTGATGCTGATGCTGCACGGATAAATGTGCCGTTGGATGAGACGGACTGGACTGGACTGGACTGGGCGGCGGGCGGGGATCGACTACCCAGTCATATGGGTATAGGTAGGTAGGTGTTAAGTTAGGTGTGAAGATAAGGTGATGGATCCCTCCAGCAAGTGAGTTGAGGTTGCGGCTTGCCTCGATATATATCTGGGCGGATGTCGCGTGTAAAGTGGAATTACTCAGAAAAGAAGAGGGAGGGGGGTAAGAGTAACAAAAGACGAGAGAGAGAGAGAGTGAGAGAGGAGGTGAAAAGGGATAAGGCGACGACGAGAGTGCGCAAGTTGATCCAGGTCAAGGTCGCAACTGAGGTCGGTGATGGCGGAAGCTGATACCCAGATACCGCCAGATGACCCAGCCGACGAATCAGGACCTCCGCCGGCGTCGTGCCTGGACCTGGGAGGCTGGAGATTAGATCAACTGAACAATCAGGTATCCGCACTCTGCCGCCAACACTAAGACAGACGGACACACACACACACACACACACACACACACACAGCCGGACGACGTGGGGAGAAGCGAGTGCCGGGATGTGACCGTCCAGCAGACCAAGGATCCAACTTCTCCTGGGAGGGGCGGTTGATCTCAGTCAATGCCGATAACGTACACACCTCGAAAGGGTATCTGCTAGACTCGATATCTCGGCGTATTGATTGATGTTCTCTCGGCAGCCAAATGGGCGGGGACGGCGCGCGAGCGGGCGTTGACGCGGGGGAGGGGGGATGAGACGACCGACTACCTTGTCGTCGTCCCAGGTCGCCGCTGCGGTGAATGTCCAGTCCAAGATTGCCCGTGTCGTGTCCGGATGATGTACTACCGGTGCTGCTCAGGGCTCATATTTTGACACAGGTATATCCAGGGAAATGACGAAAAGAGTGGGTGAGTAAACCGGTGAGTGAGTGAATGAGTGAACGAGTGAATAAGTGAGTGAGTGAATGAGTGAGTGAGTGGGTGAGTGAGTGAGTGGGTGAGTGAATGAGTGAGTGAGTGGGTGGATGATATGGAAGCAGATGATCCGCAATGGTTAGTGTTGCGCGAGGTTGCTTTGTTTCCAGACGGGACGTCCAGTTCGTAGCAAGGCGCAGGCGGCAACTAGCGGATCACTTCGGGACTGCTGGGCTAACTAGCTAGGCAGCTTCGAGAAAGGCGTTTTCTCCTATTGCAAATTAAGCCAGGGGCATGATACGAGTTTGGTCAGAAGGGGGGAGCTTCATGAACCCTCACCTACGGGTACATCCATCTTCATATACACTCCATCCATCATCATATACAATCCATCCATCCGCAGCAAACAAGTGCAAGTAGAGACGGGCGCAGGCACGGACGGAACAGGCACACGACGCGTTCACCATCACGGAACCCACGCCACACCAGCATGGCTGTCCCTCACAACATAACATAACATCTACACCCCCTCGGAGAACGTCCCTTGTCCATTTTTGTTTCATACCTCACTCACTTCACCCCCTTCAGTACGCCAACGATACTTCATGTTATTTTCTCAGTCGCCCGCTCCAAGCCGAGCATACACACTCATTCGTATCCGACTTCACAGCATTATTGCCGCCTGCCCCTGTATCTGTATCATGAACCCGTCCTTCTTCACTCATACTGCCGTCATCCACCCTGCCACCCTTCCCCACCCTTCCTCATGTAAACCCATGCTCGCCGTCACGCTCATCACCCATGCCCTCGACAAGCGATATCCGGATGCGCTGGTAGTCGAGCCTCAACCCACCGTGACCGAGACACTTTTCTTGTACGAGCAAACGTCTGTTGCCTCTTCGACGCGCAGCAAAGACACAGACGCGAGCTTCATGTCTCTCATCCCCTGCGGTCCCCTCACCACCACCACCACCACCACCACCACCACCACCCTCCCAAAGAACCACCTCGAGGTTACAAGCAGGTGGCGTGCCTCCATCACGCGACGGCCCCATGATGCATCCAGCCGACTTTCTCTTCCTACCCCTCAGTCCCAGATCTTGTCCGGGCAGACAGCTTGGAGTCACTGATGACGGTCGAGAGGGTCCGGCAAAGGGAGGGGGGGTCAGGGGATGGGAGAGATGGGCAAAATGCGGTCAGCCGCGTCAAAACAGTGTGGTTATAATACCACTCTGTACCTCCTCGAGTCTATTCCCTCACGCCCACGCCCTCTGACACACTGCAGGGTCTCGGGAATAGGCGAGCCAGAGGAGAACTATCAAACTGTGGCGAATGGAAAGATGTGTGAGCCGTGGCATCGTAAACGAAACGTCTCCCGCCCGCTCGCACTTACACGGATTTGATGAGGAGAATGGGCGAGGGCTTGCCTGTCCGCCTGCCTGTCAGGATCCGATGTGTCCTTGGCTTGCTTCGGATTATGGACCGGACTTTCCGAGGTCTCATTCGCCCGTACTCTCCTCACTCCATCTGCCGTTACAGCCCTGCAAGACTGTTGGCTATTGGGAGACGGCTCTCAAAGCCGAAGCGCCCATCGTATCTTTGCGAACTTGAGCCACGCCTCTGCGTCACACAGCGCCGACCAGGTCATTGGAATTGTTTTCAGATGTCTAACGCCCTGTGCAACACGAGGCCATTGCTTTTGAGAGCAGAGTCGGTTTCTAATGATGTGCATGCTCGGGATTTGACTTGCAACCCCCTGGATGGTTTAAGAACTTTGGGGCGTCCTGGACACTGAAATGGCGGACACGAAGGTCGTCAGGGCCCATCAATGATGACATTGCGTACATTGCCTCCATACACCAACAACGGTTCTTGCCCATCCCCCTTGAGCTGCACGATATGCCTCTGGCCGACCTCCCTTTGCGATCCTCTTGAGCTTGCATCGCGGCAGCAATTTCTATCGGCGGCCAGGTCGCCCAGTGCTGTCTCGCCTATCTTCAGGCTACCTTGTCACGCCTGAGGTATCACGGGTTCTCATGCAATATCACCGAATACCACCCGTCAATAGGCATCAAGGTCTTGTCCGAAAACTCCCCGTGCATTTAGTTACATTGGACCGTCGTTGGACGATCCTAGTGCGCAGCATTGCCCCCCCCCCCCCCGAAGTTCACTGCACCCATGGCGGGACGGGCTACGGCGCTCGGCCGCGCGAGTCTTCTTCGCCGCTCCAACGTTGCAGCTGTGCGACATGAGATGCAACGCGACAGAAGGATCCTCCTACCCCACGCAGACACACCCGCATGCCCGGATGTACAGATGTTGTACGCATGCAGCGGGGGGTGAGAGGGGTCGAACCTTGGAGAGACATACAGGTATATATCCGTACATATACCGCCAAGACAGACAGAGATACCAGACAGCAAGGAAGAGTCGACGCTGAAGGAGAGCGTCCAACGCAAGAGAACCCTAAACAACCGGTGAACATGGCCATCCATGTTTGTGCCCGGGCCTACAAGCGCACTGTTCGGGGCGAAATGCCTTGCCATTCCATCCTGGCCTCTGTTCATCCTAGCGCATCTTCTTCCCTCTTCTTCCATTTCCGTGCCCCCCACGCCGCCTCCACCTAACTGATGACAGGTCGACTCGTCTTGCAAGCCGGTTCCAAGCACCTCCTCTCCAGCTCAGCGCCCTCCATGGGTAACCGTTGCCCAGCCTGATTCTTCGGCCGATGGCGCCCCCAGCACCGGATGCGTATATGTCTCTGCCTCAACCTATGATAGCGGGCCACAAACCAGCTAGTTGATAATTGCCCGTGCTAGGACTGAACATCATCCATCCCGCGCCTGTATTATCGCTGCCCACCGGCACGCAGCCGTCCTTCAGCGCCTCGTCGGTTTTTGTGATCCCGTCCTCGCACATACAACTACATGCTCGGTTGCTGACACAACGACATCTCCAACTGGTGGTTGTTGGTCGTCTTCGTCAGGCGCCCCCCCGGGGGCGGCAGTGCATCATCTCTCATGCTCACATCTGTTGCTCTGCTCCTCTTCCTTGGGGTCGTCCTCTTTGCCACCGCAACCCGTTGCCGCGCTGGTCAAACATGCATTTGCGTCTCCTTTGAGACCCTGTTGCAGCCTCGGCCAGCAGCTATCCGTCTCACTATCAGCCCTTTTTGAACCAGGTCATACAACAGTACCGGTAGCTATCCGACGACATTTGCACTTTTCTTTTTCTTCGGTTTTCCCGCTGGAGAGCCCTAGGGCAGGCCATATTTTCCCGGATGGCACTGGTAGGTAGGTAGGTGTCTAACTGTGGTAGACTGCCATGATGAAACAGACCAGTGGCCTTGTCCTCTTCTCTATCTATCTCAATCCACCTCGCTTCCCCAATCATATATGTTGTGCGCTCTCTCACAGGCTTTGCCTCGTGGGTACACAGTCACATTACACAAAGATGCCCGGGAAAAGGTCCGATGCTGCAGGGAGGCTGTCGCGCCAACGCTGTGCCTGTCAAACCATCACCTCAACCAGTCACCACCACCGCTTTTAGGGATGCGGACGCCTTAGTACACTAGACTGTTGATGCGCTTCTAACTACCCTCCGACGGCCCGCTGCCTGGCTTCATCCATGCTGCCCATCCCTGCACCGACCGGGTTGGCCTGCTTGTTTGTTTCCCATCTTTACCCCAACTGCCATCTCTCTCCATGCCTGGATGCCAAGAACAACCCCATCCCAGCAGAGTTGGTGTCTTCTGACAGAAATCTCGTCTGAACCACACCGTGCCAGTCCAACACTGAGGGGTTTGACCGCGTAGGCCTGGCGCATCTCGCGTCACCAGCGGAAATACATGGTTATCGGACTGGCAAGTAGACAAAGAGATGTAGATTCGATCGTAGCCCCGGCCTATCGACGATTCCTCGTATCACGACCCGTATTCCAAATCGGCCGTGATACCTCGCATCATGAATCATGGACCATCATCATCACCCACGGATTTTGGAAGTTTCTCTATTCACGCACCCCATTCTTTTTCGGTCACCTATCAGCCTGTTTCCTCACCGCTTCGGGATCGCTTCGGGCATGCTCACGCACCATGCTATTTGCTCTATAGAGTGAACCATGTCCTTGCTCGACACGGCATCTGTTCTGCTTGTCCTTCCTCCATGAACATTCCTCAGTCAAGCCACACGCATCCCGGTCTGGTCCAGCAGGTCATTTTTCGGTATCAATCCAAGCCCCATTCCAGACCTTGCATATTCTCACACATACATCTCTTGCAACTACACAGTCGACACTCTTGCCTCCCTGGCTGAGCAGCTTGAACAGCATGGCAAGGGTGCAAGGATTATCCTCCCCTATGCCGATCCCCTCTCAGCCTCTCATCTGTCTGATTTCAACTTCTCCCAACACACGTTCACTCACAACCCCTCCATCACCCACACACCCCTCCCCCTCCTCCAGCATACAAGGTGATTTCTCAAGTCGGCCGCCTGTGCCGTTCACTCCATCTATCTGGATGACACCATGCCTCTTGGCCACACCCATTCACTCAAAACAACCCTGCGCACCCCCCCAATCACCCGGACCAAGTTATTGTCGCCCCGCCTAGACTGTGGTGAGAGGCCTTGAGCCTTTGTATCGGCTTGTTTGTCCTTCTTCCCACAACGTTTACTCCTCCTCCTAGTGGACAGCTCTTTCGATATGCCGGGTAGCATGGGGCTTGCGTATGCAATCACCATCACTCGCAGCAGTTCGCAGCCGCCTCCCGAGGATACATCCCACTGTCACAATCACGGCATGGTCTCTCAACTCTCGTCACTTGACTTGCAACGTGATTCGTTTCCTCACCGGCGGGAGACACGGCCAAGTGGACTTGGCAGGCAGAGAAAGAAGACTGGACTGAGGCGCCCGCATACAATCAATCCCCATTCAGTACCGAGCGGCGGTTACTACGGCGGTCGCACAAGAGAACTGTCAGACAAATCACGGATGGACTCTGCGCACCCTTCCCGATCCTCCACACCACCTGCTATTACATGCTCATCTTCTAGCACCCCACATTTGATCATCTCGCGATTGAGGCCGAGTATCACCCAGAGTTTCTCGTATCATCATCTGGCCCAGAATCAAACGAGTCCCGCATGACCTGCTCCTCAGCTAAGCCAACTTGCTTGCGCGCACACACACTGCATGCCTCCGGCCGAACCTCTAGGCCGATTTCCCATGCTCCTGCTATTCGCCGAGCCGCCACAATCCAGCCACCAAGTTTCTTGGTCGCAGCCTTACGACGGCGCCGTGTCAGACCTAGCAGGTCCGCCCTCTTGGGTTGGGTTGGGTTGGGAAGGGGGGGTTCATCCAGAGAAGAAGCCGCGCGGCCCTGTTCCTAAGAATGTCATCTGCCAAAGGCAACCACCGCCTCGAGGCACTTGTTATCCCCCAACTACCATTTCGAAGTCCGGCTCCTTGTGTCGAGCGAATGAGACGAGCCCGCCGCTGTCTTATGCTTAAGAGAAGTCCCGAGCCGGCTCTTACAGAAGTCACTACGGAACATAAGCCCTTGAAATGACTAAGGTGCTCTACAAACAGGGAAAAGAGCCAAGACACCGTCTCATTGGTGGGCGCCATCGCCATCTGCACACCCTCTTCTGTGAGATCGTCTTGCTCTAGATATCTTTGGTACATCATGCTGAACCCCATGATCCCCACCCACCCACCCATCTTTCCCGGCACGTTCCAGCCTGCTTCGGGCGTGAATTCCATCCTTATTTTCTCATGTGGCGCTCTCCGACAGCCTCGGATCTTGCCCTCTACCTCTGAGCGCGTAGCCTAAGCGGATTTTGTGTGGAAACCTTTGCCCCAGATTTTAGAGACATATCCACTTTGTTCGTGGCATCAGATTGGCATTCCCAGTATGCCGTACCAGTCAGGGCCATGGAGCTGCTCAAATTTCAAAGACCTTGAGACCTCTGTCGGTTTCCGGAAGCCTGCGAGGGTTTGAGTGGTCTGCTGATAGGATGCAAGAACCCGATGCTTCATGACCAGTTATCTAGCCATTCACGCAGACCTCCGGCTCACCCGCCCATCACTTTTCCATGGAAAGGGGCCACCCAGAACATCCGTTTGTACCCCTTTGAAAGGGCCTATGTTTCGTCATGCACTCGTCATTCAAAGTCTCCCGGGCACTTTGTCGCGCGTTTGGCAACGGTGATTTGCTCCTCTCCCGTTGAATCCAAGTGCATCATAGTGTGACTAGGCGCCTACTGACCACATATAAAACCTATAGTCTGGCCGTTAGCCACCGCGAAGCCTGTTCTACGTGCGAGGAACGTACTGATTACTGCCCAATCCCAGAGCTAGCTGTGCAAGCAGCGTTTCAAGCCACAATCCCGAAACCCTGGGGGGGTTAGTCAATCTGGATGGCGGCTTGACGGTCACCAATACAACGCCCGTTCGTTGAGCTGTCCGGAAGGGTTGTGACTTACCATGTGACTAGAAACCTGCGGCCAAGCGGTGTGGATGGGTGTCTCAGAGCTCTAGTCTCCAGAGCGGAGACTATTGACGCGTCTGGTAGTGGCTGGGAGCTGCTGCAGCTTCGTATCGCAGGCAAACCTCGTTTGTCGGACACCGCCTCAGCAAAGTTGTATCTGCACCTTGCCTTGACCGATTCGGAAGCCTACCCCAAAGTCAGGCCACGGAAGTCGTCATAACGACCACACCTGGTCTTTTTCGGGTAGATATTGACTAGTCTGTCAGAGCCAATATAATGCAAGTGTCAGAAAGGCTGGCGAACCTGCAGAGTATGTAGGAGACGAGCGATAACATCTCGTGATTCGCCACGATAGTTGTTCATGTCATGATCAGCTGGACGCGCGAGAATCGCCGGTGAGGTTGCACAGTCTCAGTTGGGTGTCGTTGGTTGTGGACTTTGCCCACCTCGAAGACGTCCTAACCATGCAACTTCCTGAACGTACAAGGCCGGTGAAGGGTTTTCGTATCGTTTTACGGGGGAAGTACTGCAGTGATGGAAATTATCGTCGCGGTGGCGGTGGTGTTGATCTCGACGGCAAATCGTATGACGGAGGAGCGCGGCGAGATTCTGTAGAGTGGCATCAGCGGTGGAATATCTCCCGAGTCCACCCACCCTTCTCTCACAAACTTCCAGAAAGCGCCTTCAAGCCGCATGTTCTAACAATGTACCGAAAAAGGGGAAAGGAGAGTGCTTTTGCCGCGGTGAGGCCTCTTTTTGCCTTGTGAGCGGAGGGGTCAGACCGTGTCCAGCATGGCGAAGATCTTCTCAAAGTTGCCAGTCCTTGTCAACTGGTGATGGACCGGTGAGGGGCAAGACAACAATCAAGCATTATTCCAGATGGCGACAGCTGGAAGAATGTTTCTAACTGGACAAAAGGAGGCACGTAACCGGGGGGAAACATGTTATGTCGACTCCTGGACAAGATTAAATGCTAGAGCTGGGTCAAGAGATGAAATCAGTCACAAAGGATGATGGGGAGGTTTGTTGGAGAAGCTCAATTATACAACCAGAACCAGTATGGGAAAGTTATGGGATAAAATATTAAACCTGGACACTGCTTTGAAACCATCTTATGACTGCTTACTGTGACAAGACCGCAGCAATCGGAACTGAAGACGTAATCCATTAGAACAGCGCAATGATCTTCTTTCACGTATTAGCACAAACATATGTGTTGCGCCATCAACAATTACACACGTATTAATATTAAGGCTCTATGCATCAAGGAGGGAATGAACCGAACTCCTTATTTTTTCTACATCTCCCGGTACGATGGGCTAACAAGCTTGATGCGAGTATTTCACCCTCATGCCTTGCCCATTTTTCATAATAAGCCAAGGTATCGGCGCCATGGCTGCAGCGATCCCAGCCATGATAGTAGTTCCCCAGCCCAACCCCGAAGCAAAATACATAGGAGGTCCTATGATTGGTAAGAAAGCACCAAAAATGCCACTCAACATCATCAAGGCAGTGATGGCGGAGACGGCATGAACCGGGAAGGCTTCTAAAAGGTATGACATGCTTGGTGCCTGGCTCATTGGTTAGTTGACATTGCTCTTTTATTTTCCCCATCTATACTCCGTACGACGGCCAGATTAACTTACAAAGAGAAGCATAATGCCCATTCCAAAAAGGGCAGAACCGGTCATCGGCACCAGCCAGAAAATGGTCTTCTCTACTGTCCAACCATACAACAGGATTCCGGTCGGGATCAGGAGGACAGAATAGCTCATGAGAGTTAGGCGAAGTTCAGGTGTCCTGGTACCTCTCTTAAGAAGCAAGGATACGGCAATTCGGTCGCTCCAAAACATATCGAGCACAGCGCCTACTATAATGCCGATGCCAACACCTAAGAATGCAAGGCCAGAAGAGCCGGTCGAGAAGTTGTATCTGCTGGTGAAGGCTATGGAGATGGTTGCAAAGAAGAGAAACTAAGTGATATCGGTCAGATACTGGAGTGGTAAATGACTAAAAGATGTTGCTCACAAGAATGCCGTATACTACAGCAAAGTACGAAGAAAACGCAAAGACGATTGGGTGCAGTATAAGAAGTCGAAAAGGTTTTTTGATAGCTTCCGCGAAGGCCTCGCCTGGTGAGACACCACTAATACTCAAAGCCGAGAAAAATCCAGGATCTCCGGTGGTCTTCCTGACTTTCTTCGCTCGCTTCTCTAGCAGCGTCCTTGCCGAGGTTTCTCTAAGAAAGAGAACCGAAGCAATGCTGGTAATAGCAGCCTGTGTGCATTTGTCAACAACTTCACTTCCTAATGTCATCCAGCTGCACTAGAAATCCGAGTTATTACTCACTAGGATGCAGAGCGACCAGAAAATCCAACGCCAGCCGAAGTATTGCGCCAGATAGCCTCCTACAGCAGGCCCAATCGCAGAACCCAGCATCAGGGCGAGAGAATAGGCCGATACAGCCCGGCTACGCCAGGGACGCTGGGTTATGTCGGCGATAGTGCCACCTCCAATAGCGAACGGAACAGCACCAGTGCATCCACTCATGAACCGAATTATGAGGAGGACGCCGAGGTTGGGCGATAGGGCACAAGCCGCATTACATGCAAGAAACAGAATGTTCGAAATGATATACACTGGGTATTTTCCCTGTAGCTCCGACAGGGGCGATGCTAGCCTGGTTGCCTTTAGTACATGTATGAATGTTTAGCAATGAATTTGCTTTCGTCAGGCGCTTACATTGTACCGAATACGGAACCCAAGTTGAAGATTGATACAACGAGGGACGTCAAGACACCGTCAGGCGCTTCAAACTCTTCAATAATATCCGCCACGGCTGGAAAGGGCATCGAAGATGCCATGGCTCTGTAAGCATAACTGTAAGCATTTGTGGGATGGAAAGAGTTCGTTACTATGGAACTCGGATACTCACGCTTGCAGCGTCAAAATACTCACAAGCACGACCTGAACCCATCTCGATTTCGCTGTCCAGTCCAACGGATTCTCAGGATCGTGCGGCACGTGCCAATTGACCACATGCCGTGGTTCTTTGTCTTGCACACTGGGGCTTTTGAACGAAGACCAAGAGGGAGAGCTTGGCGATTGCACTGATGCGTCGTCATCGGGGATACTGCTGAACGCCGTACCCATGTAGAGGTTCAACTCATCGACCGGCCCCCATGGCTGCCCGTCCGCGCTGAGCCGAAACCAGGAGAAGCCAGAAGTTCGTGAATGCCTCGAGGAGTCGCAGCTTACTCTGGACCGTCTCCCCGCAAGAGCCACGGGCTCCGGATATCGTGGCTCCTCGATGCCTCGGTGCGTGGGCGGATAGTGTGGTTGGAGCGAAGCCATCGTGCAATGATTGCAGGCGCCAGCCGCATGGACCGTTCTGCATATCAGCTCGATGAGTGCTTGCTAGAGACGAAAAATCCGAAAGGAAAATCACTCGTTGGTGAGTGGCCAAGTGCATTGTGCATTGTCTGGATAATATGTAGCGGGAAACTGGTGCAGGTAGATTGACTTCGGCCATCGGAGCCTTCAAAGTGTCGGACATTAACACGTATTGGTTTTAACGTTACCTACTTACAGCACATGTAATTTTACTATATTGATATAAACTGCGGCTATTCCTGAGATCGTCGTCGTGGATTACAACGCCCCACCGAGATTCTCAGTGTACTGCCTCGGATAAATTTGGTAACCGTCATGGATTTGGTTGGCGGTGGCAGTGTAGAGCACGGTGAGACCGACGTGATGGAACTAGGCGACAGGCAGGTCTTTTAATGGAACGGATATGTCACGCGTATATTGCATGGTCTGTGTCAACTGATCTACATCTCTTATGAGTGGCCTAAGCATATGACTCGTTACATTTGCTTGTATCAAGTTGGGCATATATTTAACCGCGGCTATATACCAAGCTGTTTCACGTTCGAAAACGAACGTACTTTACCCTCCTCGTTGTCCTGGACCTGTAGCTATAAGCCTCGGCATTTTGCAGGCTCAAGCGGAATTCTCTTTGTTCACTGTTCCGATAATCGTCAATCTATTAAAAAGAGTTTTCCAGCACTAAAACACCCCTAGATAGTATCCAGATCAACCACCGAGAAATTCGGCATCTAATCAATGACTGCATGACATGAATGGGTCAGCATGTCACGTTAATCAACACCGAAGGACCCAAACAAGCCGAGGGCTTCCCCACCGACCGGCTCATTGATGAGTGGATAGGCAAGGCAAAGGAGACAAGAGAAGCAGCGATTCTTGTTCATCCAGAAGAGCCGCAATTTTGGTATAGCCTGAAGAGAAATCCGGGGCATCTACCGTTTGCGCTTAAAGTGACGTATTGTAAAAGTCTCCCCGTCTTTTATCGTAACAAATAGAGCGACTGTCTTAGCGTAGATACTACTCAAGTCAACTGACCTTTTGCACATACAGCACGTCAATCATCGCTTCAACCTAACGCATGACTGCGGACTCGTGTAAGTTCTTGCTATCAAGATCAAGTACAGGAACTCATGCTAAAGAAAAGCGGTATAGCTGTAAAACATTCGCTTTTATTCATGAGTCTTCTAAGCAGTTTGTGTGGTTCATGCCTGCTTATCTCCCTGGATTCAACACATGTCTACCGCAGCACAATCCGGGAGGCAAGAAGGCTGTGGGACAAAAGGGAACTGGGTTTTCACGCTGCCACAGCATTAACCGGAAAAGATTTCATAGGCACCAGAACTTCACGACCTCGGTTCCGCTGAACAGAACATTGAAGTAGTTGCTTGAGTCTTCTCCCCAGACCCTTTCGTGGTCAATAATGAAGTATTCAGGGGGAGGGGGGATTGCACCCAGCGCTAGGCGATGAGAAAAGGTGTGAGGTCAAGTAAGTCCATGTCGAGAAGGGCGGACTAGATGACGCATAAAGTAAGGAGAACTCTAAGAGCAAACATAAGCACATATTGCCATTTTACGTCGTTATGTTCTTTCAACCGTGTTAATAATGATAGTGTTGCGATGTTGACCATCGCGGATAAATATCGGAGTTATCGGGTTAACCCCGATGACTCATCACCGGCGAATCCTCGGATATTCGGCCATAGATTCTCCGAGGATTCGTGGGCAATAAGTTGGTTATTCAACCAACCAACCCACGATAATTATCCTTCTTTTCTTTACGCATAATAGAGAACCACAGTTACCCCCATTATTCGTCAATTGCCACCGATACGTACGGTTAACCGTATCAACCTATCCCTTGGTGTTACCAACAGATAGTAGTATTATGTCATAATATATAAGCTACTATTACTGCCTACGTAACTAACAGTATTATTTTATTATATAACAGTTATAAGCCTAGCTCCTACCTACTATATACTATAATAGTCTATATTAATTCAAGTGCAGTCACTAGCTATAGATCTTAAGCACTGTAAGTTTAATTCCTATTAGGGTCCCCTAGTCAAAAATCCTACTAAAGTCTATATAGATCCTCACCATCTATGATTAGCGAGATGTACCTAACTAGATTTCTATCAAAAGTGTGTTCAGATCTGACTTTCTAGGTTAAATCTAGGGGGTGTAAAATGTATTACGATATATAAGCTACTATTACTGCCTATGTAACTAACGGTATTGTTTTATTATGTGACACATTATATGCTACGGTATGATAAAGACAGTTTAGGCAGGCGAGTATATGTTTGCGACGTAATGACTACAATCATCTAGACGAGGTTTTTGATTGATCAGAGGTCCAGTTGACTGCCTGGTGTTTTGATACGAAGGAAATGTTAGTCAAGATAGGGTCCCATAACCATGAACCACTTATGCAAATGTGCTGGCTGCACGAACCGCTTAGAACGCCTGAGCCTAGCCAGAGGCGGCACTCGTAATGTCATGTAAGAACTCATTTATGGGTGATAGAGTAGATTGTCCAAAATTTCGACACCGTAAAGTGGCAGGCTCTCAAATGATGGATTTCTGGAAAGCAGCCTTGAGGGAGTATCTTACTGGGAGGTATTTGAGGGACTGAGAACTTGGGGCGGTGTGTGAAGCGAATGTGCAGTTTCTCCGTCCAAAAGCCCGTTCTTGACACTTTCAATCATGCAATGTGACCATTTCTTAAGAAAAGGCCATGGCGGAACCCTGATCAGATCTTAGCAACCCGAAGCGACTGCTCTGAAGGCTTCAAGTACTAGCAATTGTTCACCTATTAAATCCACCAATGGCCTATGCATCCCAGCGGCGGTCTAGTATTCTCGACCAGCCTCTCATATCTAAATCGAATTTTACACTTTCTGATGCAATTTACTATATCATTATGGAGCATACGCATTTGTTTATTGTCTATTTAGATGGAAGTCTCCCCCAACCAAGTGCCATATCTTAGATCAGACAGTATCTCAAATTACGCATCGACTTGAAAAACGACTTCGGTATATAGACGAGCTATTATGTACGTCCTAGAGGCTAGCATCGTGGCTTTTCTGGTGGCTTTACCTACCGCACTCGCATGTCTCGGATATGAGGGTGGTGTCCCCGTTGCCACATCCGCCAAGACAAACAACAAGTACATCGAGGTAAAGGCCGGTCAGATCTACGACGGAGGTTGGGCTAGGTTTGATCGTGGTTCTGGTTCTTGCACCGGTGGCGAAGGAGGTGAGATAACCCTTAGGGACCTTCATGATTCAATGACAAGAGGGCCTCTGGCTGATGACTCAACTTATCAGGCCAGGCCGATGCTGTTTTCTGCTTCGTCGAGGCGCCACTCTGAGAAACGCCATCATTGGTAAGAATCAGAAGGAGGGTGTTCATTGTTACGGTTCTTGTACAATTGAGTTTGTCTGGTTCGAAGATGTCTGTGAGGATGCCATCTCGGTCGTGAGTAATCTTTCGAATGATACCTTTATCGGCACAGATGATTGACCTTCAACGCAGAAGAACGACAGGGCCGGTGACCATACTTGGATTGTTGGCGGCGGTGCTTACAAAGCTGGCGACAAGATCGTCCAGCACAACGGTTGTGGCACCGTGAACGTAAGTGGGCTTTTGGTCTTTGATGACGAATGACACACTGATTTGCTGTATTTATAGATCATCAACTTCCACATCAGGGAGTATGGCAAGGTATATCGTTCTTGCGACAACGTTAGTGACTTTGTTTCCCGCCATTAGGGTTGCGAATAGTGTAACTGACTCCATTTTAACAGTGCAGCAGCCGGTGCAAGCGCAACGTCTAAGTGGAGGGAGTTACGGCGACGGGCGTACAATGGCTGGCGGTGAGGTTGTTGGTATCAATTCCAACTATGGTGATACTGCTACTCTCAGGAATGTTTGTACCGATGCCAGGGTCAGGTGCCAGATGTACAACGGATGCGCGGGTGGCTGTGAGCCCAGCAAGTCCGGAGTCTGTTCCGGATAAGCATCGTTGGTGGTTACCCACGGTCCTTCACATTATACTCAACCATAAGCTTGTAAATGCGTTCGACTCCTTGAACTTAGAAGCATTGACTATGGTTTCTTTTACAATCTTTGCCGTGTTGTTAATCCTCAGTCACTATACACATACTTTCACTTTCCTGTAGTCGAAATGGTCCATTCTGACCACCCCGGATTTCTTTTGGGAAGCTTTCTTTCAAAGTTGACTTGATTTGCGGCACCGAATACGTTCGCATGTCAAACACTAGAAGTTAATAATGCTAGCGCATACATAGTTCCCTCTTTCTACCAAGTAGAATATCGATGCTAGTTCCAATATATTTGCAGAACAGTGAAGAGTGGCAGTTATAGCAACGGGGTAGACAACAGAAAGCTTGACGGTGCAGTATAGAGTGCACCGTATATTGTTGCTCATCTGATGAACGTGTCCCGCGTTACAAACTCTTGCACCCGCCATTTTCCTTCTGCGGCTTGTTATCATATAGGAGGAGATTTTGAGCTGAGCAACAGTGTATGGCAATTTTTCCATCTTCATATTGAACATTACATCGTTCTCAGCAAACATCTTCTTATTTTTTTGAGTTTTTCTTCGTCTTTACATCATAAATAGAAATAGGGGAACCCGGCTCCAAATGCAAAAGTATTGGCAGCGAAGGCCATGGCGGCGTAAATCACCAACTAAGTGCAGCCGAGACATGCTTAGCAACTTGAAAAACGATGTTTTAAACCCTCATTGAATCATTCACCCCCTGTTTCTTTCTTCAGTCACTTCTTTTGTGTGTAGCTAATTACGTCAATATTACTCTTGCACAAGTTGGTGTTATCCTTCCGAGCCCGTCAACTTCTGCCAAGCTCAAAAAATACAGAATCAGCAGGAATCCATGTCTCTATATGGTCAACGCACCCCAGAATGTGAACAGAGTTGGCTTGCGGAAAAAAATTGGTCACATGCTTTGGAATGACTAGCAATCCGGGCGACGAGGAAAAGAACAAAGGTTGCAGATAGAAAAGGGTTCGGCCCGAGCGTCGTCAGAATCGATCTGCTTGTGCATGATTTTTTAAACGGTTGAGGTCTATTGCAATTTGATTCGAGCGCATGATTCACTTCGGTACATCATTTCTGCGAAGCAACGACCAGCTTGTTGCAGGAACCGACCGTCCAATGGCCAAGCCTAGTTCCAGCTTTGATTTCTATATACCCAGCAAGCTATTTGCCGGCCAATACGAGCTCTTATTGCTCCCCGTTCCAAACCCCTGACCGCACGTGGACAGACAATATTAGCCATATCCGGAAGGTTACTCACGTTGGATGCCACCGCGGTCCAGGGTATCATCCGAACTGCCGCCATCCCAGGTTCATTGCCGAGCTCTCAGTGCTTTGAGTGACGCCGTGCACTTGCTGGCGACTTCGGGCATGTGAACTCGGTTGGGAGGGGCTTTCAGAAGCGTTGATGATAAACACCATAGGCAAAGGTATTTACGCCCCTCAGAGGTAAAAGTCCAACAATCGACGTGACTGTCTCTCCGTCCACAAGCGGGTGCTAAGCACTCGAGATGCCCGAGTCAGGTGCATCGTCTCTTAGCCTATCCACCGGCTGCGACTTCCCCGCAATCAAGCCATCGTCAACCTGGATGCTCATCATCGCTAGCTTTCTTGGAAGCGTGTGGGGTAGTGGAAATGCGGAGAGGCAAGGGTATTCGGGGTAGCTTACAAGACTGCCCCAAGCTCTCACTAGGCCTCGGTGCAACGGATACCACGAACCAATTCCCTTGCTGACGCACTTATTGACGCGCTTACTCCCTGATGGTAGCTGGCAATAATTCATTACTGACATAAAGCCTGGGTCGGGGCAAGGGGAAATGATCGGCGATGGGACTAGAAGAAGGCGCAATATCGATTCGAATACAACCCAAGACGGGCAGTCAAGTCGTCGTATCGCTTGTTTTGCTTGTCCCCTCGACATGTGGCAGGTCATCCAGTAGTTGTGTTTGTCGAGGTAAAGGAGATGCTCACGTATATAAAGCATGGTAACCATCCTAGCATTTCTGCCTACGGGTGGTATGCTTGTTGTTGCTTTGCCCAGCCATGCAATCTTTCAATTTTTGGCTTTCCTCGGCACTTGCCCTTGCGGCGGCTGCGCAAGGCCAAGGAGACACCAGCAACGCCCAGAAAGTTGAAGCCGCTCTCACCGCTCTCACTGTCATCAACCTCGACGACGTCCGTGGCAACCTTTACCTGCCTACCGTTGCGGATGGGCTTATCATCAACTGGGAGAGCAACTCCTCTTCTGTCATCTCCAGTGATGGCGTTGTTAAGAGACAGCCAGTGGACACTCCAGTCGCCCTTACAGCATCCATCGAATACGAAGGTGTCTCTCAAACACGTGAGTTCGTCGCTTCAGTGCGCAGAGCTGTATCACTCGACCCCTTTGAGGGCTATGCGTTTTCCTACTTCACCGGAAATTCGATCGCTGGCGAAAAGATATACTTCGCCGCCAGTGAAGGCAACAACGCACTGGAGTGGACAGAGTTGAACGGTGGCCAGCCAGTTCTGACCTCTTCATTCGGCACGAAGGGGCTGCGAGACCCTTTCCTCATTCGGTCACCGGAAGGGGACACTTTCTATCTTATCGCCACTGATCTCTCCATCGGTTCTGGCACTTCTTGGGGCGATTCCGTACGCTTCGGCAGCCGCTATCTTGAAGTCTGGGAGTCTCATGATCTGAAGACCTGGTCTGAGCAACGCCATGTCTTAGTTTCTCCACCGGAGGCCGGGAACACATGGGCTCCCGAAGCATATTACGATGACGAACTTGGTGCTTATCTGGTGTTCTGGGCTTCGTCGCTTTATGATGCCAGCGACGTGAACCGGACAGGCAGCACCTACCACCGCATGCTTTACGCAACGACCCGTGACTTCGTCACCTTCAGCGAGACTTCGGTGTGGCAAGATGCCGGCATGTCGAGGATCGATTCGACCGTGATCAAGTCCGGGGGCACATACTATCGCTTCACCAAGGACGAAGGTGCTAGCGGCACAGGCTGCAGTGATATCATTCAGGAGAGTTCAGCTTCTCTCCGAGCCACACTGGACTCGTGGACAATCATCGACTCATGCATAGGCAAGAAAGCCGGCACTAGTACCGTCGAGGGCCCGACAGCGTTCAAGTCAAACGAGAACGATGTTCACGGCGAGAAGTTCTACCTCTTCGTCGACGAGTACAGCGGGCGCGGTTACATTCCACTCGAAACTGCCGATATTAGCAACCCTCAATGGACCGTCTCTGCTTCATACAATTTGCCGTCCAGCCCACGCCACGGAACTGTCATTGCCGTCACTGCCGCCGAGCTTGCTGCTCTGAGAGAGACCGCATTGGCCCGTAGAGCTGTCAATGATGATGGTGAGATTCTTCGTTATGACTTTTCAACAATAGAGGGCACACAAGTTCAGGATGCTTCAGGCAACGGCAACCACGGTGTGATCAACGGTGGCGCCAGTGTAATTGACGGCGCCCTTAACTTCGACGGCATCGACGACTTCGTTCAGCTTCCTGACAACATTGTCACCGGTGTTGAGGACATTGCAATAGAGGCTCGGGTCTTCCTTGATGCCTCCCAACAGACTCCCTACTTTATTTACGGTATCGGAAATACTGTGTCCGGCAGCGGCAACGGCTACCTTTTCGCTACGGGGAGCCCCTACAGAGCGAGCATTGCTACCGGCGACTACACGACCGAGCAGACTGCAGCTTCCAGCTCTTCTCTTCCCCAAGGAACCTGGGTGCACTTGGTATATACAATCTCGGGACGTACTTCCGTCATCTACTTGGACGGCTACGAGATGGCTCGCAACGAGAATGTTAATGTCGACCCCAAGGATATCGGCAACGGCGTCACAACAGCCAACTACATTGGAAAGTCTGACTACTCCAGCGACAACCTATTCAAGGGACGGATACGCGAGTTTGCCGTTTTCAATAGATCCCTGACGGCGGCCGAGGTTCTTTCTCGTTCTGGAAACATCGGAGCCATCACAGAAGTGTCTCTTGCCGATGCGTCTACTCTCCGTTTTCCAGCTATCATTAACACCACTACCAGCAAAGTCTTATTCCCGGTCAAGCCTGGCACCGATGTAACTGCCCTTGCACCGACCTTCATCACCACTGAGGGCGTAACTGCTTCCCCGGCTTCCGGCACTATTGTCGATCTTAGTGCTGAGGTCAAGTACGTCTTGAGGAAGGGCGACGAGGATGTGGCAGAGTGGACCGTCGGCGCTGTTGAGATGGGTAGCCCTGTTCTACCCGGTCTCTACGCCGACCCAAACGCGGCGGTCTTCAACGGGGTCTATTACATCTATGCGACCACCGACGGCGTTCCAGGATGGGGCGGAAACGTTTTTTATTCATGGAAGTCTACTGATCTCGTCACTTGGACCCGTAGTGAGAAGCCTTTTCTGACTCTCGACGGAGCCAACGGCAACGTTCCCTGGGCCGCCGGTAATGCATGGGCGCCCACCATTGCCGAACGCAATGGCAAATACTACTTCTACTTCAGTGGACAGAACGCGGCTCTGAACACGAAGACCATTGGGGTCGCGGTGGCTGATACTCCCGAAGGCCCCTTCACAGCTGAGCCCGAGGCCATGATACTGAACAACGAAGCCCTTACTTCGTCTCAAGCTATCGACCCTGTGGCTTTCCAGGACCCTGTGTCAGGAAAGTACTACATTTACTGGGGCAACGGTCGCCCTCTTCTGGCAGAGTTGAACGACGACATGGTCTCCGTTAACTGGAATACCGTCCAGGCCATAAGTGGTCTGGTGGACTTCCGTGAGGGTCTCTTTGTAGTTTACCGCGACGGCCTCTACCACCTCACATATTCCATTGATGACACCGGTTCAGAGAACTATCGTGTTGGTTATGCCACGTCCAAGTCTGCCACTGGACCTTGGACGTACCACAGTGTAATCCTGCAGAAGGATCCATCACAGGGAATACTGGGAACGGGGCATAACTCTATGTTCAATGTTCCTGGTACTGATAGTTGGTACATTGTCTATCATCGCTTTGCCATTCCTGATGGTGGCGGTTACAGACGTGAGACTACTATTGACCGTATCACTTTCGACCCTGAAACGGGCCTGATCAACCCAGTCGTCCCTACTCTCACCAGCGTTGGACCAGAAACTGTACCTCAAAAGTTTCGCCGCATGTCTCGCGTGATGCGACTTTAACCCAAGTTACGGGGAGGTAGCCAGATAGTTGAACATGATCTCGGTTTTTATTCTTTTTTAAAAATAAAAAGTGCTCACTAGGTCACCCGCGTTGTGTCGCATCAACTACTAAGTTCAAATTTAAAGTAATGGCCTACTGAGCACCCCTTCTACTTTCAATCGAGCTCTGAGATGTATTTCAAATTGCGACGTATCCTCTTACAATCCGTCATAACCAACACCCGGTCAAGCACCTACATCAACGTCTAGACTGAACAACATACAGACTACTGGTAAGAATCTGTACAAACTATCACCACTTGGAATGTCGAGCATCGTCGATCAGAGCACAGCCTTCTCAGATGACGAGGTACAGATGGGTGTCTCCGTGGCTTCAACATATACAGTGGCCCCGCAGCCACCAGGACACTCTCCACCGCATGGGAAAGCTTGAGTGACTGTAGGAACTAGTGTTGGACAGTGACATAGTCGAGAGATTGTGGAAGACCTCACGCACAGGAGGTTGATGCATGTCGAGCACACTGTCTTCTTTGTGAAGATTGTAGGACATGCCTGTGGCACCCCACCAGTCGGTATAATGGGTATTATAGTTATGTTAGTTGAGGGAGTCGGCGTGAGGATCACGGGTACGTCGCAAGTCGGGGTCGCTGTCTCGTATATGTACGATGTGTCCATACAACCGGTAGGTCGCGGTCCGTCGCAGGGGTAGTTGACTGTCGTTGTCGGCACCACGGAAGGGCACCCGCAGCGCTTTTGAATAGTTGACAAGGCAAGGCAAGCTTTCTGGACGAAGGTGGAACAGATACTTCTGGTTGACGTGACTGTTTGGCATGGCGGACCGCCGTCTCGAGCAGCAGCATAACTAAGATACTTTTTAGTGTCAAGTCTTGAGTCAGAGCGTTGTTTTCTTTCTTACATCGCCATCGCAGATATCATGATTTTATACGAAAGTTTCATAGCGAGATATTCCACTGTGGAATGGGCTGGTAAGATTAAATCGTGATTTTTGATAGCCTGTCGAAGTAGGTATTAGTGCAGATGTGTTTGCCGTCCCGAGAAACACTGATAACTTATATAAGTAGGCGACCTCCCTTTAGGAACTTGGCTTGTTCAACACCAAAGTTGTCATGAATAAGAATGCGCCTTGTCGTATTTCATGTTTCAGTGGCACACACACCTCGAAGCTGCACCAGATCGTCATTCCCGTCAAGTCGCTGGAACGCAAAAGCCGTTGCGGACTCACTCAATGGAGGGATGTAAGTAGTACTGCGCTTTTAAGGCATCCGAAATACACCACGCGAGGCATAATAGAGTGCACACTGTGCGGAGGGGCCGCAAACGAGCAGCTCATTCAGCCAAACGGCTTGTTGGCGTTCTTGGACGTTTCGTTTGCGACCAGTTCCGATTTTCCACGCAGAGATCTTTAAATAGACAGATCAAAAACAACCAAGTCATTTTTAATCCATCTTCAGAAATTCTTCAAGCTCCTGCCTTTGTAGGTCCCTAGGTTTCTATAGCTGCGCGTGTTTTGCCGCCTAAGAACGGCTCGCTCAAGGTCCACCGCACTCCGGTAGGAACAAATGAAACTTTCAGAGACATTCGGGCCGCACTCGATACCGAATGTCTCAGCATGGTTTACATTCTTCTTCTTTTTCGCTCATCGTATTTTAGTCCATGGAAACATGGTAAGCTATGTGCTTAGTATGCGATGGTTGCATCCTAAGTGACTTGGATTCAACAGGCTGCGAGCCATCCCTAAATATCTCTTTGAAGCTTAACGCATTTCTCATGAATGGGAAAGTGCCTGATGGCGCATGAAGCGTTCAGGTGATGGACCAAGATTCGGGGTGACTCTCACCAGGAATGGGCGATGACGCGCGTGATCAGCAGGATCGTCCCTTCGTGACCCTGTCTCACTTGGCCACTCGTGTACGTCCGTTTACAGCAAAACAAAAGCAGATTGATATTGGCCCTTCTGTGTACCGCTGAGAAGGTGTACGTGTTGCTCTGGGTATCAGCAAGTCAATCTGAGACCATTGTAAGCCACAAATCTTTGCGCAAAGACTTTTGCTTGACCGCATGGGAGGGGGAAAGGCAGAGTCTCTTAGTTCATATCCATTAATCAACTTGATAAGAAGCTGGATCGACTGTATGACTTTGAGCAGCAAGTTGCTCTCAGAGCTTTGGTCTTCAAGCCAGCCTGTCAGAATCACGAGCTTTTGCTTGTATATTGTGACTGGGACGTGTTTGCCTGTCGGAATAGTATTCTTCTGAGAATGAACTACATCAGTTGACGGAGTCGGTGTTTAGAACTTTCGAGCTTCGACTCTCGACAGCGTGAATGACTCGTATGGGCGGACGGGGATTAGGATAGGTACCGGGATGAACCAACGTCGTTTCCTCGAAGATGGGTTGATCTGACTTTAAGAAACTGGCTACCCTAGGAAGTTATGCTGCCTTCCGCTCGTGGCCATGGTCAGAATATTCCGTCGCGTTCGTTGGTGCAAAGCAAGGCTGGCCTCTAGGGACGGCCCCGGTTCCCGGCCCCCAATTCCCGACCCCCGGCTCCACGTCCGGTAATTGGCCACGGTATAGGCTATGCTCGGTTACACATATATTAGTGCCCAGCACCGAGTTACCGTATCCATAAGGTCCGACGATGTGTGTGACTGAGGGGTTGCGACTGTTAACGCATGAAATTACCGGTTTATGTTTCTTCTTGGGCCCTTGGTGCGGGACTAGGCAAAGTCACAAACCTGCCGCGACACCAATCAGGCAGTTCCAATTCCTACGGTTACGCAAACTGGGGAGGGGGTTTCAACGTGGCATGCCCGTGGTTGCGCTAGATTGTCACTGGGGATGCGACGAGACCGAAGAATGGACCAGAAGCCAATGCTACGGGGGTGACTGAGCCACTTCATCTGATCCCTTGGGCATCTAGGTAATCTGCATACAGCTCCGGGCCGAGCTCACCGTTGGCGCTGATAACCCGAGGTCTGCAATCAATCTCTCAATCTGAATCTCTTGGCTTCGTCTCTACACATGGCAGTTTAGAGTTTTCTTTTGCTTGGTCAATTCGCCGAACCACAACTCAACCGCCCCCATCTCCATCTCGAAGCATAGCCCCATGCCAGAATGGGGAAACAGGCCTGTTATCTTCAGGCGCTGGAGTAGTTTACAAGCACTTTGCTCCCTCAGGATGTGCCCTGCAATCAAGGAGATTGATGCATTCGGGCATAGGCTCATCACGGGATGAGTTGGGCTTTCCTGTTTCAAGCCGCCCGCCCAGTTTGACAAATCGGCGCCATCATCCAACCCCAAGAAATGGTTGGTGTGCCCGTGGACTCGGCCTCGATTCGAATGCCGATGTTTAGATGCAGCAGTGCGGAAGTCTCAATTCGGCCGTAGCTCCGCAGAGGCTGCCGCTTTGATGTCACCCAGCGAAACAGCATCGTGCTCAACTCCAGCCCGTCACGAGCCACGCCGACAACTCACCAGGTACGGTAACGAACCCTGAATACGCCAACGTCTGATGGCTTCCCACACCCACACCCTGTGGAATCTTCCTGGAAATCCCCCACCGTTCCAACGACCCCTGAGCGGTCTCAGCATGGCAGTTGATTCGCCATAGTTTTGAATGTACAGCATTGCCCCTGCATCGTCCGTGGAGTCGGCCCTTATGGCCTGACGATTCGCCCCATTGCGCCCAGATCCGCGCCAAGGATGCGTGGTTGAGACTCCAACCCCCTTCTCCACACAGGTGATACTGGTGCCCCGATGTAGGTAGTACATGGGCATTGGTCCGTACTCAAACTTCGGATGTGCCTGAGATTCATGGAAATAAGATGGCATACGAATCACTATTTAGTTCAGATCAGAGAACCTGCCCGTTTAGACATCCCTCTGCCTCTACCTGCATTTGTCTCGTTCCCTTTGGTTGTAGGTCCTACTGTTTTATACACCTGGTAAACAAGCTATCCGGTGTCAAACATCCACACTCCCTTTTGCAAGCTCCTGGTTAGATTTACGCACGCAATTGACAGTCATTTCAACCTGCAAACCCTGAGTATCTTGTTCCTTTGACACACCCTTCGCACCACCGAATGAAGATGAAGTTTTCAATCGTCGCTCTTGCCTTGTCAGGTGGTGCGTCAGCGTTGGTAAGTTTCCATGCTGCTGGGTTCCTCGTTTGCGGGCAATTCTTCTAACGCTTCAATCATTAGCCTGCTTTTAGCAGCCTTGTAGCTCGCCAACCAACAGACCTGACCAACCGGAAAGTCGAATTCAAGGGCGCCGCCCCTTCACTGATCGATGGCATGAGCCTCTCCCGCGCCGAAACAGTGGCCGTACGAGATGAATTAGTGGCGAACACAGGAAAGAGGAGCTCGGTGGCAGAGCCAAGGGAGGCCGCACCTCCTGCACCAGGTGCCGGGTTTCGGACGGAGGCAATAGGCGACAAAACAGAAAACCCGACGACCGGGTTGACGGACTCGGATGCGGCTGAGATTGTTACTTCGATCGATTTCAGTGACAAGAATGCGCCTGGGTCGCTGAATGCCAAGGGCCAGAGGAACCCGTTGCCGGGGTTGACTGCTGATATGACGGATGCTATCATAAAGCAGGGGCAGGCAGCTCTGAAGGAAGCCGGTGCGTGATGCGGCAAGGCTTGTGCGAAGACAATCCAATACCTAAGAAATCAAAGATTATGTCTACGGGCATCTCTAGGCACTTTTCTTTGAACTGCCCTTGTTGACAAGAAAGCAGCTTTCGATGAAAGTCGCAGTCTTTCTGTTCTTCCCAGTCTGGTCATCGAGAAGCTACCCAGTTCTCTAGTGCGATATTCCGGGTCTGCAAGTATTGCCCCATCCTCATCCGAGAGTTGTGAGCTTGCTCTTCTATTGCGTGTCTTTGGCTCATAAAGACGAACATACAATACCTTGCTGATGTACATGGACCGAATCTCGCGAACTCTCAACTACATGAATGGCCCTTGTCTTGTCCATATATTCATGCCGAGCTTTTCTCCTCTCTCTACCGGAAGACCAGCATGCAACACCCTTTCATCACCTTCTCCGCCGTCGAGCAGATTTGTCCAGAAAATTGCATTGCCCTCCACAGGCCGGAACGTGACTCCTGCCTCCCATGGTTCGTCGCATGCCAGAATCTTGCACCACTGCTTTCCAGCAGGCGCCTGAAGGCGTGGGAAGTTTGTCCCGCCTCCAACGATATCATCGCTAGCCTTGATGTAAGTGAAAAAGCTGCTCACACGGTTTCCCCCTTCGGCCACCGATCTGTGTTGGCCAAGGTCGCCCGGGAACCAATCCATGTGGGAGTGGTACTGCTGACCCAGTCCGTATTTGACCAACTGTATCGGCTCGAGATATGTTTGCGGCATATCTAGGCCCTGGAATTGCCGAGCACGTTCTTGGATGCACTGTGTTACCGCATCTGGCGTCACCGTTGTCGAATGCGACGTACGATGGGACGAAACTACATCGCCCTCGTGAGAGCTAACATTGGAACGAGCAAATGTGCCGTTTCTATAACAGAGTCAGCGCCGATCCCGTTGCGCTCTCTTTCCAATGTTTGAAGGAAATGCTGCGGGTTGCATCGATACTTACGTGACTTTCTGAAGATGACGGCTCTCGAACGGCGTCACAAAGTCATTGATGTAGATAACCAGAGGAGAATGGGAAAACAAGTGAATCTTGTAATTGGAATGTTCACAAACATAATCATTAAGATCATCGTCGCTGCTGGAGCCGTATGCAGCGGCTCTAAAGGCGAAAACTGCTGCAAATAGGCTCAACCGCATGGCTTGATGGATTTTGCAGCCACCTTCGCTTCATCGCTTCATAAAAGAAACCATTTGTCAAAACGCGGAAGCATTGAAATACTTGTCCTTGCGCAGTACGAAGTATGTTCTACCCTCAAAAACATTGAAGACCCGTGACGACCTGCGGCAATATCATCCCTTTCATTTACCCGGACGTCCAATATCCGCTTCTTGGCGCCTGTTCCAATTGGGGCATGGCCACAAACATTCAACGCCATCAATGGAACCCCTCACCATCTAACTGATACAGCCCTGTTGAAGCCACCAATGAGGAGAAGGACGTATACAAAAAGAACATTGAAGCGGCACATAGGACTCGGGGCAGTGTAACAATCCAGTTACTAACTAGTGGAAAGAAAAGAATATGGATGCGGTGTGAGATCTGAGCCTTGCTAGAGGAGTACTCCGCTGTAATTGATAGAAGATATAGCAAGAATACAAAAGAAAACTAGAGCTAGTTCATACTCTTCGACGACCCGGTGAATATATGTGTTGACAGCTAATGATTGTATTACAACGGCTTTTACTAGGGCGCATGAGGAAAGAAACGCTCAGAGATGGTCAAGAAGCCATCCCAATCTAGCACGGAGCCAACCTCCACAGTATCTCTTCAAAGCCACGGAGGAAGTCCCCGACTCCTCTAAGCATCCACGTGCATATTTGTGGGATGGTTGATGCAACCTACGTGTAACATCGCGTATTTCTGGCACTAATACACAATCGTGCAGGCAGGCATACGCTGTCTGGCCACTTATCGATTGGCAATTGGGCCGCCGTCAACCCCTCTAATCAGGGGTAGTACAATACTCTCCAGATATACGCATTAAGAAGGGAAATCTCCAGCTTGGTGCTGACATTCCGTACTTCGATCACTTCCAGCAGTTTAAAGCCTGGCTGCCACTTGTCGTAGCAGTGAACGTATATTTTGCCAGACACGTTCAAAATTCGAAGTGAGGCGCTATTATCATCATGAGTCTCTGGATTCGGATTGTTCTTCTCGGACTGTTTTCTGTCCCTATGTGGTGTTGGAACCATGTTCGTGGGACAGAGCTCCAAGAGCTTCTGAACAATCAAGATTACACACTTGTCGCTTGTAAGTGACTTGGCTAGGACGTCCTCTTGGAGATCATCCGTACAATCTCTAACGTTTGATTGCGCAGTTATCGGAGTAAGTTTCCCTTCATTAGTCCTATACCTTGACATGGTTAAAAGTACGACTAAATGGATGGAGGCCACCAGTCAGAGAAGTAAGTGATTGCCGCATGCGTTCGTTGTAAACAAGTCATTGACGAATAGCCAGTGCCCAGAGCCAGCTACTCGACACAGAATGGCCCACAGTAGCCGACGCAGGTGGTTCCCATATAAGCATTGACTGTAACACTGAGGCGGAGTTCTGCGAAAAACAAGACGTGCGGTCTTTCCCGGCAATCAGATTGTATCGCTCCGGGGGTCAAGTGTATGAACATTACAGAGGGCCTCGACTCGCCAGCAAGTTAGTCGTCTATACCGCAACGAGTCTCCGCAAGAAGAAACTGATGTTGGTGCAGAATAAAAGCATTCGTGAAGCGCTCTCTTCGACCTGCAGTCTCCGGTCTTGGGGCAGAAAATGTTACCGATTTCAGCTCGACCGACGATTACGTGTTCATCCTTCACCTGACGAACGCAGACGCGGGTAAAGGCCTCTATAAGCGCTTCCACGATTTAGCAACGGCGTTTAGAGACCGTTACTCTTTTGGTGTCGTCCCGGCAAAGGAACAAGACGGGGCGTCCACTCTCGAATGCTACAATAGTCCGGACGAGGTACAAAGGTCAACTCAGAACCTTGTTGATGACTTCAGTTCGTTGAAGGGCTTTTTTGAGATATGCACCAGTCGCCTGGTTCCAGAAATGACGCGAGAGAACAAAAAATACTTTACAGAGGTGCGTAGCTACAGCTGGTCCTGTCATCGACGGATCGTTGATCCGAGTAACTGCATGATTTGTATATGCTAACACAATCGGGTCGGAATGCAGGGCACAGGAAACGTTCTGTACTACTTCAGTTCTCACCCCGACGACCGCGAGAGGTTTGCGTCAAGTCTGCGAGAAACGGTTAGGAAACGCATCAAGGACCTTGAGTTTGTCACCATCGACCCCGTGGCCTTCCCGGAAGTTCCGGCGAACATAGGTCTGAAGTGGGATTTTCCCGCAATAGCCTTACAGGACAATAGCAGAGGCCTCGTGTTTCCCTCGGAGAAAAATGACTACATCACTCCCAGCATGGTTGAGAACTTTGTTCGGTCCTTCAAGGATGGCAATACCAGCCCCTCGCTCTGGGATCCTGTTGAGATAGGCACAAAAGACAAGGATTTGAACGTGGACACGAGTAGCGAGGAGGTGGCAACTCATGATGAGCTCTGAAGCGACTTTGCTTGGATTTGAAAAGAGAGAACATTTTCATAATTGTAATCAGTAGTTAAGGCGTTGATTTAAAGGGTACACGCAAGTGGAACCCACACCAGAGTGAAAACAACGTTATTTAATATTATTAAGGACTCGGGAGACTGGCGGATGTGGAGATCCTTGACATTGCGCCCTTTTGAGCCCGATCAAAGCTGGGCAGGCACACCGCGCATCAAACGCGGTATTAATGTATTTGGTTCCTTGGCACGCAATCTTGACTGAATAGATGTAGGATCATGTGGCGGTGCTAATGGTGACGACATTGAACGGGTTGAGCCGATCTGGAAGCGTAATATCGAAGTAGGCAATCATTGATCATACACACATGCTGAGATGCGTAGCCGAGGAGGTCCCTCGTAGGGTCTCATAGACACACATTATAAGTATCTTGCCTGATGCTTGACACGATAGGTATAACGTACATACACGTGTCGGTGTTTGAAAGTCTTTCCCTTTAATCAAGCTCCTTCGCTAAGCTGTTTGCCTAACATAAAAAGAAATGCCCACGAACGGACAAGCCGGGCGACTCACCGGCATGAATGCCAAGAGCTCATAGCAGGCGGCTACGAAAGGGTATTCCACCTTTACGACATTGCCGGACCTCGACGCTGGGCCAGATGGGAGTTGAGAAGATTGGGAAAGGTCCATGACGTACGAACAACCCGGAATTGGTTACCCCTTAATATATATGAGTATTGCAAGAGCTGAGATACAGCTCCTTGATGACGTCGGTTCATTTCTTTCCGAAAATTGGAGCTGACAAACCAAAATGCGAAGGCTCCGTTCGGTTCCTCTCGGCCGGCTGGTAGCGATCTCCTTTCCAAGGTCCTTTAGCCGACGGCTAATTCACAACAAAGCAGATCATTAATTATTCCGGATTAGCTGGGATAGCTTTAACCCCCCACGCTAGCCCTATATGGGATATACTGCGGTCTAAGCGCCATTAGACCGTCAGCGGGCCGCGTCTGTAGATGATCACATTACACACACACCCCGGTCACACACACAGTTTCTCTATCACTAAACACAATGTTCTAACTCCCGCCCCTTTGCTTATTCCAACGGAATATTGTTATGTATAAACGATGTAGAGGGTTGTTTGTCGGGTCCCGGGATCACCATACCGGCCGCCCGTGTGGGAAATATATTGATGCGATCTGAAAAAGCCCATATGGAGTGGCTTGGCATGTCAACTGCGTGTTCAACCAGCGGTTTTGACTTGCCCGGCGCGGTACCGTCGATGCAGCCCCTGACGCACGATGCGGAGTGCACACACAAGCTTGCAAGGATTGTACCAGAAAGCTTCATTTACACCCTACACCGCGGGTGCGCAATTCGAGTCTAGATCCCGCCCCTTGACATATCCTTCATTGGCGGAACTACGGACCTCCTCAGCTACTCATTTGCTCACCCGGTCACCATTGTCATTCTCCGTGAGCCGCCGACCTTCCAGAAAAGAGAACCACAAGAAATCATCATCCGAAAGCGTCGTACAGCTCGTACCACGCCTCTCTCCTTGCCAAAATACCGCCCCAACGTGGGTCGACCTGATTTCGGCCCAGTCGAGGCCATTGTTCTAGGTGAGGCAGCCCCATGGCAGAACCACATCGTCTAGTCTAGGTAGAGAAGCGATAGGATCCGGACAAGATGGGAAGAAGCGTTTGGTGGACTTGAGCTATAAAGTACAGGATCGTTCGCCCTACATCCGAGAATTCTGGTCTATCGCTCTCGATCCATCAGGCAACCTTGTTCCATTCCAGCTACATACCCTATACATTTATTTCGCTGCTCTTCAGACCAAATCAAAATGCGTTCGTTCACTTCTCTCTTCACTGCCACCTTGGCGGCCGTTGGTGCTCTTGCCGCCCCTGCTGCTGAGCCGCCCATTACCACCGACCTCATCAAGCGCGCGTCTACTCCCTCCAGGTAAACATTACCCCGTGTGCCTACGACTAAAGCTGGTGGCAAGGGAAAGAATTAAAGAACCTGCGTGGCTAATCCGATGTATGTAGCACTGGAACCAACAACGGCTACTACTACAGCTGGTGGACCGATGGCGCCTCCCCCGTCACATACACAAACGGTGCTGGCGGCTCTTACAGCGTCCAGTGGCAGTCCGGCGGTAACTTCGTCGGCGGAAAGGGCTGGAGGACTGGTGGTGCCAGGACTATCAAGTACTCCGGCAGCTTTGCTCCCGTTAACAACGGAAACGCCTACCTGACTGTCTACGGCTGGACCAGAAACCCTGTAAGTCTACGCTCTGCACAACGCGCTCGCATTCCACCGTACTAATGTCATTCGTCCCAGCTTATTGAGTACTACATTGTCGAGAACCACGGCAGCTACAACCCCGGCAGCGCTGGTACCCTCAAGGGCCAGGTCACCGCCGACGGCTCCGTCTACAAGCTCTACCAGGCCACCCGTGTCAATGCTCCCTCCATCGACGGCACCAAGACCTTCCAGCAGTACTGGGCCGTCCGCGAGAACAAGCGCAGCTCCGGCAGTGTCAACACCCAGACGTTCTTCGATGCTTGGAAGAATGCCGGCATGAACCTCGGCACCCACGACTACATGATCATGGCCACTGAGGGCTACAAGTCCGCCGGCTCCGCCAGCATCACCGTCTCCTAAGCGAGCAATCCTATTTCGATGTCAGACGAACGCACGGTTTGATGGTTGGTCAACCTGAATTATTACCACCCAAAGCTGGCGGGGATGATCGCTGGGTGATCGTATTACCGGTGTGGGGTTCGGGCTGGAAGGATTGACCCTGCAATTTTTAGTACAAAACTTTTTCACCCCCCGCGCTTGATCCGCCTTGAGATCAAGTTGATATACATAGCATTCATACTTCTGTACATACATAACACGTTCGACGATGTCATCACCATTCAGGTGCTGGCACGTCCTCCACACGCTGTTTAAACCTCCTCTACAAAGTGTTGTACGCAACCCGCATATGAAGACATGGCCTACACAGTAGTTCAAAACTCGCAGAACAGTACAAGGCATGGGGGATCGACCTGGCTAAACCTCGAGCAAAGATGACAGATCTGACTTGCTCGAAATAAGCTTCGCGTTCATAACTGCTTGCAGGTTATACAGCTTGGCGTGCAGCTTGGCGCGCGATCAAGTTCGATGCCAAGCGGTCTATCAATGCGATACTGCTGGCTCAACAGAGGCTATATTGCCCCGGGCCGTTAGTCCTGGTATTGCCCACCTACCTTGGGCAGGCGGCCATGCTTCGGATTACGTTTGACCACAAATAGCTGCGGCGCTAACCTCATGTTCTTGCCACTCGCTTGCACCTCAAAACACTGTTACCTTTGAAGCCAGAAAACCACCTGATGGTATCGGCAGCCAAGGAAGTTGTGTTATCATCAAGCTGTACCCTAACGTCTTCATCCGAGTCGTGGTGATGGAGAAAAGTAGTCAAGTCGGACCCTCATAGGCCCGCACAGGTGCACGACAACACAAAAACGAAGGAAATGCATTACGGATATCGTGCCAAATACTCGACACAGGAGAACAAAGGGGGTTATGGTAACCGTAAGCGCGAAATTACCCTTCTTCGAAAAACCTGGCAGTTGCCTACTTCTAAAGTGCGGGCTCTGTAGACTGAGACAATGCTGAGCGGATGGAGAGCCAATGTTCCGCGTTGAGAGACTCAGCGCTCTGCTTTCCGAGAAGCTTACCGTTCAAAGCCGATTGGACTAGCCCCACGTGAACTTGAAAGGTACGTATTATGCCAGTGGTTAGCAAACGCTCCGCTGAGTGGAGAAGTTGAATGTTTTTTTATTGTTTTGGGTACTGGAAACCAGGGTAGATAGATGCTTGATGCAATGGATGAAGACTCTGCACACTCCATTATCTAAGCGCGGCAAACCGACATGGAGTGCCGGACAACTCAGAAATGACCATCTCAAACTCAAAAGTCGGAATATTATCTCAAGTTTTGGTGGGGCGCTTCGGCGACTTGCTACCGAAAGGAAAATAAGTTACCGGTCAGTATCCCTGCCTGTTCCAGGGTCCGATGCAAGAAAAATGCATCAGGTGAATTTGGTGACAAGGGCGCAATTATAACGTACAGCGCTACAAAGGGACGATAGTACTTTCAAGATCTTGAGCACCGTTTGTTGCCGCCAAAACGTAAGCCACCAAAAACGCTTGCAAGGGTACGCTTGGACACAAGTGTTGATATGCAACTCGTTGGTTCTCGTTCAAAGAACCGCGCAATCTCGGAGACAATGTCAACGCTGGCGTTTCAAGCAAGAACGATAACGAAGGGCTGGCTCTTTTACCTTCGTGATAGAGGTCTGAGTATTAAACACTTCTTCCCCCAATAAGGTTTAGCCATAGAATTCTAGTCAAACTCTATCCTTGGGGCGTTGGCAGCTCAGTCATAGAGCATACATAAAGTCAGTAAAGAATAATCAAAATCGAAGACGTAATCATATTTTTAACGCCGGAAACTCTGACTAGAACTTACCCGAGGGTGTTAGTCAGCCTTCGTCAAAGCTAAACACCCCCTCCTCACGGAGGGGGCGAAAAAATGGGGTTGCCACTCCAAAAAAGGGGTTGCCAACCCCCATCACAAATACCCTTACTTTTGCGTACGTTATATAGTATAGTCAACTTTTTATTTCTTAAAGCAGTAACGCCTACAACGTTATATAATAACAAGAGTAGTATTAATTAATAGCCCTAATTAAGGGCTTTATAATAGTACCTTTTTTTCTTTTTTTATATAATAACTATAAATTTATATTACTACTATAATATAGGTATTACTTTTATTATTATCTACTATATATTACTAGTCCTTTTTTATTTATATTAATAAGGGTATAAATAGGTAATTTTATAGTATAACCCCTGTAGCCTTTTAGCTATTTATCTTATCCTTTATAGTATAATATTATAACTTATATTATAAAAGACCTTATAATATTAAAAGGCTAACTATTAGTATTATTAGTAGTAATAGTAATAATATATAACTATTATTATTATTATTACTCCTAGGTATACTAACTAATTCTTTACTTAATATAACTAAATTAATGTCTTTATTAATAAGGTTATTAATATCTATAAAGATCTTAGGGTTAAATTCTAGCCTTACTACCTCTATAGCTATATTAGCTAATGCCTAATTAATATTACCTTAACTAAGAGGTCTTACTATATACTTAAATTAGTTAAGTATATACTATAGTAAAAGAGCTAGGTTAAGGTTAATAGTAAATTTCTTTTTACTTTTAGTATTATTATTATACTACTATAGATCTAAAGGGTTAAATAGGATATATAGTTAATTTTCTTTAGTATAGACTAGCTACTATTTAAAGGTTAGTTACTTTATTTATTTATCTACCTCTTAATATTTAGTAGTACTATATTACTACTAGACTTCTTTTTCTTACTTATAGACTATTTTTTTTACTACTACTTATTAGTACTATATTTCTACTTATATTACCTTTATAACTTACTTATTATATACCTTCTTTATATTTATAATAGTAACACTAGTTATAAAGGAGTATTATAGTTTAATAGCTTATTAGCACTAGCTTTTCTATTACTATATTTCTAGTCTAGTATTTTAGTCCTTAAGGTATTACTACTAGTACTTATAGGTAAAAGATCCCTTATAAATTACTTACTTTACTACTTTAAATCCTCTCTTTAAAGGACTACTCTATATACTACTATATTTCTCTTTTATATAGTTAGTAGTAAAGATTACCTTATTAAAGTAGTTATTATATAGTAAATAATAAATAAAATATAATAGTATATCTTTATTACTTTATTATATCCTTTTAACTAGTTAGCTAAGTATAATATTATTATATATAGGCTATATACTTACCTTCTTAAAACCTTTTATAATATAGGTAGTAGTAAAGGCCTTTTTAACTATAGTATTAAAGGTAGTAATAAAGTTACCTCTTATAAATATAAGGTTACCTTCTTATATATACTTATAGAGCACTATCTATTAGGCCTTCTTAAAGTATTAAAAGACTTCTATATTTATTAGTTAAAGAAAGTATATTATATAAAGTAAAAAAAAAGTAAAGATAATATTAAAGTTAATATAATATTCTATAAGCTTTAGACTTATATAGCCTATAAATCTATTAAAGAGAAGAAAGTAATATAGCTACTTTAACTTTTCTATAGTATTTTAATAGTTATAATACTTTACTTTTTATTTACTTAGTTAACTATTAAATAAATATAAATTATAAGTATTATAACTATATATATTAACACTAAAATAGTCCTTAAAAAAGTAGCTTATCTAGTAATACTTTACTAACTTTATATATAACTCTATATTAAAGTACTATATATAGTCTATTATAATCTCTTAGTTAAAGAAGCTAGTTAGTAAATATATAAAGTAAATACCTTCTTAAACTTAGTAATCTACTTAAATAGTAACTAGCTATATTTTAAAAATTATATATACTAAGATAATATTACTAGATATATTACTAGACTTAACTAAGGTATATAACTCTTAATTAGCTAGATTTATAACTTTAGGTAAGTAGTTATATTTTAGTAGCTACTTAAGGATAATTATATATAGCTAGCTACTAAGGTAGCTAATCTAGCACCTAGATTTATTAGTGTTCTATATCTTAGATAGGCTAATATTATACTTATAGAGGGTAGCCTAGTACTAGGTAAAGAAGTCCTCTATTAGGGCTAAGTCTAACTTAGCCTCCTTCTAGTATAACTTAACTAGTTTAATAGTGCCTTTTTTCTAGAGCTTTAGATAGTTAGTAAGCTAGCTCTAGATAAAGTACTTAGAGACTAGTAGTTAACCCTAGATACTATAGAGGTAGTTAGCTATTTTTTTAACCTAGAGTAGTAGGGCTAAAAAGCTAGATTTATAAAGCTATATAACAAAGGCGCTAAGAGCTATATCTTTAGCCTCTGTAAGCGACTAGGGCTAGCTAGGCTTATCTAGGCTAACGTAGAGGTTATAGCCTTCCTAAAGGGCCTAGAGGTGCTTCTAAATTACTATATAAGATACACTATAATCCTAAGCAGCCTAGTATATAGAGGGTATATTAGTTACTAGCTTACCTACCTATTAGTAGGTTACCTATTAATAGGTAATATATAGTATTTTAGCTGCCTTTTTAGTAGTAGTTATATTCTTATTATATTAGTAAAGTATATTAAAGGGTTAAAGTAGGGTAAGTAGTTTAGTTACTGTTAATATCTGTTAATAATGTGTCTAAATAATTACTTGTTTTTAGTGAGAATGTAATAAAAAGTAGGACTAGGTTGGGACAAGTGGCAACCCCATTTTCCTAGTGGCAACCCCATTTTTTTGCCCCCTCCGTGAGGAGGGGGTATTTAGCTCACAGCGCTGACTAAGTTGCCCCCGGGTAGAAGGGATAGTCCTAATGTCACAACTTTCTTGTGACGAATCAGAATAAGGCACTAAAGTAGAACCACAATTGTAGTGCTGCAATTGTAGATTGTAGCTTATATCCTGTAACACACACCCTAGATTTATACCTGCGTACGTATCCTAGCAGTACGTATCTAATACGCTTTAAGAACCTTCTAGTTAGGTATATGTTACTAAAGTCTAGGTAGCACTAATTAATTACATAACAACTGCAGAGACTAGAATCTATTAAGGGCGAATAGGAATCAAACCTATACTATAGTGTGCACTACAATAAAGCCTCCTTAGAGCACACTCAAACCATTCTAGCACAAAGGTAAGGTTTAGCAGAGCTAGGCTCATAACTGTGACGAATAAGAATAAGGCACAAAAGTAGAACCATAATTACAGTGCTGTAATTGTAGCTTATATCCTGTGACATT